ATTCTGTATCATATGGTAGGATTCCGTATCATGTGATGAGATTCTGTATCATGTGACAAGATTCTGTATCATATGGTAGGATTCTGTATCATGTGATGAGGTTCCGTATCATGTGATGAGATCCTGTATCATGTGATGAGATTCTGTATCATGTGATGAGATCCTGTATCATGTGGTGAGATCCTGTATCATGTGATGAGATCCTGTATTATGTGATGAGATTCTGTATCTTGTGGTGAGATCCTGTATCATGTGATGAGATCCTGTATCGTGTGATGAGATTCTGTATCATGTGATGAGATCCTGTATCATGTGATGAGATCCTGTATCGTGTGATGAGATTCTGTATCATGTGATGAGATCCTGTATCATGTGATGAGATTCATGTGATGAGATCCTGTATCATGTGATGAGATTCTGTATCGTGTGGTGAGATTCCGTATCATGTGATGAGATCCTGTATCATGTGATGAGATTCTGTATCGTGTGATGAGATTCTGTATCATGTGTTGAGATTCTGTATCATGTGATGAGATTCTGTATCATGTGATGAGATCCTGTATCATGTGATGAGATTCTGTATCATGTGATGAGATCCTGTATCATGTGATGAGATTCTGTATCATGTGGTGAGATTCCATATCATGTGATGAGATCCTGTATCATGTGATGAGATTCTGTATCATGTGGTGAGATTCCGTATCATGTGATGAGATCCTGTATCATGTGATGAGATTCTGTATCATTTGATGAGATCATGTATCATGTGATGAGATTCTGTATCATGTGATGAGATTATGTATCATGTGATGAGATTCTGTATCGTGTGATGAGATTCTGTATCATGTGATGAGATTCTGTATCATGTGATGAGATTCTGTATCATGTGATGAGATTCTGTATCATGTGATGAGATTCTGTATCATGTGATGAGATTCTGTATCATGTGGTGAGATTCCGTATCATGTGATGAGATCCTGTATCATGTGATGAGATCCTGTATCATGTGATGAGATCCTGTATCATGTGATGAGATCCTGTATCATGTGATGAGATTCTGTATCATGTGATGAGATTCTGTATCATGTGATGAGATCCTGTATCATGTGATGAGATTCTGTATCATGTGATGAGATCCTGTATCATGTGATGAGATTCTGTATCATGTGGTGAGATCCTGTATCATGTGATGAGATTCTGTATCATGTGATGAGATCCTGTATCATGTGATGAGATTCTGTATCATGTGATGAGATTCTGTATCATGTGATGAGATTATGTATCATGTGATGAGATTCTGTATCATGTGATGAGATCCTGTATCATGTGATGAGATTCTGTATCATGTGATGAGATCCTGTATCATGTGATGAGATCCTGTATCATGTGATGAGATCCTGTATCATGTGGTGAGATCCTGTATCATGTGATGAGATTCTGTATCATGTATTATGATGAGATTCTGTATCATGTGATGAGATTCTGTATCATGTGATGAGATTCTGTATCATGTGATGAGATTCTGTATCATGTGATGAGATCCTGTATCATGTGATGAGATCCTGTATCATGTGATGAGATCCTGTATCATGTGATGAGATTCTGTATCATGTGATGAGATTCTGTATCATGTGATGAGATTCTGTATCATGTGATGAGATTCTGTATCATGTGATGAGATCCTGTATCATGTGATGAGATTCTGTATCATGTGGTGAGATTCCATCACACATGGAGATAGAAGTGTCTTTGGGTGGGAGACCTACTCTGGTGTGAGAGCTCCTTCTAGTCACATTAGAATTGGAAGTGCTGACACATTATGTATTTATTGTATATATGTATGTTATTGACACATATCCAGCTGATTTATCTTGAAATTGTCTATGATATGATAAACCTTCGGTCAGTTCCAAGCAGGTAGTTCACTCACATGATTTTTCATTAAAAACACAATGACTTTCTGTGTGGTCATATTTCAAACCCTTTCTATTTTTCTTTCAGTTACAATTCAAATTGTTTAAACACATTGTAAGAATGTAATTACTCCTAGTTATCGATAGTGATATTGTTATCATAATAATTACTCTATGTGGGTACTCTTCAAATTGAAAGTTAACACTGAGGGAAGCAAGTTGTAAATGACCATAGTAAGCAGTATGATATTACCAGATTATACCCATATGTCTTTTGATTATCATTGTTTCATTGCGATATCTGTTATGTCTTGTCACATCAAGCTCCCTGCAGCCCAACTGTATTATAAGTGATATATATTAATATACAGAGCCTGGAATGTTAGCATGTGAAGTGTCAATGTACAACAATGCTTCACATCACAATTTGATGGGATAATCATGCCAAGATTATCCCTATTTATCAAGTCAAATAAATAGTTGTAAGACTTGTAAAAATGCCTCGTAAACAACAATGTAATAATTCTGAAAAACATTAATGTATAACAGTAAGTCTCATTCGACACTCCACATAATGATATGTCAATGCTAAATCCCAACATGGCAGCAGCCAAATTTTTTTTGTCGGGGGCTTACACGGTTTCATTCCCACATGTCAAAAAACAAAATGAAACCTGTAATTTCTGAACAGTCAATTAACATGTTGATGTTTCAAAAGATAACTATTCCAATCACACCATTGTCATTACCAATGGATAGTTTCCTGTCTTCCTACTTGTCATCATCAATATGAGCAATATCAAATCTGATATTTCAAACATTAAATTTTATTTTCATAAGCATATTTTTGTATAATATGAACAGGTTCAACAATATTTGTCTAATTTTGTCCAGACTGACTGAAGGTTTACTTATCAACCTGTATATTATAAGATTACAAGCACTTAAGTATTATCATTGTGTTTAAACTATTAATCAGGAAATATTCATATCTTTGTTCAATAAAATGGATGATACATTCAAGTATCATGTTGTTCTTTTCTTTTTAGTTTTAGTCAACTGATTCAGATTGCAGTAAGTTTGATTATTATGAAATGGTCTTTTCAAACAGTACATTTGACTAGTGGTGTAACGATAGGTCAACTTATCCATGTATCATGATAGCTCTGCTATTGATAGCAATAGGTCGATAGGATATTTTCAAGTCGATAACTATTGCAACAGATTGTTCAACTGTTGATTGTTAACAATAGTATCTTTTAACTAAACAAAAATGTTACTTGACAGCAAGAATTTTCCCCAAATCCTTGCTGAATGACTGCAAGCTAGCCTTTATTTATGAAACATCTTGAGGACCTCGATCAGTGTTAGCGCCAAGTATAAGAATGGCACAATCACATACTTGGAATTGAAATAGAATTTGAAGCACAAGTTGTTGTATCAATGAGAGTTTTATCTTAAATGAGTGTTATGTTGTTGTTTCCAATATGATCTAATTAAATCTACAAACTATAGTAGGGGAGGTGGTGACTTCTTTAACTCTGGGTCCATGTTTTAGACCCATTGTTGAAATTACCCACTTCAATAAACAACATGGCGAAATGTAGCACCATTATAAAAATTGTTCCTGATAAAAAGGAAAAAAACAGATGTAGGGCAACATTTTGTTTATGTGAAAATATTGATGAAGTGTCTCAAAACGGATCACAATTAAACTCCTGTTTGTGATAGTACAGAAACTTTCATTTGGTAAACAGCTATATATATCATCCTACGTTTACTAATTAGGCCTACTGATGACTCTGACAAAGATTAAGAAGTATGTAAAGCTTACTATCAAAACCAAATAATTATATCATTGTTAAATTTGATAATCACCTTTTAAAATATAAAGAAAATTTAGAATAAATAGAAAATTATACTAAAGTTATTGCAAAATTAAGACAAATATGATATTGTACAGTCTTGAGTCCAGCTGTGTAGGAGTTACACAATAGTTATCACTACACACAGCATATTAATGTATAAAATGAGAAATAAGAAAATAGGATAAAGTTTACGAAATATCACAACATACTTAATTGTAAATATCTTACTCAGCTATAACCTTTGAGATATTGTACATTCTGATACTTATAAATGGTTAGTTACTTTTCTTTATTTCTGGGTTAGATAAAATATTTTAAGGTAAAAAAAAATATCCTGATTGTATCACAATAGTAATTTTACTACCACAAGACTGTCACGATAGCTTTTTCAGCCTCCATTGTCATCCCTATATTTGACGATAAAAACAGAAAATGCCAGGTTACTTGATTAAAGACAGAAAAGAACTTTGCAGAATGATTTGTGTTGTTGTTACCACTTTGATTTAACTCACTGAAATATCTTAAATGCATGGCTTGGACAAAGTCAGCCATATGAACCTGTCTATAGATTTATGTATGTGCGTTATCAATGACATTGTTTATTAGGTGTTTACAAAATAAGATGTGAAGCAGGAAAGTTTTTCATGGAATTCTTGCTTTTTTTCAGCACTTTCATGTTTTTCCCCTAAAAATCTCCATCTCTAATGTTGTCATTAGTGTTGTTGTACATTCTATTAACTAACCAAAAACAAAATCTGCTTGTTACAGTAAATGCTTTCTGAACAACTGAGCTGAAGAAAAAGAAAAAGTTGCTGATGTAAAATGAAAGTACAAATATTAACGTTGGGTGTGGATGACAATGGAAGAGTAACACATTCATCTTGGTCTCACTCCTACATTGCAATGCGACAAAATCACAGAAATTTGTTACAGAATTCCTTCGTACAGTTGTGCTACTAGATTTAATCAAAATAAATGACTATGACGAAGTGGCAGGAAATAGTGACATGCCTTTTAATGAAGATTACTGGTTTAGCGCTGATGTCTTCAGGCCATTTTGTCCTCTTGTTTCATAAATTATTGCATGTTGGCAAATGCAGGTTCTTGGGAGTAACTGTCTAACACAACTCCCCTCCGTGTACATCACCACCAATGTTAACAAGTGGGGAACTTTTTATGAACATTACTTCTCTTGGTTTGTATAAAAAGATCTACTTACCCTGTGATTGCTGGGGAGGAGTTTTTGAAGTGTTGTTGTGTGACCATCAATGTTTTCACCATACAACAGGACATGGACTTCATCTGAATCTGTCATGTGACACCCTCCACTTCCTTTTAAAGCAATACATGTATATTGTCAAGTCTCATAATGCTGCTTTTGCATCATGTTGGCAAGTAATGAAAGGCAGAAACAAAACCTAAAGGGTCAAATACAAAAAAGGTGAAACACATTAAAATGCTTTTATCATTACCAACACAGGCCTGTGAGACAGAGGGCTATCTAACATTGTGGTACGAGTATTGCTATACTGTTACCAGTATAAAGTGTTTGTATGTAGTTTCCTTCATGAATCCGGAGACATGAAATCCATGGCAAATCCTTTCATGAATAATACTAATTAATAAGTATAAACATGTCATATTTCTGTTATCTGGAGTCTAAAGTTGTTGCAATTTATTTTGGTGTAACATTTACAGCCCTTGTAAAGGACCAACCATAAACCCCTGTCAAGGACCAACCATAATTCCCTATCAAGGACCAACCATAATTTCCTGTCAAGGACCAACCATAAACCCCTGTCAAGGACCAACCATAAACCCCTGTCAAGGACCAACCATAATTCCCTGTCAAGGACCAGCCATAATTCCCTGTCAAGGACCAACCATAATTACTGGTCAAGGACCAACCATAAACCCCTGTCAAGGACCAACCATAATTACTGGTCAAGGATCAACCATAAACCCCTGTCAAGGACAAACCATAATTCTCTGTCAAGGACAAACCATAAACCCCTGTCAAGGACCAACCATAATTCCCTGTCAAGGACCAACCATAAACCCCTGTCAAGGACCAACCATAATTCCTTGTCAAGGACCAACTATAAACCCCTGTCAAGGCCCAACCATAAACCCATTATACTGATATTTGACCATCTAGGCAGATATGTATTTATAAAATCAAATAATTTATTTATTATGAATAAATCTTACCCATTGAGAAGTAAAATCGTAGGTTTCCAACTCCTCTTGTATCCAGGTAGGGTGTACATGCTTTTCTACCTCCATTACTGCTGAACACTAAAGAGTTCCCCTCATGAAGGATGCCACAGTTAACATCTGGGAGGCCACCTTGAATGTTCCACCTATAAATAAGGAAAGAAATAATTACTACAAATTTAATAACATTATAGACAGCTTTTAAACATCATCATAATATCACTGTCTTCCACACTGAGTCCTGATTACAAAATCAACTCACATCATGTACTTTCAAGAGCTTAAATAAAAGTGGACTAATATACCGCTATATTTATCCCATCACATGTCCAGGTTGGGCATTAAGCGTATCCATATTTCTGTTGAAAGCTTTTCAAGTAAAACATCTATACATCCAAGATCAAGATCTGTATATATTTATACCCTGGTTGTCGTTTGAGCTCAAAGACTTCCTCCAGAACGACATCTGAGAGATCCTCAGTACTAAGGTCCATGTCTCTTGTAACAACATAGTTTGTGGACTGGTTTACCATATTGAAGTACATAGAGTTTTCTTCTGATCGACACTTTCGCTGTAAACACACAGAAAAGTCAAATTAAAACTTGTGATCTTCAACTAGGTAAATGTACATTATGTCGCCATCCTTTACAATACATTATACCTGGAAATTCATAGAGAAAAGTCACATAACAGACTCATAAGGTAACAAATGATAGAGTACAACTTGGAAACTTGCCTGAATGTTTGCCCCAGGGAAGAAGAGCCAATTAGAAGGATCAACAGGGTCAAACGTTTCTGAGATGACTAGTGGAGCATGGGCTGTGTTGACCACTAGGACATTGTCTAAAGCCCAACAGGACCTGTAAGGACCCTTCCGTACTTCCTCTGAACCTGTCGTCTCCTCTTCAATCACACCGATGCCACCAAGGTCACCCCTAATAGGATAGGTCTTTGTCAGCGATTTGCTCCCTGAGGATGTGATGCCACAGGTAAAAGTTGGCAAATTAACAGAAAATTTACAAATATTTACATTACTGTAAAGGTTATCTGGGTTCTTTTTTCCTCTTTTTATTTGTGATTTCAAGGGGTTTAATCTTGTGCTATCCAGGGGTTCTTTTTTCATGGGTAATTTTTCATTCACTATTTATTTTTAGGTTTATTGTCAAGACTAGAATAAAAAACACATATAGTTCATTTTATGACAAATAAATCTTTTTTTGTTGTAAAGTTTTGATGAAACAGTAAATACAAATGATAAAGATAGGTATACTTAGTTCAGCTAAAGGTCAATGTGTCATAAAGTACACTAATGTAATACAAAGGCTGTTCTGTGGGGTTGCTGACGAAAATCATTATCTAAACTTAGTAAGTACATAACTAACAATGACACTTGGTATTACATACTTGTAGTTGTATTTTTTTCATAATCATCATCATCTGACAATGATGTGTGGTTAGACGGGCGCTCCTGTGACCAACGGATACAAACATTGTCCTGCTGACCACTCGCTGGGATGTGAATAAGATGTGTCTCAGGCTTTGGTCCATTTGGGGCACTAAACAACAATTAATAATGTCATCAGGGACATCGAGGGTAAGAGGTTTGCCATCAAAACACAAAATCAATGTTAGAGAAGGTTCTTCCCATGTCAATTGCTCAAAGTACCATTCTGAATTATCCCTCTTTCCTGAAAGATCCATGGAGATGATGAAGTTTGACCCATCAACTTAAGAATACTTTGTATTCAGTCTGTTCCTTTTTACACATAATTCTGTATGTTAATTGATATGATATGTTAAAATGTTGTTGAATAATCCGTCCAGATCTCACCTACAATAGTACGCTTCTTTATTATGTTTTTTTCCTTTTTTTTTTGTTTTTGCTAGGTACATTCTGGTACATTTCTCATCTTCCTGAGAAACGTAAACACCAAAGGGTAACGAGCATCAAATCTAGCACTTCAGGTGTTCACCTGAGGTTACATAGGCGAGTGATCTACTGACTGAGCTGCCATAGCCCCTCCCCTCCTCCAAGCTGCAGAGAAATTCTGTTATAACGTTTCAACTTATGTGATTATACTTTGTCAGAATCTTGTTTTATAATGTTGTCATGTATATCCTGGACGGGTCTTCACTAAACAGGTCTAGTGTTGTTAATCCCAGTACTTGCCTGACAGTATCTATAACAACCCATTCCCTGCAGTTGTTGATTCCAAGAGTGACTTTGATGTCCTCTTCTTCAAACACAATACCCCCACAGGTTCCAGCAGCTGTATAGCAATCACAAGTGTCAAAATTTCAAAACTTAATCTTTATTATTTATTATAGAAACATACAATACACTTCTTCAATGGAATATTTTTACAGTTTATCAAACTTAATGCTTATCAAAACAGATAGAACTAAGTTTTGATGACATCATTTGCAAAGTACTTCATATATGTATGAAATGTGTTGGTAATCCCTATACATTGAAATTGTTCTCTGTACGTTTATCTTGGAGGCCATAGTTGATCAATGACATTACAGATCGGTGCTGAAATATTCGTTTGTCCCCACCAAAAGATACAAAGGATATTGGTATTTGGACCTCAATGGACCTTAGATAAAGCTACATGTACTTGTTCATTATAAATTAAAGCTGGAATTTTTACCCTTTGAGATTTGATATAAAGCTAATAAGACTGAACTAGACACTAAATCATGCTACAAATAGACAGACTTAATAATGGAAACTAAATATGTCACTTCTGTAGATTATTACACAGTTAAAGAGTTCATTTTAATGATATTTAATAACTCTCTCAGTTATCATAGAAAATTATTATCTTAATGTTGAATTCTTAAATATACGCATAAATACATACAGATAGTAAACTGTAGAACTGCTGCAGATGTTAAGTTAAGGGGGACAGAAATCTGTAAAAACAAAATAAGTACTTCAAAACTAGTATGATCACTTGTTGACAATGTGTTATAATACCAACCCTCAAATTTGTAAAAATTAAATTATTTTCTTCGTCATTTCAAAGAAAACACAATTGAAGCTGATCATATTAGCAATACCAAAGTGCTTTCATTTCATTTAAAGCTATAAAAACAGTGAATGACAGTACAGAGTGAAAGCTTTTACATTAGGAAATACAACAGTTTCTTAATTAACATATTAAAAGGACAGATTTGATTCGGTAAATGTACAATCTAGAGTGAATGTCTTAGTAACCTGATTTTGTGAACCGCATGTAAGGTGTACCTTTAATCTATTGGCTGAAGAGTCATGGCTCAACATTTAATTAGAGAATCAGAAGGGTCAGTACTAATACAGTTTAACTCCATTTTGGTCAAATAATGACTTAATAATCCATTCAAGGATCTCTAGTATAGACTCATGGTGGTCCTGGTGATTTATGTCTGACTTACAAGGTTACGGTACCCTTCTGTATCACAGAATAGAGCTGAGTCTCCATGGAGCACTGTTCCACAATCACTGCTGATGGAGGCTCCATCATGGGACGCCCTGTAATAGGTAAATATTGGTGAACATATCGTATATTGGGATATTTTTGTGAAAATTCCAAAATGTACCTTTTACAATTTTAGCGTATTTCAATTTTTGGGGATTTCATCATCTGAAAAATTTGAAAGGCCTCTTGACCAAAGCTGATACATATACACCAATGTAGATTCTAACATCAACCGGAGATTTAACTGACCAGTCTCACTAGATAAAGAGATTTACATACTTAATCCATAATGTATTACATGTGATTTCACAATCACAATATTTTCCAATTTTGTTTGGTTTTTCTTTTTTTATGATTTTGAAAGGGTTACTAAATTTGCCAAGATATACACAAAAATTTCTCAATATACAGATTTGAATACCTTGAAAACAAGAGAAATAACATAATGTTGTATTTTTGTAACTTTCAGATTTAGGAAACACTTCATATTCTTTTTCTATTTATTTTCTGTGGCAAACAAAATTCCGAAATTGATCTGGTATAACATCAATAACATATTAATTAAGTAACATCATCACAGAAATACAATGGCAACTGACCACACATTTAGATCGAAGTTGGAAGATGTGTCAAAACTTTCCCTCAGTAAGTAGCTGTCAGTATTGATTCCAATGGTGTCTGGTCTCTCTGGCTCTGTTGAAGCTGTCATAGCAACATAATATATAAAAGTTTTGTCTGTATTTTTCATAATCAAACCATGTTTAATTAAGACTACGTATAAATTTAACACCTACACAAAACACCTATCTGCTTTAGAGTAATCATCCTGAGAAAACTTTAATCTTGATATTTGGAAAAATAATTGCTCTCATGGATATTTTCCATCGGATCTAAATATAAAATGTTATAATATAAACTATCATATAATTATAAAGAATAGAACTTTCATTCCTTGAGGATTAAGTCCTCATCAATTTAAATATATTTACCTCCCAATTCACACAACTGAAGTACAGTGGTGTCCTTGAAAAGCATTTGATGTCCAAGTGTTGCTGAAGCTCTGAAATGTAATCAGGGGAAACTTCATCAAAGTTATTCAGAAGAAGTCATCTAAGGTTACATTTTTTATCTCTGTGACCTTCAAAGTAGGGAAAAGTCATTTATATATAACAACCCTTTTTTCTAGTGTACTACTATGCCATTACCACGATCTTGGGTCTATACTGGTTATTAAGATATTGCTAAAAGATATTTGACCTTGAAAGATCAAAATTAAGATCGTTCATTTGAGTACATATGATAGCTCTTTATCCCAACATGACACTGGACAAATAATATGATCTTTGGTCGCTTAGATTTTAAGAATTCTTTTAAAGATTATAACACACTTGACCCTTTCTATCCTGAAAGTAGGTCAAGGTCATTTATTTGAACAACTTGATAGTCATTCACCAAAGTATGCTTCTAAGTGCTATTAGGTCATTCAGATGAAGTTGTTTGAAGATTCATATGAAATTGAGCTCTGTAACATTAGGGACCAGTCAGAGAAAGGAAAGCTGGGGATCAGGTAGAGATATGACTTTAGGTACCAGTCAGAGAAAGGAAAGCTGGGGATCAGGTAGAGATATGACTTTAGGTACCAGTCAGAGAAAGGAAAGCTGGAGATCAGGTGGAAGTATGACTTTAGGGACCAGTCAGAGAAAGGAAAGCTGGGGATCAGGTAGAGGTATGACTTTAGGGACCAGTCAGAGAACGGAAAGCTAGAGATCAGGTGGAAGTATGACTTTAGGGACCAGTCAGAGAAAGGAAAGCTGGGGATCAGGTGGAGATAGAACTTTAGGGGCCAGTCGGAGAAAGGAAAGCTGGGGATCAGGTGGAGATATGACTTTAGGGACCAGTCAGAAAAAGGAAAGCTGGGGATCAGGTGTAAGTATGACTTTAGGGACCAGTCAGAGAAAGGTAAGCTATTGATCAGGTGGAGATATGACTTTAGGGGCCAGTCAGAAAAAGGAAAGCTGGGGATCAGGTGGAAGTATGACTTTAGGGACCAGTCAGAGAAAGGAAAGCTGGGGATCAAGTGGAGATATGACTTTAGGGACCAGTCAGAGAAAGGAAAGCTGGAGATCAGGTGGAAGTATGACTTTAGGGACCAGTCAGAAAAAGAAAAGCTGGGGATCAGGTGTAAGCATGACTTTAGGGACCAGTCAGAGAAAGGTAAGCTATGGATCAGGTGGAGATATGACTTTAGGGACCAGTCAGAGAAAGGAAAGCTGGGGACCAGGTAGAGATATGACTTTAGGGACCAGTCAGAGAAAGGAAAGCTGGAGATCAGGTGTAAGCATGACTTTAGAGACCAGTCAGAGAAAGGAAAGCTGGGGATCAGGTGGAGATATGACTTTAGGGACCAGTCAGAGAAAGGAAAGCTGGAGATCAGGTGTAAGCATGACTTTAGAAACCAGTCAGAGAAAGGAAAGCTGGAGATCAGGTGTAAGCATGACTTTAGGGACCAGTCAGAGAAAGGAAAGCTGGGGATCAAGTGGAGATATGACTTTAGGGGCCAGTCAGAGAAAGGAAAGCTGGGGATCAGGTGGAGATATGACTTTAGGGGCCAGTCAGAAAAAGGAAAGCTGGGGATCAGGTGGAAGTATGACTTTAGGGACCAGTCAGAGAAAGGTAAGCTGGGGACCAGTCAGAAAAGGAAAGCTGGGGATCAGGAGGATATAGAACTTTAGGGACCAGTCAGAGAAAGGAAAGCTAGGGACCAGGTGGAGATATGACTTTAGGGACCAGTCAGAGAAAGGAAAGCTGGGGATCAGGTAGAGATATGACTTTAGGGACCAGTCAGAGAAAGGAAAGCTGGAGATCAGGTGGAAGTATGACTTTAGGGACCAGTCAGAGAAAGGAAAGCTGGGGATCAGGTGGAGATATGACTTTAGGGACCAGTCAGAGAAAGGAAAGCTGGGGACCAGGTGGAGATATGACTTTAGGGACCAGTCAGAGAAAGGAAAGCTGGAGATCAGGTGTAAGCATGACTTTAGAAACCAGTCAGAGAAAGGAAAGCTGGAGATCAGGTGTAAGCATGACTTTAGGGACCAGTCAGAGAAAGGAAAGCACCACATACAACTATATCACCTCATACAACTATATCACCTCATACAACTATATCACCACATACAACTATATCACCACATACAACTATATCACCACATACAACTATATCACCACATACAACTATATCACCACATACATCACCACATACAACTATATCACAACTATATCACCTCATACAACTATATCACCTCATACAACTATATCACCACATACAACTATATCACCACATACAACTATATCACCTCATACAACTATATCACCACATACAACTATACAACTATATCACCTCATACAACTATATCACCACCTCATACAACTATATCACCTCATACAACTATATCACCACATACAACTATATCACCACATACAACTATATCACCTCATACAACTATATCACCTCATACAACTATATCACCACATACAACTATATCACCTCATACAACTATATCACCACATACAACTATCACCACATACAACTATATCACCTCATACAACTATATCACCACATACAACTATATCACCACATACAACTATATCACCACATACAACTATATCACCACATACAACTATATCACCACATACAACTATATCACAACATACATCACCACATACAACTATATCACCATATACAACTATATCACCATATACAACTATATCACCTCATACAACTATATCACCACATACAACTATATCACCACATACAACTATATCACCACATACAACTATATCACCACATACAACTATATCACCTCATACAACTATATCACCACATACAACTATATCACCTCATACAAATATATCACCACATACAACTATATCACCTCATACAAATATATCACCACATACAACTATATCACCACATACAACTATATCACCACATACAACTATATCACCACATACAACTATATCACCACATACAACTATATCACCTCATACAACTATATCACCACATACAACTATATCACCACATACAACTATATCACCTCATACAACTATATCACCACATACAACTATACAACTATATCACCACATACAACTATATCACCACATACAACTATATCACCACATACAACTATATCACCACATACAACTATATCACCACATACAACTATATCACCACATACAACTATATCACCTCATACATCACCACATACAACTATATCACCACATACAACTATATCACCACATACAACTATATCACCTCATACAACTATATCACCACATACAACTATATCACCTCATACAACTATATCACCATATACAACTATATCACCTCATACAACTATATCACCTCATACAACTATATCACCACATACAACTATATCACCTCATACAACTATATCACCTCATACAACTATATCACCACATACAACTATATCACCTCATACAACTATATCACAACTATATTACCACATACAACTATATCACCTCATACAACTATATCACCACATACAACTATATCACCACATACAACTATATCACCACATACAACTATATCACCTCATACAACTATATCACCTCATACAACTATATCACCACATACAACTATATCACCTCATACAACTATATCACCTCATACAACTATATCACCACATACAACTATATCACCACATACAACTATACAACTATATCACCACATACAACTATATCACCACATACATCACCACATACAACTATATCACCACATACAACTATATCACCACATACAACTATATCACCACATACAACTATATCACCACATACAACTATATCACCACATACAACTATATCACCTCATACAACTATATCACCACATACAACTATATCACCACATACAACTATATCACCACATACAACTATATCACCTCATACAAATATATCACCACATACAACTATATCACCTCATACAACTATATCACCACATACAACTATATCACCACATACAACTATATCACCTATATCACATACAACTATATCACCATACATATCAACTATATCACCACATACAACTATATCACCACATACAACTATATCACCAACTATATCATACAACTATATCACCTATACAACTATATCACCAACTATATCATACAACTATATCACCACAACTATATCACCACATACAACTATATCACCACATGCAACTATATCACCTTATACAACTATATCACCACATACAACTATATCACCACATACAACTATATCACCACATACAACTATATCACCACATACATACAACTATATCACCACATACAACTATATCACCACATACAACTATATCACCACATACAACTATATCACCACATACATCACCACATACAACTATATCACCACATACAACTATATCACCACATACAACTATATCACCACACAACTATATCACCACAACTATATCAACTATACAACAACTATATCACCACATACAATATCTATATCACCACATACCACATACAACTATATCACCACATACAACTATATCACCTCATACAACTATATCACCACCTCATACAACTATATCACCACATACAACTATATCACCACATACAACTATATCACCACATACAACTATATCACCTCATACAACTATATCACCACATACAACTATACAACTATATCACCTCATACAACTATATCACCACCTCATACAACTATATCACCACATACAACTATATCACCACATACAACTATATCACAACATACATCACCACATACAACTATATCACCACATACAACTATATCACCTCATACAACTATATCACCACATACAACTATATCACCTCATACAACTATATCACCACTATATCACCTCATACAAATATATCACCTCATACAACTATATCACCACATACAACTATATCACCACATACAACTATATCACCAACATACAACATATCACCAACTATATCACCTCATACATATATCAACTATATCACCATACAACTATATCACCACATACAACTATATCACCATATACAACTATATCACCTCATACAACTATATCACAACTATATCACCACTATATCAACTATATCACATACAACTATACAACTATATCACCACATACAACTATATCACCTCATACAACTATATCACCACATACAACTATATCACCACATACAACTATATCACAACTATATCACCTCATACAACTATATCACCACATACAACTATATCACCTCATACAACTATATCACCACATACAACTATATCACCACATACAACTATATCACCACATACAACTATATCACCACATACAACTATATCACCACATACAACTATATCACCATATACATCACCACATACAACTATATCACCACATACAACTATATCACCTCATACAACTATATCACCACATACAACTATATCACCACATACAACTATATCACCTCATACAACTATATCACCACATACAACTATATCACAACATACATCACCACATACAACTATATCACCACATACAACTATATCACCTCATACAACTATATCACCACATACAACTATATCACCACATACAACTATATCACCACATACAACTATATCACCACATACAACTATATCACCTCATACAACTATATCACCTCATACAACTATATCACCACATACAACTATATCACCACATACAACTATATCACAACATACATCACCACATACAACTATATCACCATATACAACTATATCACCTCATACAACTATATCACCTCATACAACTACATATATCACCTACATACAACTATATCACCACATACAACTATATCACCACATACAACTATATCACCACATACAACTATATCACCTCATACAACTATATCACCACATACAACTATATCACCTCATACAACTATATCACCACATACAACTATATCACAACATACATCACCACATACAACTATATCACCATCATACAACTATATCACCACATACAACTATACAACTATATCACCTCATACATATCACCACATATATCATCCATTTTTTCTATATCACCACATACAACTATATCACCTCATACAACTATATCACCTCATACAACTATATCACCATATACAACTATATCACCTCATACAACTATATCACCACATACAACTATATCACCTCATACAACTATATCACCTCATACAACTATATCACCTCATACAACTAAAAAGTCCGATGACGGACAATGAACAAAGAACAAAGGAGAATCAAAATCCAAGATGGCTGCCTGTAGGCCATTGTTACTCTAATCAGTCCAATGACAGATAATGAACAAAGGACAAGGAAGAACAAATGTTCAAATTGGAAGGAAATCCATTCAGAACTTCTCAATATCCTTAACAAATTGTGATTCTCAAAATCCAATATGCCTGCAATTTGGATTTTTTTATCAGTCTAAAAATTTAACATGTACAAAAACGTACCAATGGATGTCTGCATATGCAATATGAGAATAATGATAATGAATTTATTCAGAAACAATTTCAATAATTTGATATGGCCACCTGTTGGCCATTTTGTATTTTTACCAACCCCAAAATTGAATATACAGAACTAGGGACCAAGTGGAGTCAAGATATGAGAAAGAAGGCTGTTAGAAGAGACAGACAGCCACCAGACAGCGATGGATGGTTGACAGATAACAGGAGCTTGACGGACGGCTTGAACAGTCCACCATTTAATGATAGTGAGTTAAAATTGACTGTAGTGTCTACTAATTACTACAGCATTAAACCTCTAATGTCTTAGCTTATAGGATAAAAACAACCAGATTTATAACTTAACTGTTAAACAAACTGCCACCTAACAAAGAAACAAACATTTTACCAACTGGAATTGGAAATTTCCAAAGATGTCTGGAATGAAACTGTAATTACTAACAAATGGCAGGAACCTATAGAAGTATTAACAAAGAACCAACTTGAGAAGGTGAAGTTTGGAATTGTATATGTGTACACTTATTGAACTGTATTTATTGATAAAATCAAGTGTCCCACGATATAACCATATAATATATAACACTAAAGGTTTTACAGACCAGGTATTTCAAGTTTTTCTATCAATTATTTTGATTTTTTTTTTTACATGATTCAACGTCATTTATTTCACTGAATTGACACACATTCTTAGCTTACTCTCTTGTAGATGATAACAATCACATCTCCTGGACTTGTCCTTAAGAAGATCATTGAAATTCTCTGATTTCAATATATGTCAAAGTCCATTATTTGAACATTATAATCATTTAATCCTTTACTCAAGCAAATAATTCATTAAATATAATGATGTTTGTCCTTATTTTTCTTTATTCTAATGAAAAAGTTGTTGAGAAAGGAAAGTTAGAGAAGCACTTTGGACCTGGACACATTAACATGTGACTTTGTATATCAAAATGAGTCAATCATCACAACAGGCTCTGGGATATTGACTTTATCATCCAGTTAAAATTATGTGATTGAAATTCTGATATCGACACTCAAGAGCACTCATATTTCTCAATAGCAGTCAAACAATCCCACACAATTAATGGAGTAGTTCAAGTACTACTGTACAATGAAGAAATAAACTGTCAAATGACTGTGTTTTTATTAACTGTACACATAAATTTTTTTTTTTTTTTAAATGTGCACATTAATTTTTTTTTTTTAAATGTGCACATTAATTTATTAATTTTAAATGGAATTCATAACAAAGAAGACATCAGTAGTAAGTTTTGTTTTCATTCAGAAAACAAGATTAACGTAATTAAATGTGATTAAGGAAAAAGAATTTACAAATATTAAAATATGTATGAACGAAACAACATACCATTGTAGAATTCTCCAGGCGTGTAGTATTCAGGATTCCCTCCCACCGACACGCTGATAGAAACTTCACCTTTCTCTGCTACAAGGTCATTTGTGTTTCCATGGTAATTACACAAAAAGAAAAATGGTTCTACATACGGAGAAAATCCATCAGTGTTCTTTGCAAGAAAAAATATCACTTGTAAAAGTAGTATAAAGCTCCACGCCATGTTTCTAATTTAGTACCTGAAAAACAGATGCGGTGAAACTGTATGTTGTATATTTATATAATAAAACTACCTTTTACGTTTTTCATTCTTGGTAAAAGCAACTACAGTTCTTAACGTTAAACATTATCATTTCATACTGAATTGCGGAATAGGTAATCATCCAATCTTCCAATTAGTATCCATGATTAAAAGGTACAAAAATTGTAAAACTATCAGAAAAAAAATTAATTTGATAATCGTATCTCATATACATTTAAACATATATGAATCTCTATGCTCAAAATTTCATAAACTATTTCAATTTTTTTATTTCAAATCAGATTAATTCAGATGCTGATTTTCATTTCAAAAATCAACATTTTCAAAAGTTTTCAAATTTAATCTTACCTACTCTTCTTCAGCATCTTCTTTATATAAGTCTAATGAAATGGTTTGCCCTTAAACATATATAACATGTATACTCTTGGTCAAATCACCCACGGACCAACCAATAGCCTAGTAACATTAGCCAAGTATTTCATCGCTAGGGTATATCAGCGCACGTCATCCACTTGAACCAATTTTGCGTAACAGAGAGGTCCCTATGGGGGTTTTACCAATTCTATTCTGAAAGACTGTACAGAAATGTTTAAGTATACCTCTTACTATAGTTATCTTCTTAATGTAGTCTTATACTTCAATTCCCATAATTCTTAGAATTGTATTTCTCTTTATTCAAATATAAAAAAAAAAAGTTAAAAAAATTAAAAAAAAAAATTGTAATTATTTAACTTATTTTTCTGTGACTGAAACAAGCAAAATCAATACATGAAAACAAATTCATTACTTTATTTGTAGCTAGATTTATATCTTTACTAAAAAAAATGGAAAATGGGTTAAGCACTAAAAACAATTTCAAATGCACCAAAGAGACCTACATTTCATTTTTTACCAACTAAATGCCCGTAATTCACTGTCAATCTTGGTAAAATGCAAGACCTCACACATATGTTATGATTTTTATCAATTTTCACGAGATAAGAACAAATAATTCAACAAAAATTTTCTCTTCAATCAAAATAAATAAACTTTTACGTAAATTTTCTGATATTATCATGTTACGGACAGATAGTGGGTATAAAGTGGTACACTTGAATCGTTATCATGATATATTATAAATCACAAGGAGCTGTGAGGCACTTCACACTTTTCACAAGCTAAGGGTCAAATGGTATCAACTTATCAGCAATATCTCATTTTCATCTCACTTCATCAATCACTTCTAAATACATGGTTAATGTAATGTTGTACGAGCTCTTGAAGCACTGCACCACTTACAGTGTTCCCATTCCACACATCATCTGACCAGGATTATTTAGAGCTACACATTTTTTTACACTCGTAATACTCTAATGTGTGCCAACCAAACAAGCTGAAATCATTATTTCAAAACTTGTTTTATCTAAATCACCTCTTAAGATAAATATTTACATTTCTGTATATTTTTATATGTATAAGATCTTTCTGAGTCCTATGTGAATAACTTGAGGAATTAAAACATCAACATATAAATTTATTTCTTTATAAAATCCCATCACAAGATGACTATGCTCTAAGGAACTTCATTAAATACGAATGTTGGTTTTTCAATATGGCAGAATTTGTTTAGCAAAAGCCAGTCTCTATATCAGCAATAGATCTGGAGATTAAATGTGATAGGCACACGATTCAGCACTTTCCTAACTTACATTACTCATTTGATTTTTCCTGTGTAGATGTAATTTCATCTGGTCGTTAAATTTGGTCCTTTGTTAACAATCCTGAGAAGTCAATATTACTTATCAAATCCTGATAATTGCTTTCTTTTCAAATTCAAATCATTAAGATATTTTTGTTGACAGATGAACCTGTAATAACCATCTATAACCTGTAATAACCATCTATAACCTGTAATAACTACCTATAACCTGTAATAACCATCTATAACCTGCAATAACCATCTATAACCTGTTATAACCATTTATAACCTGTAATAACCATCTATAACCTGTAATAACCAGCTATAACCTGTAATAACCATCTGTAACCTGTAATAACCATCTATAACCTGTTATAACCATCTATAACCTGTAATAACCATCTATAACCTGTAATAACCATCTATAACCTGTAATAACCATCTATAACCTGTAATAACCATCTATAACCTGTAATAACCATCTATAACCTGTAATGACCATCTATAACCTGTTATGACCATCTATAACCTGTAATAACCATCTATAACCTGTAATAACCACCTATAACCTGTAATAACCATCTATAACCTATAACCATCTATAACCTGTAATAACCATCTATAACCTGTAATAACCATCTATAACCTATAACCTGTAATAACCATCTATAACCTGTAATAACCAGCTATAACCTGTAATAACAATCTATAACCTGTAATAACTAGCTATAACCTGTTATAACCATCTATCACCTGTAATAACCAGCTATAACCTGTAATAACCAGTTATAACCTGCTATAACCTGTAATAACCTGTTATAACATGTGATAACCTGCTATAACCTGTAATAACCAATTATAACCAGTTATAACTTGTAATAACCAGCTAAAGTCTGTAATAACCAGTTATAACCTGTAATAACCAGCTAAAGTCTGTAATAACTAGCTATAGTATGTAATAACTAACTATAGTTTGTAAAAACCAGCTATAAGCATATTATTTTGTAAGTGAAACTAAGTAGTTTTTTTTCTGACTAGTCAAACATATCCATTATAATATTGTAGCTTGAATAAGATCAAAAATGACAATACTGCATCAATATTGAGAAACTGTAACAATGATCTTTTCCTTAAAACAATTTGTGAAAGTTGTTATTTAAAAGACAGATTTCAGAAATATTCAGGGAAAAACGAACAAGAAGCCCATGGGCCTTCATTGTCACCGAGTCCTAATATATTGGTAATGATTGTTGTTTTTTGTTATTGTAACCAAACATGGTGCATTATACAGTCAAACCTGTCTGTAGAGGCTAATCAAGGGAGCAGAGAAAATTGACCTTTATTAACTGATGACCTTTGAATAAAGATTCAATTACTTTGATTTGCATTAAATAGAGAACCAAAAAGTGGTCTTTATAGACAGGTGACCTTTGTATAAAGTTGGCCTATAAGACAAGTTTGACTGTATGTAACAAAAACTTCCAACAAATTAAATTCTTTAAATAAACCTGAGCGAGAGGACTATGGACCTGCAGTGTTCACCTGGTATTGATATATATTTATACCAGCAAAATATCATACTTCTAGGCCTTTTGGTGTATGAGAAGTCTTTTTAACCAATTTAACCCTGTGACCTTGAATATTGGTTCATTCCAGGAACATACCAACCAAATATCATGTCTCTCAGCCTTTTAGTTCATAAGAAGATTTGAATGTTTTAACAAATTTGAACCCTGTGAGCTTGAATATAGGTCAAGGTCATTTCTTTGGGCAAAATTTTCAAGCATCATCCTACAAATTTTCCAGCCAAATATCATGTCTCTTGGCCTTTTAGTTCATGAGAAGAAGATTTAAATGTTTTACCAAATTTGAGCCCAGTGAACTTGAATATAGGTCAAAGTCATTTATTCTGGCTTCATTCTAGGAATTTTCTAACCAAATATCATGTTTCTTTGACAAAATTTGTCAAAGTTCACCCTTTTGGCAAGGTAAGCTAAAACAACTTGAAAGCCAACCAACAGAGCATGCTACTTGCTGGGTATCATGACCCTTGGACAATCAGTCATTAAATTCTCAAGTCATATGGAAAAACACACAAAGCCATTATTTGCTAATAATCACTCCTTTACTTAGTTAGGTATTAATGGGTAAACTCAGCTCATGTTACTGTGTACTTGGTAAAACTTGACTAAATAAGCATCTGATTAAACACTGCACATTAATCTTAACAAAAAAATCTCAACGAAAACTGCATTTCCCATAATCTTTTTGTAACATATAAACAAACAATCCAGTAGCAACATTGTACGTGAATTTATTTTCATTACAATAAACATAATCATATTTTTAAACAAAGCAAATTTAGTTATGTTATGCAACAATTCTTATAAGAAAAAATCTTTGAAGAACATCTTGCAATTCATGTAAGTATAGTATGTCACAATGTAAATGTCCATTTTATTCTGGTGATCCTTGTTATCAAGGTAAACATATTCAGGAAAAGAACAGAAAATTCAATAACTTATCAAGGTTTAATCTTTCTGGTGCATATTTCATTTCTATTTGTCAATATAAATAAGGAAAGATCAGTAATTTCCACCTGCAACAAACAGTTTTATGTAGTATCATATGAATTTGTATTTGTTAAGTATGTCATTTATGTCTTGATAAATATTACTGGCACACATTTACAGACATACTGTAAACATATAAGAGAATCTGTGCATGTCAATATCATATGGTTTACTTATATCAGCACCGTTTTTTCCTTGTTTATCCCTCCAGCTTTTGATTGGTGAAAAGGTCCAAAGTTACAATCCTGTGGCTAGCCTGTAACCAATCGGAGAAGTGCCACCTGGTGTTCAGACATAGTGATGCCACACACACCTCTACACAAAGTCATATAAATATCTCAGGACATCAAATCCAACAGTTCTGTAACAGATTCAGAGAAATTAATCTTGCAACATATACTTTAATATAAGGAACAATGGGCCTGTATACTCCTATGTTATTCTAAGCAACAAACTGAACATGCAAACATCAAGGTCAAATTTTGTAACACAATATGAAAGATGAACGACTAGAGGTTGTTGCTCTACACATCAATGGACTTTATTCATTTTTTTCCTACTTTCAAGAATATAGTGTTTACTTTTCCTAAGTAACTCAAGTAAGAGTGGCTACTAGGAAATATGGGTAACCAAGTACAATGGTTACTAGAAAACACAGGTAACCAAGAACAGTAATTACTAGGCAACACAAGTAACCCAGTACATTGGTTACTAGGCAACAAATGTAATCCAGTACAGCGGTTACTAGGTACCAAATGTAACCCAGTATCTTGGTTACCAGATAACAAAGGTAACCTTCCACAGTAGTTACTTGGCAACACAGGTAACAAAGTACAGTGGTTACTAGGCAACACAGGTAACAAAGTACAGTAGTTATTTGGCAACACAGGTAACCCAGTACACAAGGAAACTAAGTACAATGTGACAGCTGTTAATTACTACAAGTAGAACACTTATCAAAGGAAATTTCCAATTGTCGCCAAAAAATAATGAGAATTAATGACCTAAAACACTTCCTTCGTTAATAATCCTTCAGGAATAAGGTCAAGTTCGTTGTAAAAGTAAGTAGTGTTTTACCCCAAGTGTTAGGTAATTACAGCATGAGACGGTCACTTCATCATATGAAATAGAACTGGCCAATTAGTCAGGAGACGGTCACTTCACAACCTGAGAATGTAGGGATGATATCAGCTAAATCCCAGGCCTTGAAATGTCTAGTTATCTTACTACGAGTTGCTGTCATACTTCCGTGTCAACATCCAATCGCGGTAAATCTGACACAGATAACACAGCTCCACTCTGGAATGTCATTAAGGACATCAGTACTTCAAGTAAACTTTGTCAGATGATTTGTTCTTAAAAACAAAGTAGTAATACTACAGTTATATTTTTATTTCCTTTTTCACAGCAAACTTCTGTAACAATGGGACTAATCTGATGAAATGTGGATTTATAACTGAATAACAGCAGTAAGTAAGAAAACATCTTGAAGTCTTTTAAACACCCTAAACTTAGAGGAACCCTTGCATCATGATGTAATATCATACCATCCTCCTCCCGTAAGTTTCTCTAGCCAAATCAAACATTGTAACACACATACCTTCCACCTAGGCATCAAGGGTGTTGATTCCTGGAATGGACACAAAAAAAGTATGGGGTCACCTTGCTGACCACATGGGTTTCCCTGGGTACTCAGGTTTCCTCCCACAGTAAGAACCCTTGTGACCCTCTACCCAAGCCAACAAGATTCATATAAGTTGGAAAATTGTTGTAAAATAGATCAAGTTAACAATAATACTGACCTTGACACTGATTTAATGAATTCCAAGGACACTAGACATTTGTATTTAGGTGTATCTATCTGGTCATCTCCAGCCACCTGTCCGAGCATATTTAGACTGACCAGTGAGGAAATCTACAATCCATATATAAATTATATAAATATTCCCTTCACAAAATGTTAGGTCCATTACCATTTGGGGTATTCTTTGGCCTCAATCATTTATTAGTTTTATATGCAAAACTTTCATATCAAGTATTATGAACATTGCATGAATAGGCAAAATATTTTGATCCCAGACATATCCCAATTTGACCTATTTTGCATTGACATTGCATGAAGAAATAAATGATGTTCATTTTGAATGAAGAGGTGAATCATAATTTGAAAAAGAAAGTTCACAACTGATGTTGTAACTTTTAATAAATCAGCAAAATATGTATTTTCAAATAATCCCATCACTTTTTTGACATTTGTAAAATACATAAGAACCACATTTTTCTATTTAGTCTGTCCATTTATATCAGTTTTTACCAACCTGTACAAATATATTGGCAGTAGGTGACACTCTTCCCTCCACTATGGAGAAGAATATGGCCATCAGTCTGTCTATGGAAAACTGTTTGGGGCCCAGCATATGGTTACTAGTCTGTAACAGAAACACCATCAAATATAGGCATAAGTGATTTAATGTATATCATTACATCCTATCAGAAAGTAAGTTTACTTCTGTCAACTTTAAGAGGTAATAATCTAGTATCAATTTCACCCATTGTTAACACATATGGCTACATGTATTAACAGACAAAAATTGCTGTGAAGTTACCCATCTGAAATGAACTAGATGAAAGTTTACCAAATTATTATTTTTTTCTTTTTAAATTTGTTAATAGATTAGCAATAGTTATCTCCCTTTAAGAAACATCATTCTGGAGTACTGTGCTAAACAATGATGTCAATTTAGAAGACATGATGCAGACATAAAGTATATGCTTTTATTTTGATCAATAAAATAAAATATTAAATAGATTTTGTAGCCAAATGTCACAAAATTTCTTGGGATATCTGTGTTTCAGAATTCAAGATTCTATAAATCCAACAGGGTTGTTCCGTAAGGGATGTTTGTATCCCATATTTGCAAAAGTGGAAAAATCATAATTCATATATTTTTTTTAAACTGAAGTGTATATATAATGAATGTTTCAGTGTAATTATCACTGAAATGGTTTTTTATGTTTACTCCTGAGCAGGCGTAGCAGTAATGTAGAAAACATCCAGCAATATAAACAAATGTTTTAGAAACCAATAATGTCACTTATTCATCACTGGGGTGCATGTGTAGCATGTCCGTCCAGAACACTTTTATTGCGTATTATCAGAGTATGTATCACATGCATGCATACTTGACATGTGACCTATTACCGACGTAATTGTACAGTAATTTGTTTACTGTAGGATTGGCTCTTTGTATATACACTCTTGTGAATGGTCCACTCACTGCTACTCAACAATATCAACAATTTCCTCAAGTACAACGCACAAATACCAAGTACCAGCAAAGAGTGAAATTTCCTTCTAATACTAATTATTAATTAGAAACAATATTTCAGGGTTGGGAAAAAGGGAAGTTGATGGTAGGAGGGGGATGCTGTCCTGTTTTCTGGTTTCCTCACTGTTGGAAGCAGTACAAAGCAATGCCTTATTTGCTTAAATCTTATTTATAAACACGAGATCACAGAGGGATCTTGACACCCACCATTGTTTGATCTTAATATGCTCTTTGGAAGTTGGATATTTTCCCTTTTTTTCTCCCTTCTCTGTTTATGCTCTTAATGATAAGACATTTGAACATTCCTTTACAGAAAGAGCGATGATAATCTTTACCTGCCAAATCAAAAACAGCCGTCTGGAAGCCATTTTGTTTCTTCTTATCAGTCCCAAAAGCAAACGAGCACAAGGGGAGACCAATGGGAACATACATATGAAATTTGAGAGATATCAATTTAGTACTTCTTAAGAAATAGAAATAACAATCTTTACAAGGCAAAATCAAAGATGACTGCCTGTCAGCCATTTTGCTGATCAGTCCCAAATTCAAATATGCACAACTAGGGACCTAAAGAACCCTATACATGAAATTTGAGAAAGATCTATACATTTGTTCTCGAGAAATAGCAATAACAACCCTTCAAAGTAAAATCCAAGATGGCTGCCTTTCGGCCAGTTTGTTTTTCTGATCAGATCCATAATTAAATGTTCATTATTTGGGACAAAGGGGAACTTACGTATGAAAATTGAGAGAGATCCATCCAGGACTTCTTGACAATAAGCGATAACAATCGGTGAAAGTCAAAATTCAAGTCAGCCATTTTTTTTCTGATTAGTTCCAAAATTAGATGGGCACATCTAGGGACCATAAGAAACCTATATATGAAATTTGAGAAAGATCTATACAACAGTTCTCAAGAAATAGTGATAACAAACTTGCAAAGTCAAAATCCAAGATGGCTGGATGACTGTCATGCATTTTGTTTTTGTCGGTTCCAAAATTTTATGGGCACAACTAGGGACCAAGGGAAGCCTAAATATTCAATTTGTGAAAGATGACTTCCAGTACTTCTCAAAAAATAGCAATAACAAAAATTATTTACGGACGGACAAACGACAGACCATGGACACAGAGCAATTTGAATGGCCCACCACCTGATGATGACAAAATCAGGGGCAACAAGATAAATACAATATAACACAGAATATTAACAGTTTTTCTTGTATGAGTCAATTTAATGTTCAAAATGTATTTCAGTTAATCAGTTCATAACTCACTCATTCATAACTCATCAGCATATCTGGATCATTTTAAGGGTGAGGGCTTCTCCTAGAAGTAGCATGTGACTACCTCAATAACATACAGGAGGCCTGTCACATGACATTAATTAGGGTAAAGAGTCTTCCCCCAAGGACCCAATTATGTAATCACCCAATTATGTAAACACAAACTGGTCAGTTTCCCAGCTTCCTGGGAAGTGTGACACATGCCTCAGATCTTTCTCTAAAGTTGTGTATGCTTATGCTAGGCCTATGCCTTCCTGGTAGAGCTATCTTGCCTCACATATCAGAGTTATCTGTTACAAAATGTAAGATAACAATCACTGCTGAACTCCTAGATCATTTTAACTACATGAGTGGCAGGGCTTGTTACAGTAAAACAGTAATACAAAATGGAAGCACACTTGGCAGCTTTGCTATCAGAGATAATTTCATGAGCCACTTTATCATCATATTCATCATCACTTGCCTGCCCTGAAAATTAGCAAAATGTCAAACCCCAAAAAAATAGCCAACAATACAATATCCAGGATGACAGTGTACACAGGTTAAGAGAGCTCACAGATTTATTTCAAGTATTTTTTAATGAATAAATAAATCAAAAGGATACGCTGAGCATATAGTCTAGGATACATACTATTAAATACTAGCAAATACTGAAAATAAAGAAAACATCAAAACATATCAAAACAACACAATTTAAAACCCCTCTCTGGACTATTAACTCATCTCTTGACACAAAAAGAATATTGAACAAAAATTAATCAATTAATGAAATATTGACATTTATTATGCAAAATTCATATGAGTCAGAACACATAATTTCACATACTTTCCTTAGCATGACTACATATTAATCAAATCTTCAAAAGTTGTATGACCGTGAACGTAATATTTCATCAATATCTTTTAATAGGTAATTGATAATTACAATAACTGTGTATCAAGAAACAAGTTAATCAGGACATGAATTTTCATGAAGCTTTTACTGTTTACACAACAGATGGCTGTATCTGCACAACTGTTGTACGAGGGTTGATTGATAAGTTGTGAGCCTTGTATTGAAGAAGTCAAGCAAGGATGTCATTTTTCTACTTTTCCCTGACTAGTGTCATTCAGTCAGTTTATGTCAAAGCGGTAGCACTCTAAATTAAACAAGACAAGTGACTTTTGCAAAATGGACAAAAAATCACCTAAGAATATCCATACTGATATGGTAGCATTACTACTTTTAAATGCTACAGTAAAAAAGGAAGAGCCTTGGGGATGATGCCTGACCAGGAGAGCTTGGCATCATGGGCCGCTGGGTACTAAGACTTCTGAATGTTGATCACAAGCACACCAGGCAAACTTTGTTGCATGCTAATCTGAGGCAGACCCTGCTAACTTTCTGCAGAGGTTTGTAACTTATGGATGAAACGTGGGTCCATCATTTCACCCCAGAGGCCAAACAACAATCTAAACACACAAGTCTGTCATTGCCATGGCTGCCATTAACGATGGTGGCTTTGAATTAATTGAACATCCACCTTATTCATCTAGTCTTGCTCCGTCAGATTTTCATCTGTTTCCAAAATTGAAAATTGCCATTTCCATTTCCAACTTTTGGTCAGATGATAATATCATACATGCAGTGGAGGACTATCTGAATGTTCAAGAAAAGGGCTTCTTTAAAAGTGGCATTGTAGTCCTTAAGCATCCCTGGCAAAATGGATGAATACTGAAGGGGATCATGCTGAATCAATTATCCCTCATATCATCGATGTAATTGTATGAATGCTAACATTCGTGGTGGATTATTTCACTTACTCTTTCATGTTTCTTGATCAATTTGGCCCGTTTGTCAATCTTGCCAGAGTGCTGAGAGTAAAAAATAAGCAAATATACTGCAAAGTATTTAAATTAAATATTCAAAGATTTCAAAACTATCTGGTTATATTCATGATGCAAGAATTATTCAACAGTCAGAAAATAAAACTGTCGGATCATTTTAGATTTAAAATTTTAAGAACTCATTCAAGAGGTTATCATACTTCCATTATTATGATACTGGAAAGACAGAGATAACATATCACATGATGTATATATCACAACCAATAATATTGAATTATATAAGAAGTACTTCATTGCTGATTGACATAAACTTACCCTGGCAAAAAACCTGCGATCTGTCTTAGCAGGATTATAGGAAGCAAGGTAGGCAGCTATCAACAGATATTTGGAGTAGTATGGAAGTTCTACATGGTTTCTGGAGGACAAACCTACAGAGAGAAACATTACACATATATCTCTACATACACTAACAGTACTAAGGTGGTACAAGTTGTAGTAAATGTGAATATGGTAACTGATTTTTTTGTGAAACCTCCTGTTAAGACTTATAGAAAATTAGTGTTTATACTTCAGTACATTCAAAACCAAGTTTATTCAAGCCTAGGACAACTCCACTCACTGATTGTTTCTTAATTGAACCAGATACTTTTGACCTACATCTTTTTCAATATCTGAACCTCCTTTTTTTGTAAATACTGTATAGTCATTCATTTTTTTTTGCAGGGATGGTATTTTCACTATTTCGTGGTAAATGAAAATGATTTTGAAAATTTAGTCTGTGAAATAATGAGATGTGTGTATAATTTTGATTTTAATAAATTTTAATATGTTAGAATAAAATCAAATCATTTTATAAAAAATTATCAAAAACATTTTGACCGTGAAAATTACCAGCTATACAATATTTCCTCCATTATTTTATCCATAGCTACAGGGACTCGGAAATAAGTCTGCATGAGTTACTTCCCTTCTAATTAAAACAGTACCTGGTGTAACATTGTGTTATAGAGACATAGGATGAAATTTGATATAAACCTAATGTAAATGTAAACCTAGACCTGCTTTCAGAGCATATTTTATTCTTATAATCTAAAAATGATCTTACACAGGTATAGAGGGAAAAAATGAGTTACATATTGACAGGTATATAAATAGACTACCTCTCATTTGAAATACCTTGTAAAGATGGTATCTGTCCTACTTCAGTTTCCTGCTGTGCTTTTTCCCACTGAGAGCTGAAACAAATACCAAACAGTTATCAGAAAAAACAAGCCTACTTTTGTCAAGTCATTTAATCAGAAACCAAATTAAAGAGGTTCTATACAGCTGCCTCAGTCCATGTTAAATAGCAATGACAGGAATATCCTTGATTTCAAACATGATGTAAGAATGAAGGTGCTAGTTTAATAGGTACATTTAAAACAAATGAAAAAAAACCCCTAGAAAACCATACAGGAATGCTACCAAAGTGTTGAACTTATCAAGAGTGGATTGAATGTGACAAACACACCCTAACAAAGTGTGACAGGATAGCTCCCTCATGTAAACAGTCTGTATTATCTACACATCTTGATACCTCTCTCAGGTAAACAGTCTGTATTATCTACACACATTGATACCTCCCTCAGGTAAATAGTCTGTATTATCTACATACCTCGATACCTCCCTCAGGTAAACAGTCTGTATTATCTACACACCTTGATACCTCCCTCAGATAAACAGTCTGTATTTTCTACATACCTTGATACCTCCCTCAGGTAAACAGTCTGTATTTTCTACATACCTCGATACCTCCCTCAGGTAAACAGTCTGTATTATCTACACACCTTGATACCTCCCTCAGGTAAACAGTCTGTATTTTCTACATACCTCGATACCTCCCTCAGGTAAACAGTCTGTATTATCTACACACCTGGATACCTCCCTCAGGTAAACAGTTTGTATTTTCTACATACCTCGATACCTCCCTCAGGTAAACAGTCTGTATTATCTACATACCTCGATACCTCCCTCAGGTAAACAGTCTGTATTATCTACATACCTCGATACCTCCCTCAGGTAAACAGTCTGTAATGCCTTTTTCAGATGTGGTTCTATATTCTTCCACAGTTTTCTTGTATCTGAAGCTACAGCTGAGAGAGAGATGTTTTAATGAGTTACATATGATTATTATAGTGTTTCCATTTTAGTAATTGTAAAATACAACACAGTTGGAGCATAATCCAGTGGGATATCATTTATAAACTAAACAATGGATACCATAAACATGTAATAATATGTTATATCATTTAAGTTGAAAAATCTTCCTCATTGAAGTTTTGATTGACATAGAACATACACTTAATATTTAACACCACCAATTTTGTATTTAAAGACTTACCGTCCCATGTTTAACTAAATTGTGTTTTGAAAGACTTACCTTCTCCAGTTTTAATCGGCTGACAGTACTGGTCATAGTTCAGCGAAGCCTGTGGAATTACATTTCACAAGTTTACAAAATGCCCACACTATATCCCTTTGAATACTATTTTCAATTGTGAAATTACATGACAAATGTATAAAAGTGTATAAAATTGTTGTCAGGTAGGAGAATTCAGATAGAGGAGAATACAGCTTAATTTAGTAGGTGTCTAGTAGGGGAATTCAGATAGTTGGCGTTCGGTAGGAAATACAGATAGATTAAGTTGGTAAATCTGATGATCAATATGCATAATGATCATAAACATAGAAAGAATCATTTCAATATCAATTTGAAATTGAAGTACTATCCTCCAAATGTTTAGTACTTACTAAGTATCGTATCTCCCTGAGGTCTCGACATACCATGTGGAACACACTTAAAAGAAGATTAAGGTACATAGAATAGAAGTCTGCCTCACAATCCTTGGGTCGGTCTTCTGTCAGAATAGTCAGTACCTCATCTGAAGTTAGCATGAATATTGATGGAGTTTAAAAACAAAATTCAGAATATCTACCAAAGTATACATGTATCTGTTTTTTAAGCAAAGAGTGAATGTTGTCTGATGTTGTACATAACAGGATTGATGGAACCAGTTTTATATTTATCTCTATATGTATATTTTATTTTTAACAAAAAATTATCACAATACAGACTTCAGTATGTAGAGTCCCTTACCTTTTGTGTAGTCAGGAAAGTTGATTATATAGGGCTCACAGTAACCAGTCCCTGTACGAAATTTCTCCCAAACTATCTCTGTCATCAATATCACACACACATTTCGACATGTCTGAAAATAAAAAGTGAGAGTGAAATTGTCTCCCTTAGATTATTAACATGTTTTATGAATTATCTCCCTTTATAGATTATTCACATATGAATAAGTCTTTTGTAAAACTTCTTCATTAGTCCAAGAGTAAAACTAAATGGTGGTATTAAAACCTACCAGTTCTTGAAGTCTGAGAAATGATGGTATTATGTTGATCTCCTTATCTCTCAAGCACTCTGCTTTATCTAGCACCTGGAATCAACAAAATAATAACTTTCAGCAGCTCAACTCTTAATACCATATCCCTTTATTATAACAGATACTAAATTTATCAAATATTGAACAAAAGACATGAAAAAAAAATCAACTTATTCAACTTGAAATATGTTCAACTAACTTTCCAAAGTAACATTATTTTCCCTTAAAATTTAATGGAATGGAAAGCACTACCTTTTATGCGAAAGAAAATGATTCCATGGTCATCAACTTCAAAACCTATTAGTAATCATTTGTAAAAGTCAAAATTGCATGATACAAGTGTACACTAAAGAACCATGCATTTGTTCACTGAATAGCTATTAAACGATAATTCCACATACTCGCACCATTTCAATCTTTAAATCTTGCTTCAAGTTATCAAAGTCCAAAAAAAAATACTCACAATATAAACAGTTTGTTTATTAAGACCTTTATCCTCACACACTTGCTGGAATGTCCGTATGAAATCATTCATGTTGTCACACTTGAGATAGGAATCAGGGTCAGCCATGTATGATCGTAAACCCTGTAGCTTGTTGAGGATCTTCTCGTACATAAACCTCTGATTGTAACACTCCACACAGTTCACAATGACATGGGGTAGCTATAGAATAAGATATATAACAATATCATGTACAATACTAGAGCTGTCAGAGATGGGTTATGCTCCCTGATTGGGATACAATTTAAGTATGAAAAATAAAGGGTAATAAGAAAGTTATGATTCTTGTGCACTGCCCTCTTACTCCTTGAGACCTATCTACCAAGGTAGTTTCAAATTAATACCTCTTATACTTTTAGAGTAATGCTCTAGACAAAATTTAACTATGAAAAATACCAAAGGGCGATAACTCCTAAATTATGCAAAAGAGAAGGATAGTCCTTGTGCACTGCACTTTTCCTTGCTGTGATCTATCTATGTTGAGGCCTCTTACAGTTTTTGTATGGACGGACAGACAAAGCAATAAATATATGCTTTCCCTTTGGGGAGCATAATACAATGGGAATTCATATGATGAACCATAAGGGTTGCATGTTTTATGAAATAAATGCACCTGGAAATTTTCTCTGATATTGACTTTTGCCTTTTTCATCCATGGACAAATGAGACAACTTCATATGTAAAACATGATACCATTTTAGCAACATAAACACTTACACATCATTGGAAGCCAAAGTATTTGACAGAGTGTTGATTTCTCAGCAACCTTTGAATAGTAATAGTAAGGGATCTTGGCATAAGACACAATGACTGAAATCTGAAGAAAAATTCCTACCTGTAGTGTCTGAAATAATGAGTTGATGACAAGGGACTTCCCCGTACCTGTATGTCCGTACAGAAACAGAGCAGGAGGAGCAACCTGCTGAGGCTTAAATAAACATAAATACCAGTATAATAGAGATAACAAACATAAATAATAAAGAGATTGTTGGCTTCCACTTGAACAAAATGTCTGTGTACTCGATCATAGTGATCTCTGATAACAGTATCATGGTATTACTTCTTATGAACTTCATCCAGGTCTTGAAAACATGAGTTCACTGCTCATAAAATACTAGATAATTTTCATTTCCTCAAAAACATAATTACAGCAAAAATCCCTACTTCCCACAGGCAACAGGACCATATTATCTTTAAATTCACTTTATGGTTAGCCTAAAGGAAAACCTTCTAAATAAGGCTATCAAATTGACATATTTACATGATATTGCACAGTTACTTTCTTTTATAGATGTATGCCATAATAGATAAGTTTCTATAAATCTGGGTATTCAGAATTTATTCCTATGTAATTACCTGTCCTATGAGTGATATTAGAGTTTTGATTTGCCGATTCCGACAAGATATATTTTCTGACAGGACTTTGACAGGATCCGCTTTCTCTACCTCCATCTCTGCCATTTTTATCACCTAATGCTGCACTGTTACCATCCACCTAAACAAAATACAGAGGTCCACAACCTGAAGCAACATGTAAAAAATAGTATGAAAAATTTATCTTCACTGACTGTGAAGCTGCTATAAGACAATGTTAAACTAGTTTTACACAGCACTTAGAGCAAAATACTAAGTCTATGTGACAGTTTTGGTGCAAATTTAGAGAGAGAGATTTTCTTATTAGATTGTGAATATCCTTAAATATGCCAGGATGTACTACAAAAATCCAATGCCACCTCTCATAACAGGGGATTTTTTTTCTTCTGAATTAAGACATGTTTGTGTACAGGTAGGTGTTACATAGCTTTTTAGAAAAAAAACATAGTAAATGACAGTTTCCAACTCATAGGCCAAGATATCAATCAGTTTAGCTAGATTTGCAAAAAAACATCAAAAATGTATCGGCTACTTTTTTTCACAAACCACTATTCAATCTTGCCATTAAAAACAATGAAACCTAGCTTTTCAATCTTGCCATTAAAAACAATGAAACCTAGCTTTTGTAAGAAAAGCACAGGTGAGTATATTAGATTCACTTACGAGTACATGGTTTGTGGCTGTCCTTTAACAGTGCAATGGTTTTCTGAATCATAATCAAATTAGTATGACATAAAAGTTTTGGTCAGCTTTTTGTGAATATGCCACTTTGTCCACTTATGCTTAAAACCCATTTCATGGCATTTACACTAATGTGTCAGAGTTAAGGGATAACAACTCTCTGTACTAATAGGATACATTCTCCCAAATTCAAGGATATCCCCCAACCTAATGACATTTTTGTTTTTGTTGTTTTAGGAGGGGGTGACGTTCAATTCAACAAGAGGTCTCTACTGGTTCTTACTAAAATGAAAATGATTGGAAGTAAGTAATATCAAGCTTGTCATTACATCATGTGCTAGCTAATGTAGAGATCGGTCTAAGTGTGACTCCCAGGTTCAATTTTCTTTATTGTCAAAATCGAAAGTATGGATCACAGGCACGTGGCGATTCAGTCTGTCACTGTTTTATAATCGACTTACATAGGAAATATAAGATTGTCACAAGTTGACGACATACTTGTTATCAGCGTCTGTGTGTAATTCGTTGATCCCTATAATGTAAGTAGAACGTCTATATTCTAATCAATCACTGGTCGACTGCAATGCTTCATTTTTCCCACCAAAATGCCAAACGTGTCCATACCACTTCCGGTTTCCGGCAAAATATGACCCATGAACCCTGCATCTGTAATGAGCCATGTGGTATTCCTAAAATAGCTGTGGCGGAACAGGTTTGTGCATGGCGGTGTCAACAACAGGTAAGCATAGCCAATCAATGACACTGAAGGTAGAAACTTGTTCTACCAGTTTGATCGGGTGCTATTTTTAGATTGTATTTCTATTGACAGAGACTACGAATCGTTAGACCTCACCCTCCGTTTACAACATACACGAGGTCTATTTTCGACCGGTTGAAGATACGAAGGGAAGTTGTAAATATCAGTCAAACAGGTGCTGCGGATCGGGGTAGCATCATGACATCGGTAATGGATCCTAATGTGACCAAATTCAACCCAGAGACGGCAAGAGTTTACCATTTTCGTTACATGAGAGAATACCGTGCTATTTGTGCGTTATGGGGTCTCCTCACGATCATCTGGTGTATTTTGAATCTGGTGTCATTTATCCAGCCCCAGTGGATTGGAGATAGTCCCCAGTCCCCAGGATACGGGCATCTGGGCGTGTACGCTAACTGCTACCCCGATCATGCCCTAGGGGAGTACGTGTGTGATGGATCTCCCTTCAGCTGGGATTCTATCCTCAACAACTCCTTCAAGGCTACATCTTTCTTCGTTGGTGTGTCAGCTTTGTTGATGTTGATTACAGTTGCTGCCCTGCTGTTTTTCTTCTGCTTCAAGAAAACACTGGTTTTCTACTTATGTGGAATCATGGAAATCATCTCTGGTATAACACCGATATATCTTAAATAATAACTTATAAACATGATAGAAAAAATATTAGTTCATTGATACGTATAGATAAGATATCTTTATGCTTATTATTATAACTAATATCCATTTAAAACTGAATTTAATGCTGTTCTCATACATTCCATCGTTCAGTGGTAAAACTTTCAAATAGATGTATTTGAAAAGAAATCTGCAGGTAGATTTTATGGACATTCAAGTCAGATAAGTCATGCAAAAAAAATCAACAAACAAACAAACAGAGGCAGTTTCCCTGTGATATGGGTGTTTACTGTGTACGAAATAGCTGAATTAAAAATACACTGAGTTATGTATGTAAAGGTAAGTCTGAGTCATGAAACTGGTCAACAAGTTTGAGGTAGTATTTTCTAACTGAAGCAATAATTATTACGATAGATACATGTACACGAGATAAGATAAGTTTATTTCCGAAATGAACCGTGGTTCACTTTACCATACTACACCAGTTCAGGACTTAATGCAAGTCCTCTATACCAGACTCGGTAAGATACATTACAAGAAAATATGATGATGGTTATAAATTATTAAATTGCTGCAGATTACTAGTGACAATAAGGAATTGAAAAATAAGATAGTTGGAAAAGTCATTGATCATGGATAAATATTACATGTACATAATTTTGTAGTCAAGATAATAACAAAACCCTATTCACCTCTTCCCTGCAACACATCCCCACCACCCCAACCCTGCACTCCTCCTTCAAACCAACTTCCTCCAGCCACCACCCTCCTTTAAACAACACAGCTGTAATATAAATGATTCTTGTGTCTGTAAAATTATATCATGTATGTGATAGAAGCTGATTAAGAAAAGCAGTTTCAAACAGAGTTGATCAGTGGCAAAGATATCAAGATATTGCAGTGCTAGTTAAATTGTTAGGATTAATAGGACATTAACATGCAGTAAATATTTATAATCTGTTTTACGATCAAAAATTTACTTGGTATTTAAATGTCTCGGAAGACATATCCCAGTAAATTCCATTGTGAAAGGTTTTTGTGTCCTGGTAACTTGGATAGACGTAGTCATACTTTTGATGTGTTTCGCTGTATTTTAACTACAATACACACAACAGATGACAAAGTTATGTAGACCCAAGGCTTATAGATTTGTTACATATATATGGTTATTGATAAGGATGTTTTATATAGATGTGGTTGTTATAGACAGGTGGTTTGTGTGGATGTGTTTATGGATAAGAATGATTAATATAAATGTGATTGTTATATACAGGTGGTTTTTGTGTGAATGTGGTTATTGATATGGATGTTTAATATAGATGTGGTTGTTATAGACAGGTGGTTTGTGTGGATGTGTTTATGGATAAGGATGATTAATATAAATGTGATTGTTATAGACAGGTGGTTTTTGTGTGAATGTAGTTATTGATATGGATGTTTAATATGAAAGTGGTTGTTATAGACAGGTGATTTGTGTGGATGTAGTTATTCATGAGGGAGATAAATATAAATGTGGTTGTTATAGACAGGTGGTTTATGTGTGGATGTGGTTATTGATCAGGATGATTGATATGAAAGTGGTTGTTATAGACAGGTGGTTTGTGTGTGTATATCATAATTGATATGGATGTTTTATGCAAATGTGATTGTGATAGAGGGGGTGGTTTTTGTGTGGATGTGGATATGAATATTTGTAAATGTGGTTGTTATAGAGAGGTGATAATTGTGTGAATGTGGATATGAATATTTGGAAATGTGGTTGTTATAGACAGGTGGTTTATGTGTGGATATGGTTACTGTAAACAAGTAGGTTTTGTTTGACTCGATTAACTGTGGTCTTTATAGGCATGTAAATAAAATTTCTCCTTTGAATATGGTTGATAGAGATAGGAGATTTCTATTTTGATGATGGTTTCATTGATCAACGATAGAGAGGTGGTCTTAATAAAGAGGTGATTTTCATATGAAGCTTTTTCCTGTGTGGTTGTGATTTCAAAGTGTTTGTGTGGATATTGTCTTTTTTAGAAGTGATTTCATCTGACGACGAAGCCATTTTCTGTGTGGCTGTTCTTTATTGACAGTGGCTAATGTGTGGGTGTAGTCTTTATACACAGGAATTTGATGTTGGTGTGATCTGGATAAGAGAATTCTGTGGTTGTATGACCTTCATAGACATGTGAATTTTGTAATGGTGTGTTCTTGGTAGATATGTATTTTGTGTTGATGTGGTATTCATAGAAAAGTGAATTCTGTGTAGATGGGATCCTTATAGAAAGATGTTTTTGTTCTGAAGTGTAGTTTGTGTTAGTTATCTCTATTTCAGACCTCCTTTACATCAGTAATGCAGAATTACTGGAGTCTGATCATTTGGAAGGGACATTAGTGTAACAAAAATATTATGTATACAGCATTTATAGTTCACCTGCTTGGTCTGATGCTGTATTGTTTGTCTTGTAGCCTTGTTTATGTTCCTGGCTTGTGTGATCTACCCTAGTGGGTGGAATCAGGCAGAGGTGAGGACGATCTGTGGCGACACAGCAGGAGAGTACCGCCTGGGCGAGTGTGGTATTCGTTGGGCCTACATTCTCGCCATCCTGGGGATATTTGATGCAGCCTTCCTGGCTATTCTTGCTTTCCTCTTAGCCACAAAACGTGCAAAGCTGGAGATGTACTCCACAACTGGTACTGTAACTAAGTGTAAGTATATATCTGATCCACATACACTAACATATCGTGGAAATGTGACTCAGTTTTCAGTTAAACTTCCCAAACTTTAAATAAAAATATCAAACATCATATGAGATACAAAGATCAGCAGTGTGTGCAACAATTTTTTTCCCCATTCATCTCTTTTCAAGATAATATCTCTCCTACTGTAAGGATGTATATCTGAAATGTGTGGGTATTATAAGTGAGTGTCTATCCAATATGTGTAAGTGTTTATCTGTAATATAATGGTATCTAGCTGAAATATGTGTATGTCTTTCTAAAATATTTTGGTGTCTTGCTAAAACATGTGGGTGTATAGCTAAAACATCTGGGTTTTTTCCAAAACATTTTTGTGTCTTGCTAAAATATGTGGGTGTTTGTCTAAAATATTATGGTGTCTAGCTGAAATATGTATGTCTTTCTAAAATATTTGGGTGTTTGGCTAAAATTTGTAGGTGTCAAGCTAAAATATGGGTGTATTTCTAAAATTTGATTGTGGGTGTCTAGCTAAAATGTGTGGGTGTTTACAAGGTATCTAAGGTGAGTGTGATCGTCTTTAATAGAATGAAATTGTTCCTAATCAGTGCAATACAATATGAGATTTCTGGTAGAAAATGTTTTAAAGATGTTTATATACTTTTATTCTGAAGATAAATTTCTGGTTTTACATGTATGTAAGTCTGTAATTACTGTAATCAAATACCTATATGAAGTAATAATGGTGTCTTTTTTAATTAATTACAGCTGAGCTGAATGGCTATTCAGGCGACACCCTTTCGAAGCATTCCATGCCTATCCAGCCAGTCGTCGCAGTCCCAGACTCTCACTATGGTAGCCGACGGGACTTCACTCTGTGATCTTTCATTATTCGAGACCATGTGGAAGGGATCTCCCATTATTTTATACCGTATTTAAGGGATCTCTTAGTATCTCTGATCTGCCAACATACTTGCTGTCTTTTGTGACAATTTTCAAGGTAAAGTTGATGAACTGTACATTGAAACTTCAACATCCTTGAATACTTATTATACAGTGATATTTAGTAACATTTCAATGTCAAAGTGCTCCATTTTTTGAATTCAAGGATTAGGAACTACAGGCAAATGTGCTGAAGAAAAACTTACCTTTGGAAAATATGGAGCAAAAAAAAAACAGCTACCTGAAGAAAATCTTACGGAAGAACAATACATGTTGAAATAAAAACATTGATATGTGGTCCGAACAAAGCTGAAAGATCTTCATTAGTGTAGATTATTCTGAAGGTAAAGAGATGTAAAAAGAAGAATATATATTTCCAAGTATAAAGAAAGAAAAAATTTGACATTACATGTATATAGAAAACAGTTAAGAAAAATCATCTCAAAACTGAAAATTACCATTTGTGATTTCAGTCACAAAAAATATATTTAAAGACATCATGCAAATATGATAGGTATATGATAGGTTATTATAATTACAAGAGCAGTTCCCTTTATAAGTAAGGCTTGTTATTGAAGCAGCACCAATCAGTAGAAGATTAATAGGATTTATATATATACCTGAAGGTACATATATATAAAGTCTGAATGAGTGAGGGGCCAAATAACCAGTATTACAGGAAACCTGTCCTGGTCACTGGAAATGTGAGAAATAGAATCTAAAAAATATGCATGTATGTAGGTAGTGTTAAATGTTCACTTCCAAGACATGATGAAATTGAAAATAGAATATTTATCTTGGGTAGACGGAGGATGAAAACTCAGTAAAGGATTATCGGAGATTGTGCTGTTCACAGGTGTGTAAATAGGAAACTGTGTACATGTTAATATTACGTTGATGGGATTTGCAGCAGTTCAGCTCTACCATCCATGAAATAACTAATTCACAAAATGGTCTTGTTTAGTAAACTATGTTTTCTTTTTTAGAATGAAACTTTCTGTATCATAATGAAGTATATCACATATATTTTTGCAAGAGTGCATTGTTTACAAATGTATATCTACACAACGATGAAAAATGAACCTCATAAAATCTGCATTCTGCTTTAGCTCTAATGTCCAAAATATTGCTTGTCATACAATAAAAATGTCAACTTTTGAGAAAACTTCATATGCATATTTTAACAGTTCTTCCATCTTGTTAAACGACCTCAAAAGTTGATATGTTGTCTCATCTATATCTTGTATACTCCTGTCTCCTTGGTATTTAAGTCGCATGGTTTATACTGCATGGTGATTAAAATTAAGTTTACAACAAGTAAACTTATGTACTTTTTTTAGAAAATGACTGGACTTAAAGCCAATGAGGTACTAGATAGATTCTTTACATCATAATTATCAGTACACAGTACATATCTTTTAGTTGTGCGAGTGATTTTACTGTTATTACTTTCAATACGGTTTTATCTGAATAGCTTCCTATATATAACAGTTGTACACAAAAATAATGTTTATATATCTGAATATCAATATATAATGATCAGCTCAAAAATGGTTTCATCAATCTATAAACATCATTATTAATCATATTACTTTGAAATCTAAAAAAAATTTCTTTTCTTCAGACGTCCTGAGAGTGAAATTCACATTAAGACAATACATTTCATTAATTTTTATAACAAATCCTAGAAATCCTTTTGTTGCAGCAAGATGACAGTTGTGGTCAGTATGTAAGGTTTTGACAATATCAGTACAGATATGTCCATGCTGATATTTGTGATATTATGAGATGCCATTGTTAAGCTTATTCCTCCATTATGCATTCATGGCAATATTTTTTTAAAACAGGGGTTTGGAAATTATAGTATTGTCTTTGATGAAACGTTTTTGTATATAGGAAGAAATAATAAAATATATATACATCACTTTCTTCAGAGTGCTGTCGTTATTCTTCTCCTGTAACCAACTTGTGATGTTTTTATTCCCATTTACGACAAGTGTCATAGACAAGTCCTCTTTCTATTTTACGACAGGTGTCACAGACAAGTCCTCTACATTTTTGTGTAACACGTGTCAACCAAAAACCCTTGTCAGTAACCTTGTGCATATCACATGTGAAAGTAGTCCTTGACATTCAGTGACATGTGTCAAACATGTACATTTGTTATATGCCTTCGAGTTTACTCTTGAGAAGTATTATGAATAAAATACCATTCACAAGAAAGGTGATAAACTGATTTTTTTCATATTTCTAGTTTTATTTCTCACTCTCTCAATAGATCACAGACTTGTTTACATAAATAATACATCTTTAACATTACACATAATCATCTTCTACAAAGGACACGTCAGCTCAGGTTTCAACACTATCTGTACAGTTCTCTCGTCTATAAGTTAAAGAAGATACATATCAACTCACTCTGGGTATATACATTAAACCCTCCTTATACTGCCATCATATGTCTTCTATGTAGTGGCATATAGAAGAGCTGGACACTATAACAAGGGCTATATATATATAGAAACTGTCAAGGAAATATGGTACTTGAAAATGTGTGCAGTAACTGTGGGAAATTGGGCTCACATTTCATGAAGGTTTTTTTTCAGTGCCTTTTAGTTGGCACTTTATCCAAAACAAAACTTCTCATGAATTTTACTTTATTTACGAATTCATGGATTAACATTACCCAAGAAATAATTCTTCACATGAAAACTTATAATTTTACATTAATGAGACTTTTTTAAAAGGCTTTTCAATATGTATGTTAAATAAAACTCGTGAACTTAAAAGGTAACATTTTTCAACTCATAATTGTAAAGGCTTTTGAAAAAGAAATGCCATTCTATACATATATAAAATCCTGATTTCAGGGCTAGCTCTGGTTTTTAATTTTGATTCGCCAAACTCTGAATTTCTGAAAACTGGTTATATTTTTAGGTGACAGAATTGGGTTTCACACGACAAATTTGCTGGTTTGATTCTTTATACCTTCAGCTCTACCCATTTGGTACAATAAGTAATAATTGATACAGCTTAATCAAAATGTGTTATTTTCATGTTTTTTAGTTGTTTTTTTTTGTTGCAGTACTTTAATTCTAAGTTGTAAAGATTTATTTAAAAGAATTTTCTTTGGTTAAACTCATAAAAATGATGTAAGTATTGTGTCAAATTTAAGAAGAAAAGGGATAAGAAAGATGAAAATCCAAATTTTTCATACCAGTTTCAGTTACTTTTTTATCATGAACTGGATGTTCATTTCCTGTTTATTAGAGGCTGTCTATATTTTAGTAAAACACAGATCATCCTCATGTAAGTAAATCAATGACAGCTATAAACAGTGTTTGTTTTTGAAGTGATGGTCCAATAGTATAATTACAGAATAATGATTATTAACTAAGATTGTGTAGAGTGATCAGTTGAGGGTGAAGACAAACACCTGGGCACCCTGTGGCAGCTTACCTGTGACATGAGCCTGAGAAGATAGCTGGTAGCGAGATAATTACACCCCTTTATGTACAAAATTAACTCTGTGTATTTTGGCAATTTCCAACTTTCGCTAAAACAATTTTTAAATCGCCCATGAGTTTTCATTTTCGCCATTAGCACTGATAGCGACTGACAGCGCAAACCCTGATTTTTTAAACAAATATTCACATTTCCCTCTTGGACAAAACAAAATACTTGTACTCACTCCAATGTCAGTAGTGACCAATACTTTTACATACAACATTTACAGCAGTTACCAGTAGTCATGAATACTATTTGAAATACAATACAATTAAAACCTTCAATCTTTGAGGTAAGCTCTTATTACCTTATCATGTATAAGCAATGAAATTTCCTTATCAATCAAACATTTCATTCTTTGAGGAAAGACTTGTGAATTTGTTACTGTCACTCATAAAAAAGGAAACGAAATGCCAAGTAATTTGCTTTGAATAACATACCTTCAGTTTGTCAATACTCTTATTGGTACTTGAACAGTCACCCAAAAAATTAATAAAGATTGTTTAACTCAAATACAGCAATGAATGCTTCACTATTAACATAATTGTGTTCTGATAACAAAATAATGTCAATATGGCATTTTGGTATCTAATCTAAACTCACCCTTGTTTATCATAGTCAAAATTATCACTTGTATAAATTAACAGTAGAATTAGGCTTGACAACCTGCTCAGAATTAATACATTTTTATCCTCTAGAACATGTGCGTTTGTTTTTGTTTTGTTTTCTCAAAGTTTCACTACATATCAATTTTTTGAAAATCAGAAATCTTTTTTTGAACCAAGTAAAATATTGTTTCTTTAAACGAGGACTGCTCCATAAAATTTGAGACAATGTGCATGTTCTTTCATATACACATACTTTACACATATCTGCTAACAAGCTTGTCTACAAATGAGCAGTCAGCATTATGTTTGAAATGGTGAATAAATGAAATGTTTGTCTTTGTTATTAATTCAGAGACAAAGCAGGTAAATTCTAACCATTTTATATAATAAATAATGCTACTTTTTACAATGTAAAAAGCCTTTTTCTTCACATCAAAGTTTAAAAATAATCATTTAACTTGTCATGTTTGCATGACAGTCGATTTTTTATGTGATAGCTAACAATATAGGAAGCTAAACCATGAATGATCACCAAAAACATTCACACAAAAATTAATTAAATAATGTTAACATATAACTGTAGTGATCTTACTTTATATCCATGGATGTCTAGCATCATCTATCTCTTCACAATGCACAGTGATCAATAACAAATGAAAAACACCATGATATCATGTGTTTACAACAGGGTTGCTCATAAAAATGGTTTGCAAAAATATATCTATTTATATCAATACATTTTCTTTGAATACATATGATACGTGTATCACAACTGGCCAAGAAAACTAACCATTCACAGTGTAACATACAGCATAATCTCTGTACTATAATTATAATTAGGTGATCAGATGATACAGACGGTAGTATGATCTGTACAAATTTTAAAAATGTGGACAGAGCAATAAATGTTACAATAAGAGGGATGACTGTATATAGCGGTTACTGTATCATTACTTTTACACATTTCGCCGGGATCTCAGAATAACGAGATGTTTCAGGTGTTGGTTAATAAAACTTGTTACTCAAATTTGGATGAAACCAAGGTATGAAGTTCTCTAATCTTGTTTAAGAGAACAAATAATTCAGTTAAAGGTTGACATAATTCTCAGTTGTTATATGTGATTGACTGGGAAATGATTCAGCAAACAGATTTCCTCATATAGATGTAGTGGAGTCTACTCCAGTAGTTCTACCAAATTCTAATGTTTTATAAGGAGACTTCAGTACACCATTTTAAGATTTCTTACTGGTAACACACAACTTGTTTGTAAATTATTAAAGGTTCTGACAAGTTCTATGGCAAGGATGGTGGTTTTTGCCACCATGAAACACACACCTAAAATACATACTATACTGAAAGAACATTGCATTAATTTTCTAATCAAAAGATGAAATTTTAACTCAATGCTGATGAATAAGATTCCTTACAAATTGGTACAAACTGTAACATGGAAATTGCTGAAATGGATTCTGGTAAAAAGAGGAGACTTGACACATCTGATGTGGATTATGTAACATTGCTGATACATTGGTGTGATGGCTGCGAACAAAATCAGTCAGAAATACTACACAAGTTCATAGTATTTACAACTCCTGGGATCATAGTAACAGTTGAGACAAGGATCGTAGAGTAAATCCAACTCTTCAATAGATTCATCATCTGTTGTGTCCTGGCATCCCACTGCTGATAATCCTGCCTTCCTTGGGCTCAAATCTGTGAAAAGACAATCAGCATGACATTGCAAATAACTATTTCAACATTTTCCAAAATGTAATCATTCTCAAGAATTGAATTTACAATAAAATCAATAATTTTGAAAAGATGAAATTTATTCATATTCTGAATATTTATGTTCGTGTAAAAGCACACACATTTTCTCCCCTATCCTGCCAACATGCACATTTCCTTTGTTCTCAGTGGCTCTCTGTGACCACTAGTACACAATACTGTCAGCATAAGTTTTAACATACTTTCCACAGTGAAAATTTTTATGTCTAGACAAGATTTTAATGATAAAAAATTTGCACTTATATAACCTTTGACGAAAAAGTGAAAGTCACATGAATCATTTAACTTATCACTGCATACTTTGGGTTTAAAAGCTTAGACTCATAAGAATTTGGAAATAGGTGAAGCCCTACAGCAACTATGTCTCCCTTTTAATACTAATGATGGAACTAGTAAAAGAACAAACTGAAAATGAAAATTGAAGGAGTTGATAAACCCATAAACAGTATGGATTTTCTTGTACATTTTTTTTATAGTAAGAAACGAACTCTTGCTAAAGAGCATCAAAGAAACATTTTACACATAAAACTAAAAATAGATCATGATCCGGTTGTATGGATTAAATACAGATGTTTGTTCTCCAGGAAGTCTATTTTTGCTATTTTCAAGTATGAAATAGAGTGTCTAAAAAAAAAAAAACAGATTTCTTGAAGACAAAATTGCAAGAGATAATCATATTACTTTTCATGAAGATTACAGCCTTTTTGTGTGAAGGTTAATCTAAATCCACAAAAAACATGAACTATAACAATAATAAAACAGTTTTTACAGCACATCCAGATCACAATATTTCTAAATGCCATGGCTTCATAAGCACTTGATAATTCAAGAAATCCTTTTTCACAGACACTCACCTGAAGGTTCCTTTCGTGGAGATGGGTTATTGCTGCCTATAGAAAAGTCCTCATTAGAGCTCTTCAGCTGGCTTTGGAAGACTGGGAGGGGTGGACTGAACATTCCCCAGTCCCTGTTATTAACAATGTCATAATGTTTACTATACTAATTATCATGATGATAACACAGCTGTATGTGATCAAGATCAATTCAGCTCAATCAATGACTGATACTCTGAAACAAAACCTCAGTACAGACTTTCCTCCAATGATTTGTTACAGAACTAATGCCTAAGACTGAGATAACATTTTCTCAAACACATAATTATGAGTGAAAGGTTTTTTTTCTCTGAAAAAAGTTTTGTCAACAATGTATAAGTACTTTAATTTCTCGATTCTTCAAGTTGCCTGGATTTATTTACCTTGTGGGTAATGCATTAGAAGATCATTTTGATATGAAATCATTTCCATTTGAAATGACTTAATGTTTGGCTATGCAGATAAACCAGAGGTGTTTCATAGGATGAATCAAAGAAATCTAGTTTGGATAATGTTTGACACATCCCTGCCTTATGTATAAGTTTGTAAAATGTGGCGCAAATCACTCTTCAAAACAGACATACAAAACTGACGTATACAGGTAAGTACATTTATGACACTTTTTTATAGATGTGGACAAAAGCACTGGTTGATGGAGACCTACCTAGGGTTGGAGGATGTGAGTGTGTCAGTGCTCAGTCGAGACTTCATCTCATCCTGGTAGTTGTGAGGGGCGTTGGGCTGTTTAATTAAACATACTCTTATCAAATTACCCATTCATGATTACACAGATGTATATACATAATGGAAATTGCTATAAACACTAACAATATATGAATAATAACAAAACATTGCAAATAAGCTACATTTGAAACAGGTTAATTAATTCACCTGTTTTTTCTACATTTGAAAACAATATTTTTGCATCACTTAAACATATCTAATATCAACATGTCAAAGTACAGTTTTCATTTTTACTTCATCAAGAATCTGTCACAAAAGAACCAGCATCAAAATACAGACATTTTCATACCTAACACAACATACACCATAGACATAAATAAGGATGGCTGTTCACTTACCGGAGCCTGCCAAGTACTAAGACTAGTGTCATCATCACTAGTCAATGTAGGTGAGAAATCATACAAGTTACGAGGGTTATGCTCCTGTGTTGAGTGGGGACTCTTACTCGGAGGCATGATTGGAGCAGTTTGTTTCCTTGGTGATTCAACTACATCCTCCAACTCCTCATCATTATGGCGTTTCATACTTGATAACATTTTGGCTTCAAATGATTCTGTGATGTCAGCCATTTGATATTTTGAAAAGTCATAAGGTTTCTATAAAACAGAAAAAGAAATGGTAATGACTTTCTAACTTCCTGACATTTTAATACAGTTTATATGATTTTGAACTTAATTTCAAATTTGAATGTAAATATACTTCCAAGTCTTAGTTTTAAGGTTTTTGTTTTTATCAGAAATCATATACATATGTACATCAATCAAAAGTAGAATGGATAGACATCATAAGCATTTCCACACCTTGTTCTTACACAATAACAAAACAGATATTTGCCAGACGATTGCTGTGGAGTTTTAAAATGTGAGTGATGTATATCAGTTGTCTCCCCAATGTTGTTTTAATTCTATCTAATATTTATGATTACATTGGTACAAAATTATGAAATGATGATTCAAATTCATTTCCATTTTAAACTGACAGTTGTTAATATGATTCGAACCTAAATACAATCCAGAGAAAGAAAAGTTGTTTTTTTTTTCTTGATGTTTCAACAAATCTATATTTTTAGGGTTTAAGATGATTCAACAGAAGCAAAAAGAATTTCATCAACTGTTTCTCACCTCCGATGATTTAAGCCTTGCATCATTCATCGGAATCTCCCGTAAAGATTTCCTACTCATCCGAGAAATAGAATTTTTAGATAAATGTCCATTGTTTATTCCAGGAACCTGTAATACTGATGTGTTAGAGCTGAATCGGAGTTCAGGACTTTCATTGGCAATCTGTGGTTGTACAGGATTTAGCACTGTCCTTGGAACCTTTTTCTCTACACCAGATTTGGGACTAACTGCCAAATTGTTTGTACCACTTCTGTTTGTGCCACTGTGATTTCGGCTGTTGGTGCCACTATTTGTGCCACTATGTGGTCGACTATTTGTGCCACTATGGGGTCGACTAGTTGTGCCACTGTGTGGCCGACTGTTTGTACCACTATGTGGTCGACTATTTGTGCCACTGTTAGGACGAGAGCCTCCTAACTTTATCCTCACATGTACATCATCGTCATCACTACTTGTATTATTGTTAAAGAAATCCTCCTCGGGGCGAGCTCCTCTGGCTGACTCCTTGGAAATCTTTCTGGAATTCCTTGACAGTGACAATGTTCTTGACTGGAAAACCAACAAATTCATTGAAACCAAATGTAATTACTGTGACTACAGCATAAAAATAGAGTTGAGCTTTTTTATTGTTTTAAAAAATATTAAATATTTCTTAAGTGTTATGAATGATTCATTCAAATTTGATATATCCTTAACCCAATTTAACAAACAGTATGGAAAGTTAAACCTACACTTGACCAATAAAAGTGTAGTACTTTCCACCTTTTTTAAGCAATCATAGTTAAATTGAGAGGTTCTTTTCAATTTCTAAACTGAACAATTACTACCTGTGATGAGGAGTCCAGCTCCAAACCACTGTCTGCCTGGCTTGGGGATAAATGGCGTCGAGGTGCCGACTTTGGCGGAACAGCAAACATAAACATTTTCCTGTTGTCACTTTCTTCCCTATAAATCCAATTACATCAAGAGTAAGCTGACAATCCAAATTATATTATAAACAATAATCATCACTTCTAATTAAGTTTTAATTTAGTATTACCGGTAAGAAGAAAATTCCATAGCTTCAAGAGAAATAAAGTTTTGATATTGAACCCATACAAATCTCTTTTTTCTCTTTAAATCATATGACATGATCAAGAATGTCAGTGCCACTTACTCATCGCTCTCTTCGTACTCCTCTCTACCCAGATCCTCAGCTGAACTTTCCTCTTCGTCAGTCAGTTCATCCCAGTCCTGTCCCATCCTACCCCCTAACCCAGCCTTCTGTTTCAACAGTTCTATCACAGCACTCATAGAATCATCCATCATCTCCACTCCCTCTTCCTGATAATCTTCACAGTTGTACTCTGCAAAGTGAAATTTTGTATGAGACAATAAGCGTTGAAAGTTGATAAATCAGAAACAGGTGCAAAATGAATTTGAGTTTTCTTCTAGGAGAAATGCAATTAAGATATAAGGTCATTAAATACTGGCTATAAACATCTGTTGGTGATAATAGTACATAGCATACCTTTTGAAGCCTTGGGACTCAGTCTGTCATGTGGATCTTGCCCAGAGGCTCCAACTCCTTTGAAACGATTGCCTGTTCTCCCTTCCAGTCGATCAGAAACTTTTGGGATTCCCTGTGCCTTAATACCTCGTGGTGTTTCAGCAGACTTATTCCTGTTTGCTGAATCTGCTGTATTTTCACTGCCTTCAGTCAAAATTAATTCACCATCTGACACTAAGCGTTTGCGATGTGATGCTGTGCTACTTTTGTGACTACTAGAACTAGACTCTGAATGTTGTTGAGAATGCTTTCCAGGACCACTATTCATGCTCTCATCTGAAACAGTACACAAAGTATAAGAACTAACATTTTGTGAAATAGTCAATTCATACCATTTTGCTTCCTCATGTCAGAAGTTAGTAGCTCCACACTGAAAGTTATTCTGATCTATATTATTCCATTGGTTAATAGAAACAAGACAACTTTACATGTCACATTTAATATAAAAGCTTACTTTATAACCAGAAAATGTCATTTTACTGTTAAAATGAATGATTAATTAAAACAGAACTTTCATTTTCACTCATTTTATTAAGGTATTTAGGGTCGCTTAGATTTTTAGTCAATAGACATGATGGCAAGGTACTTGTTACTTACCAGTGACAGATCCTGCACTAGACACACGATCCTTACCCACCCCACTCCCACCAGCCTTAACACGTATCTTACGCCGTAGTCTGTCATTGGATGGCTCACGAGGGGGATGGGGTTGTACTATAGGAAAGTCCTGCTTTGGTTTGTCTGAAAAAAATTCCAAACGTAGATTTTTCACGGCATTTACTTTAAATGTTAAGTCTATTTTCATTTGTGGCCATACCATGTATCTATTTTTACACAAACATTTTCTAAATCACATAAGGATAATTTAAATTCTAATCTTAGGACTTTAAACCCATTTCATTTCTTTTGCATAACCAGATAAAAACTAAATTATTAATTTCTGAAATATAGAAAGAAGAATTTACAGATCTCCGATTTCTACCATAACTTCCAGAGTTTTGTCTACACAAAGAGGTCATGATAGTCTTACCTATTCGGGACATCATTTCCAGGTCGACCTGTGAGAGGGAGTCGGATCCCTGCCTCTGGTGAGATGGCTGGTGGGTGGAATCTTCTCGACTGTGGTCACTCCCACTGAGAAGTCCATCCTTACTTGTTATACTGGACGACAACTCTAAATGCTCCTCTGACATATCTGTAAAACAATACAGAGTCATTAATTCCTATGATGTGCCCATCTACATACATTGTTAATAAGTTAACTACTATTCAAATTGCTGTCTACCAAGAAAATATTTAAGATTTTGCCTTGTGTACGTTCTCCATTGAGGGATGACTTTCATTACATAGCATTCAAATGTGTTCCTTAGATGTTAATGACAATGCTATCACTGGGTGACTGAAATGCAGCATGTATAGAAGAGGAACATTTGTATAAACACAATTTGTCAGGCACAAAGTAGTAAAAATAGTCTCAAACCAGATTACTTTATATGTGATGTCACCCATTTTATTTTCAAACATGCAATATTATTGAAATGTTGACATTCAGTTTCTTGATAAGTAAGGATTGAACACCAGGAAATGATACTAGGCTCACAAATATTGTTTTGAAAAGGCAGATTAAGTTTTCAGAGGGCTTAAGATAAAAAAAATCTTTGAAAGAATTCAAAACTGACTAAATTCAAAAGATCAAATTAGGAAGTATTGGGGAAACCAACAAAAATGATTACCTCAATGACCTGATATCTGACTCACCTTCTGTTTGAGAATCCATGCGAGAGTAAGTATTCCTTGTACTTCTACTCGTCATACTACCCTGTAATTCAAGAACATAAAAATTCATTTCAATTCATTCTATTATTGACTAGCATATGCAAACAAGCATAATGTTTCTCATGTTTATTTTAGCTTTGAAAAAATTTGAAAACAAATTTAAAACACTCGTAACATAGGAACATCAAACAAATGTATGCCATACATTTTGCTTCTTTAGTGATAAGACATGGAATTTTCAATGGTGTAAAAAAAACTATCTCTGGAATCTGAAATAAGCTTTGATTCAATGAAAACTGGTTTACCAATGGTATGAATAAATGATAACTCGGTAAAGTCAGTGATGGCCAGGATAAGACAATAATTAACCACATCATGATGTCAGATTTTAAAAGACAGTGTTAATTCTATAAGGAAGAACTTTACCTGAGCCGACTTTCTACTGCTGTTTTGACTCGTGGATTTACAACCCAGAACCTTGGAACCAAATGCTATGTGGTAGGAATCATTTAGAGATGTCCTACGTCCACTAGAGTTTAAATCTAAATGAAACATCAAATTTAACTGTATAAAGAAATATTTTTGTTGACAAAAACAATCAAATATAGATATTTTCCTTTACCAATATTGCCTGGAATGCTTTCCTATTGATATGAAGTTAACAATATGATAAACCAAAATTGTCAAACCAGAAAATCTTAAATCTAGAGAACCTGGAGATAATATATATTTTAACCTATTACATCTGAAAGTTTAAGACATACCTAGTTCAAGTGTAGCAGATGCACGATTCACATCTCCACTCCCAGCCCTTAATCTTTCACCATGTCGGATCTTAGTCAGTGTAAGCAGCTGAAATTAATGAAAAGTTGAACCACAAAACAATTTAAGATATGATTTCAAAAGTTCACCAACTCAAACACAGGAAGTATTTTTCTGTACACCAAAGACTGTCAGAGAATATTAATATTTCCAAACAAGAATTCTTAAATCTATATTATAGATAAAGGAGAAGTATGAAAATTTTCCAATTATATTTTCAAAATAGGTATGAGTCAGACAGGGTTGAACAAGGGTTACCCTATGGGAGGGAAAGAAGCATATATTTTCAGCAAGAATACACCTTTCCATTTTATTCTATACATATTATCAATCATTTTCCTCACAAAATTCAAGTTACAACCAAATACTCTCATGTGCAAGTTTTGGTACACATTCAGAGAATAGGAAGCTGTTCAAACATTCTGGAGATATACACAACAATTGTACTAAGATTACATGTATTTCAATATTTGCTGAAAGGAATTAGGAAAATATTAAATCTAAGAAATTTAGAAGTGAACATTAAGTAACAGTAGTCATGATTTATTTCAATTTCTCTCGTAGGATTTGAGCTCAAGACTCCTGGCTTAGTAACTAGTCTTACACTCAACCAATTGAGCTGAAGAAGTTTCTCTAGCCAAGCAGTATATTGTGGCTAGTATCTACCAAGGTTACAAACTCCTCCTCCAGGAAAGAACTCAAGTTTCATGGGGTTACACTAATGCTTAAAGGGTATGGCTTAGTATTATTCATGGGTCACTTCATGAGTGCCAATGTACAGAGGTCATTTAAATATCAACCAATTGTTCTAAAGAGAAGTTCTCTCTAGCCAAACAGTATCTTGCATCAAGTATTTACCAGAGTTACATTATTTTACTATCAAGCAAAGAAATATGTAAATTCCATTTGATGCAAAGCTGGAGTAACAATTCATGAAAATGCACCGTGGAGACATGGTAAATTTTTCTCTGGAGAAGTAACGCTAGATGAATCAGGGGCATAACCTTTTGGTGTATAAAATGTATCCTAAGATGAAAAAAGATTTTACTGAGTCTTTCAATCTGGTGTATAACTCTATCATTTATATTACACACAGGGCCTAGCCCAATATTTAAGAAAAACTGGCTAGAGGCTAGTTGTACTGTACCTGTGTTATTTGCTGGACATCGTTGGCCAGTTGACATGACTTGGGTATTTGGTCAAGTTCTCCAGAATTACTAGGAGGGCATCCATACATTTCTTTATCAGGAAACAAGACACAGACATGAAATGGAATTTTAAATGAAGACACATCTTCAAAACACTCACAATCACTTAAATATCTGAGAAAAATGTACATTATTTGACACATTTGATCTGTACCTATAGAATGTTGTTGATGTATGACTAGATCAATTGGTATCCATAAACTGCTTTCAACTAGATCGTAAACAATTAAAAATTGTAATGGAAATGTGTCCCAAAAAACTACCCCTGAAATTGCAAAAGCTGTTTATTGAACTTGTATCTGTGCTCCTGGTGTTGCAATACATGTCCACCAAATTGGATCAAAATTAGATATCTAGATTTGAACACATGAGAAATCTCTGCATAATTTTCTTGCAAATAAGGAAATAAGACATGAATGCATCTGCTTCTATGCATGTAAACATCATCTATCTTTGACCCTTTAGGGTTGAACAATGATCACCTTAACTTGTAAATGTGTAGAACTTAATGTTATAATACTAAAGCATATATCTGTACCAATATGATCAGAGGTTCAAAAGATATTACACTGATTCAGAATGGGACATAATGTGACAGGCCACAATGGAACATTGGTGTATATATATGGGCAACACTACATGAAAAAATGATGGGGCACAAAATTAAAAGGAATCAAGCAAAACCGATCTATATTCCTCCACTATGTTTGCAGCCTTCCTGCCACCTTATCCTGTATTAAAATGACACAACAAAGACAGGTCTTAATTGTATTTTACTACTAGAACTGACACCTGATAGTTAAAATAATTATTCTTTTCATTATATACTTCAATAACATGGAATTAAATCATGCACCTGATAAATGGGCATTCATATCTTGTATTAATCACAATCTATTTGCATTTTCAGTTATTCTTGTATATAACCACAATTAAAATTTCCTTTTCATCTACAGAATAGCATAACAATTAAACCTCAATTTGCAATTGAAATATCACTGCCTAATAGATATTTCTGATTATTTCAGAGTACCAAAGTAGATAGGAAAGTTACCCTCATCTCCTGCTGTATCAGGTGGCTGGATCTTCATGGTGAAGATACGGCGAAGTTTACAGTTGGCAGATACAGAGATGCTTTGTGTTGCCTTGTAAGTCTGCCCCTTCCAAGTCTCCCCCACCAGAGACACCATGTCAATACACATGTTCAGCCACTGAAACAAACAACACATATATTGTATAAAAATGCATTTCTTTACATTGAATTTCATACCAGCAAATTCCAACATCTCTTATAAATTTGCTGTTATTACATATATTCCAGTATTTGAAAAATATCAAACTGTTAAACACAATTTAACGCTTAAGCTCTGACATTAAGACTATAATTCAACATTTCCCTGTAATCTAAGACAATCACATGTTTGAAATAAGATTATTTCACAAACCCCATTTCCGGAGACTTGAGACTTCTAAAAGGTTTAACACTAAGTCAGGGCATTGATAAACAAACATGATCTACATTGTTACCATGCTATGTGTATAGAACTAAAATGAATTCTCATTACAGCATCTTGTACCAAGTTCAAGTTTGCTTCTTACAATACTTCTCCGTAGGATGGTGAGAGGTATCTTGGCATGGAGAGGTGTCACCTGGGTCTCCTTCTGTGCTGTTGAGAAGTGTAGTCTTCTTTTGTTATTCCCTAAGTCTGCCACTCTGTAACAGTTTAAACTTATCATAAATATGTCACAAATAATGTATTTGCCATAATAAGCACCCATACTCCCATAATAATCTCCCCATGTTCGAGTATTTCAACCTGCATAATTGTCAAATTTCCTAAATTCTCTCACATGAAGAATGACTTTTAATAGATATAACTTTCATTTTTAATTGCAATCTGTCCTCTGCTCATGGATGCCTCATTCATTATATTTGCATCCTGTTTAACACTATTAAATGGGGAAAATCCATGAAATAACCAAACTCATTAAAATCATAACTATGTATTTTATTAGCTCAAACAATTCAATTTGTCGTATAATTTAAACCATCTATACATATGCAGGTTATAGACAGAAATTCAGTTTTAATGATCCAACCAGACAGATATTTACTAGATTAAATCTTTGAGGACAGTAAGAAACTATACATACCCAAGTTCAATGGAAAGGTCTTGACCCTTTGCTAGATGAAGCTGTATTACTATGTATCGCTGGATCAAAGGAACTGTAAGGAAGAAAACATTCACATTTAATAAGAATACTCTGTCAACACAAGAGAACTTTATATCCGGAAAGTGTCCAAAATTTCTCAAAGGGCAAAAATTATGGTTAATTCAGTAAAACCATGAATCAATCATATACCACAGATATTACAGTTGCCTACCTGCTTGTGACTGGTCCTTCGGATAATGGACCTTGGTAGTGGATGGTGTCCCTTCAAGACTGTATATAAAGCTCTTTACCTCCTTATCATACACCTGTGATAGATGTATGTTCATACAGATATAGTTACATAAATAGATTTTTATATATGCATAGGATGACAAAGTAAAATGTATTTCAACTAATGCGGTGAAGGTGGTATGAGTTTATTTAGAGGTGATCAATAAAAATAACCATAAACACAATCCAAAGTAATGTAACATTACAATATGTCTGCAGTGTTCAGACTTACATGATTCAGTTCTACCAGTTTATATTTCTACCAAAATCATTCATTTTCATATCTAATGAAATTGTGAAAATTGAAAGTTTCTAGTATTCTGTAATCCTTTTACTAATTCAATATGCTTATTGATAATTCCAAGATCAATTACTTTCATTCATTTCCACAGTCAAACACAGTTTTGCAAGGTTTTTATGATCAATACACTACTGATACCAGCACTGAAACAAAATGTGATTTAAAACCTGGAACTTCAGTTCTAGTACCAGTAACTCGGTTTCAAAATCAAAGTTTGATTCACTGATCAACCTACAGTGATTCAGTCACTTATAAAAAACTCCATTGTAGAAGCTTCTTAACTTCTTTTTGAAAAGACAATGAGATCTAAATGTCAATGGTGAACTGTAATAAGATTCTCTGATGATGTACTGTCTATATAGATAAATCAGAATGGTACAAATCTATGGTACCCTTTACTTTGAGTATGTACAAAACTCAGTTTATGTATTTGCCTTTGGGCTTATTACAGGATAATAATGGTAATGCTGAATAAGGAACACTGAACCATCTATATAAGAATTAAGTCCATGAGTTACACAATTACGAATATATATTGTCTAGAATGGGAACACAAAGGTACCTTTTTAACTCCACCACTGAACTTCCAATGAGCTGAAGATTCCTTTCCTTGTAAGGTAAGAAGTTCAAAACAGGGGCCACCCTGAAGAAGAGAAAAATAAGATTTTGATTTGAGATAATGATCAAAATGTTTCTTATTTCACTGGAAATATTGCAAATCAACTTTCACCCGTAGTAAAAATCCCACTATCAACACTATCAAATATATACATATTGATCAGATCTGTATAAGGCCATTGCTTGTTTTACATAATGCATGTATATAATACAGCAGGCAATCTAAGCTGCTTAATGGCAATAAATACAGCAATACACATGGAAGCCCAACTCAATGAAATTGCTGATGCCATCCTAATATCCAAAACTATTTAATGGTCATAGACTAACAAAAGTTCATCTAACTCATACTTGTGAAGTTTTGTCCTGAATCTATTGCCCATAGGTTTTGCATCAGAATTGAACTTGCAACCCCACTGAATCATTCTTAAGAGGCAACTAAATTTAAGATTTGAGCTTTCTAAACAACTATTTCTTCTTAATGTCTCTGCTGACACTGCTTTACTTTTGTACTTTAGTTGAATTATCACCCTTTTGGGAAAGGCTTTTGGCTCTGTTGCCTGGTCAAGGTATACCAGCCTTCAAAAATGGTAATTAGTACTACCTCATACTTAATCTTCATTATTATGGTTATGTAACAAATGGTTTGATCATTGTTAGTATATACTTTTAGTGTAGTAGCACTATAAAGTCAACTTCAGTTCCACACTATCACAATGATGCTTACTCGAACATATCGCGTCCTCCTGAAAACACACATTCATTTTGAATACATTCAAGGCAATTCTTAAATGACCTCAACTGTTAATAAGGCATTAAGCAATATAAAACCACACCTATTCTTAATTCAACTTGGAACACCTAACACACATCAATACATTTCTGACCGTCTTAGTAAAATATCTGTCTGCAGTGGTGATCTGAAATTGCAATCAACACATGAAAAAATTGCAATGTTTGCAAATTCATATCATGAAGACCCTGAAAACACCTTACTTAAGCAATGCAACACCCCCAATCCTTCCTACAATCTGAATTATCATTACCTGGTAGTCATTTTTGAACATGGTGTTATGTTACTGCTCCAACTGTTTTATTGCTATATTGAAAATATAGATTCTGAAGTGTAGTATGCTGCGGAGTCCTGGAATTCGGGAATATTCCTGGATAATTTAGCATGTACTTTTACCATCATTTTCAGGGGAAAGTTGCGACCCAAAAGTCGTGGAAAATCATTTGCATCTTCATTGTGAATGTTCGATACGGATGATTTCATTTATTACTCAATGCCACTTTTTTAAACTTGGTAAACAGACAATCTTTCACTTGGCAGATGTGTATTCCAGTCTGCTCTCTCTCCGAATTCTAACTCGTCTTTATGAACCAGGTCAGTGGCAACTCGATTTCTTTTAAATGTGCTCCAAATATTTCGTTAACAGATATCGCGTCGTTATAGTATCATCGTTACTTTGAAACCACGACAATAATTATCCAAACGTGCCAAGTTTGCAAACAAAAGTTTCGGAAGTTCCAATCCTGTCCTCCATTTTGGTTGCTACTGAGTCTGTGCGTCCTCACGGACCAATGAAATTAGTCGTAACATATTAAAACGATGTAACGTATATGATTTACGTTTCTTCACCTCACTGCTCGATTGCCCATATCGCTGAATGCGTCTATACGTTCAGGTAACACCAACGTGCCCGCGACCACTTACAGTCAACACATATATCCACACATCCTAAAAATGTCTGGAAGAGAAGGTATGATACGTTACGATATTTTAATTGAAAAATTCTCAGATTGTTTACCAATAGGCGTTTGAAGATGAGTATGTTTTTATAAAAGTAGTTTTCCAAAATATGCCGTGATACGCAGTGATTATGCTACTGATCACAATACAATAAGCTTTATTTTGTGTCGTATATGATAAACAAAGTCAACATTAGCTCAGAGGAGCTATTATTACGACAAAACATATCAATGTAAAAGAAAAAAACAAAATGTGAAACATACGTGTATGGACATAAAACATGCACAGAGTAGTAACTCGAGATGTTTATTACGGGATTTCCATTGATTAAAATGTACATAAAGACACAGCATATTTAAGTTATGAAAGCACTAACGGTTATAAATTAAAATGGCCCAGAGGTCTGGGCCAGTATAGTCCCCACAAACTAGGTCCCTAGTCCATAAAATATATATAGAAACAAACAGTAAGAAATAAACATTGGCAACATAGACCAAATGACAAACACACACAGAAAGCAGATCAAGGTTTCATTTTGGCACAGATAGAACAGGAACATATCGGGCCATCCCAGGTGTGGATCAGCCTCCTGAATTCTGGGTAGTATTCACACTTCCGTAATTCATTCGGAAGGCTGTTCCACACCTGTGCTGCCTCAAAACTAAACAATTTCTGTCCATACTTGGTAGACTTTACATTTGGCACAGTGACTGTGTAGTCCTTCCTAAAATTATAAATAGACTTTAAATTTCACCAGATCTTGAATGTATTCAGGGGACAATTTGTATAAAATTTTGTAAACTTCACAGCCCATGTCTTTAAGTCTCTTGATGTGTCCAGCGAGAGCTAAGAACTATTCAGAAGTATAATCATTCAAACTCAAATTCGTGTAAAACGTTAGATTCCTGTAGTTAGGTCCATAGATGGGCATGTAACAATACACATTCAAATTCACACAAAAAACGTGCCTGTTTAAGTTTTGGATTTCAAATCTTGTTACATATCCAAGTGATTAAGCATACAATGAATGATAAATATCAGTATTGTAAACTAAGACAGAGCTTTATATATGTGTTTATTCGAAATGAAAATTTTCGTCTTGATATACAGGAGGGAAAAAGAAGCCTTTGAAGGCTGCGAAGAAACAGCAACACGAAGCGGATGAGGTAAGTATAGCTCTCGGTCAGTATGTTATGCTGATTAACCAATGACTCATGAAGTCCCATCTGATAGCTGTTTCTGTCTGTTAGAGCCTGTAGTTAATGGCAAGTTATATAATACTGATCAGTGTGTGCACTCATTTAAAATAATAAAGTTTAAAGACATGATCTACAATGAAACCCCACATATTCCATATGAAAATTACTAAGCTTTTTATACTGTTACCATTAAGAATGAAAAAAAAGATAACTAGATAAAAAGGCTTTAAAAACAGGGCAATGTATTTGTACTTTTTTACATGATGAAGTGATTTGTTGCTTAATAATATAGGGTTGACTCTTCCAAGTATTGCACTAGTCAGTATTGGAGTATCTGTTATGACCTTAGATACTAAAGAAAGTATTCTTTTTTACTTAGGAAGATTTAGCATTCAAACAGAAACAAAGAGAAGAGCAAAAAGCTTTAGAAAAGGCAAAAAAAGAGGTATCAGGAAAGAAAGGACCTATGGGTAAGCCATGTCATTATTTACATGTCCTGTGTTTTTGTATGATATTCTATCAGTTTATTTTCAATAAAATTCAATACAAATATCCAAACAAGTTCAAAAAATGTTCATAAACAGAGACTTTGATACATTTTTCTTTTGAGGCATACTGGGATTTAAAAAAGGGAGTTCAAAACTTCAATAAAGAAGATTTGCTAAGTCCATATCTAGGAAATTTTAATATCAATTACAGTCATTCTACTTGTATGGATGACATGACTAGGTCAGTACTCTAAATGAAAAAAGTTCTCTATCCAGTGACATGATATGAAAACCTGGTTCATGAAACAATTTCACAGTATAGTTGTTCCATATGTAAAGTCACATTTTCATTGCGGGATGCTTTTGTAGATCCTTAAAGTGATTTACAGACATGTAGTTCCCTGAGCAGTGAGCAGGGTGTATTGATGACAATCTTTTTGTTACACGGTTTACTTATGTCCCAATGAAAGTTGTCACAAGGCATATACAGTTCATGTAATATAAGGGATTCAGAACTGGGAAGAGGGATCAGTACTGTGTCTACTTCAGGGAATGTTGATATCTTGGTACCAATATTATTTGCTGATCCCATTTAAGACTTGGAATCTTTGTCTTTTCCCATTTCTGTCTTTTCTTCCTTTCTCCTGATTTTGCTTTACTTCAGAATTCCTTGTCCCTACCTTTTGTATATATTGCATGATAGATTGGCTGTCATGATGTAATATTTCTATTTTTCAAAGTTTTGCTCACAAATGATCTTGATGATAGGTTCAGTTGGGACAGAAAAAGATGACATTTCTTTAATAAGGAGAATATTGTTATAATTGTAATGATTTGTACAAGTAAAAATTAATTGCAACTAATTTACCTGTTTTTTGTTTTTCCCTTTTCTCTTCTATTTTAACATTGACAAAAACATTATTTGATGAAAACTTGCACATTCCAAACATTATCGTTTTCATTATCATGTACATGTAGTGTACAAAGAAAACATCATCTGATATTGTTTCTTTAACTTATTCACAGGTGGTGCTGGCATAAAGAAATCAGGAAAGAAATGACCCTGACAGAATAGACAGACAAAAGCTATTAGAATCACCTAAAAACACACATCAGATCATGGTTATATGATATACTTATTACATTGGATGTTTTTATCATCAATGGACTGTATACAAATTATTAACTATCATGAATGCACCATTTAAAGTCATGTTCTGTACTGTCAATATTAACTGAATTTATGTGTAATTTTTAGGAACATTTTAAAGATTTTAAGGATAAGTCAGGAGCAGATTGAGAAATGTATGTAGCAGCATTAGGATAATATCAAATTGATAGAGTTTATAAACTGCACACTAGCATTTAATTTTCTTCTTGGTTTTAGAATTTCTTGTTCATGTACCAGGTATTTATCAATCCGGGCCATTTTCATGTCACTTTCAAGTTTTGTTTTGGATGGTTGTATATGTGCAGATAAAGATATGATGATTGGGTTGACAGATATATATCCCAAGACATTTTTATGCATGCTTTTTTGCTGACATTATTCTGTAATGTAGATAAGTAACCTGTTTCCTCACTTCATTAGAACTGTTTATCTCTGTTTGTAATTTTCTGCCTTGTTTGATCCTGCTACAAAAAGTTTATTGTGTTCAGTAGATTTTTTAATGTGGTTATGGATATACATTGTGCAATACATGTTGGGATATAAGTTTAAATAAAGACAAGAAATCTCCTATCTTGACATTTTGATGCAAGTTATTATTCTTTATCAGATGCAAAATGAAATTGTTCTTTTGAAAGAGATACTAACATGACATGGTAACCGATAAAAAATCAAATTATGATATGCCTTGTTGTTGTTATTTGACAATTAGACTCAATACATTGTACCTACAATATAGATAAGTATTAATGAATATAACATGAAGAATATTAGTAGTGTTATATGGGAAAATCAGAACATCTTCATGTTATTTTATTTTAATGATGACCGATTTATCCACAGTAACACAAAGAGAAAACAAAATATTTTGTTGGAATAAAGTCTGATAATGTTTACAAAACATATTTACTCATTCGAGGTCACACAGATCATATTTGTTATACCAAATGGCCTCGATTCACATTTTGTTAGTAAGTTTCAGGGATGGAGCCCAACAAAATAATGTTTCCAAAAAATTGCCTTGATCATTGTTCATGGTCACAGGGTCAAATTTGTAAGCTGATTTACCAAAACATCAGTGTTTCCTCGTCTGTGTGTCAATATTACGGTAAGTATGAACCGTCGTTAAACAGCTGAAACTACATTGTGTAATACTACATTGTTCTGTGATTTATGACGAAGTCAATACTTTGAAGGGGCGCAACTCTTACAACTTTACTAGGCGAAATTAAAGTCTTCATACATATCAGCCAAAACACAGGGAAATAAATTGCGACCTATTCAGTGAATTAACAAACAAAATGCTATTCTGATGACTGTAAAACACCACCCTACAGTCCCATTTCTCCTCGAGAAACCAATTACTCTGATGGATGAGATATCTTTTTTTTTTCAGTCACTACAGAACAGTCGTCGTTAACAACTACACCCGAGAGAGAAGTTATTTTGATTTACGTCACTATACGGCCTCCTGTAAACAGAATATTTACAAGATACGTCCTTGAAAATTCCATAGATAACATATTGATATCGAGTTCATTATTGTCACAAATGTCCATGAAACAATGAAACTAACGATGTAAAAAACCAGTTATGTTGTAGCACCTGTTCTGTCCGGTTACTTCCTTACAGGTCGCACTATCATTTTATGGGATCTTCATTTTCAAAAGAATAAAAATATCATACACATTAAAGATATTTCCCTCCACCAGTGTTTTCAATAAAACCAAGTGAATACAAAACAGTTATAGAGACTTTGGTTACCCTTAAAACTTGCTGGTCGGCCTATATTATCTGATATTGTGTTGACTGTTACACGGCGTCTGTCATCATTTTCTCGCCGTGTAAACCTTTCAACATTGTTGGAGTAGGCCTTTGGTATATTTCCCGTCCATTTGCATTTTGAGGGTTCATTTTTACTGAATATTGATATAAAATTAAAGTTGTTGTGTTATTTCATTTTAAACAGACCCATATTAAGTCCAAATTCCCATGACTTTACCGAATTATCAGGGCCCTGTGATAAAGCAGCCTATACATAGCCCGTAGAAATACCATCCATGGACGGAACGAATTACATGACAAGTCTACTGACGCAAACTGAAGTACAAACAAATTATTCTTGACACGCAACAAGCTTGCTTGTTTGGAACACAACACACTACATGTAATTAAGCCTAATTATTTTGTTTTTGTACAAGAAGATTACGAAAAACAAAAAAAGGTGTTTGTAGTGTTTTTATTCGTTTTTTCGTCGGACACTTGAATGAATACGACTATGGAATCTTGACAGCAGCAAACCGACTGCGTTGAGGCGCTAACGTGCAGAAAAGAGAGGGGCTTATCTTTGTGTAATGTGGATCGAGGATACAAAGAAATCAGTAGCACGGGCAGACTTGTGTGTATATATGAAATGTTAATTTCCAACTACACGAAAAAGGAAGACGACAAACATTTCACGGAGAAATATTCTCACCAACACATGTTGTATATCATTTAAAAGGCATAGATATTTATTCATATCAACCGTTACAGTTTTCTACAACCTCTATCATTTCTGCTTAACACGAGGATCGCCGATGGTATTTTTCGAATAGGAAACTACTCAGGTCCTACGTCTTTCTTGATTTTTGAGCTCCATACTTGGGGAAATACTATATATCAATGGACACAAACTCATCGAAAACGGGATCATTAAAATGAACAGCTTCCTTCTTACATAAGTGATGATATTATAATTTAAGAAGTGTAAATATTGTTAACTAGAAGCAGCCAGCGCACATTGTCGTGTACTGGTACGTGGTCCGGAGGGGACTTTACAAGATGACGGACCATGTACATGACGGATATTTTTGGCCATACAAATTTCGAATGGCGGCATAATGCCACTGAGTGGCGTAAAACTCGTTCAATAAATGAGTATAAGTTAATCAATTCTTAAATAAACACAGTGCGCGCAACTATTTATGTAATACTTTCAATATTAAGTAAAAGATGTTTTAATGGTTCCAGCACCTGTGTGTGGAATTACAGCGTGTATTTGGCGCACTGTTGCAACTGCACCCCTTTCACGTCACCAACTCTTAATATACACAATCATTCTCACCTGGTAGACGAATACAAACTACCTACGGGGTATCCTTTGCGTCACATCGTTGTTTTTTAGAGCCTTCACTGACAGGTATTAATGGTCGCTATTCGTTTGTAGTAGGCGTTAATTTGGCTCATCTTTCCTGGGAATGTTGTTACTAATTATCGCTGACATATGCATCTTGTAGAGAACGCACTCAGATAACAGTTTATTTGTCGCCTCCTGGACATGGAGCTATACGTTCAGATTTCGACCAATGTTGACTTTCTTTATTCTCTTCACAGGTTTCAGCAGTTGAGTTTCCCTGCTCTCAGCTACCACACACACACACCTCCTCCCCTACCCCCTTTCCTTCACTGACGAAATCCAGGAGGTTGTCGGAACAGATGCATGATGCAGTTTAATGTTTGACTATACTGTGTTTTATTCTAAAATTGTATTGAAAGGGGCTATTTACTTCTGAACATAAACCAAATATTTCACATTCTCAGCATGTTCAGGAATTGGTGATGTAAGTTCGGATCGAAAGTAGCAGAAATAATTGTAAGATGGAGTCTGGAATGAACGGATGGCTATCCGGGTTTTAAGATGCGGAAATTATATTGTGCTTGGTAACACTAGCAAAGAAAATAGTGTTTAATTAAGCAAAGGAGCCATGATCTACAAAATTTCTAGTACAATAGATAGACTTCTCGGTGCTATGTTTACTAGGTTTAACAACGACTGCCCTTGTTTTGATTTATCAAAAGACAATGTAACGGACTTATAAATATCACGTTGTATATCGCACTGCGTGGTGATTTACGCGTTTAACACAAGTACCAAGGACGGACCAATTTAGACTGGTCTTCTGTCATAAACACATTATTGTATATCAACAATTAAAACATTGAAGAGAAGCAATAATTGTCTAACCAAAATGTCACGAAGTAAGTGCAGTTTCGTGCTATCATAACCATGAATACAAAGCATAAAGTTGTTTAAGTTTTAAAGTCGGACAGAGAATCTCCAACGTAGATAAAGAACAATGGTGTTTTGATAACTTAAGATTTACGAAATCTGTCAGGTTTTTTTTAAATACAAAGGTCAATAACACCTCCTGATTTGGTTGAATGTAAATGCTGTTTAGGAAAACATAATTTCATACCAAGTATGAAAGTGGTCAGCTCACGGAAAACTGTAGGAGATGATACAAATTAGTAAATGACTAAGGGGCAATAACTCTTCCAAAATCTTAATAACAACTTATGATAACCAAGTTTGAAAGAAATCGATAGAATATTGAAAGAGAAAATCATCGGACACCTCAAAATTTACGACGAACGGAGAATATCAATTTTCTATATCAATGCATGGTACCGCCGCAATAATCCTTTTGCGTAATTCCGAGTTTGCTTTTATGAATCAATTATGAACCGTAGGCGAAGACCACAATTTTCCTGACGTCATCATTATAATTTGAAAATAGCTTTGTCAACGATAAAGAACTAAGTTTTATTTGCAATGTGACTGCCAACTGGATAAAATATATTTTTCAATATCGAGCCTTAAACGATTCATTGAAATATCTTTCTCCGTTACATTTTTATAAGCTAGGTATGTCAACCAAACAAATCCAATGTTGAAATGACGCATTAATGAGGTTATTCAGATTTAATTGTTTCTAAACTCTTAACCTATCATATGCTCTTACGTCACTTATATGCAATTTGTTTGTTTTGTCTTTGTTTGTTTTATCATTATTCCATTGTGAATGGTCAAGTTTTGTTTTTAAGACCCTTAGTTTCCATTTTTTTTTAACATTTTGCCGAATATGGATATATGAATCTTAATGCCTTTTGCGTAATTATTGGCGCTCACAATTAATCCTAAATGTGTATATGATATACCACAGGGACTCGACACTAGACGTTGAGATTAAGTTATCCTATGTCAGACCCCTGTGCTAAACACTGACGATATTTATTTCACGGACATGTTTCCGTAACTTACCGCTAATATTTACAGAGGGGCGGGTCCTTTTGTTTTAAAATTTCTTATTTTAGTGCAAGTCTTGTTGACGCGCTAAACACGTAGCTTGCGTGCGCATCACACTCACAGGTACCTAGTTGATACACATAATTGTTTTAAAAGGAAAATGATAACAAACACAATATATAAAGTCATGAATTTAATGAGAAACACTTGTTGTTATAACTACGGAGTGATACATAGCCTATTAGTATCTAGCTATGTGTATCTATTAACGTGCTGAATTCCGCGCGTGGTTTACCCGTCCAGGGACCGATGTGCTTAGACTAAGTATTGGATCTGACGTGTAAGGAGCGGACAAGAAGAGTTTTGGGAATATTGCCGACAAGTTGTCCCATTCTGAGGTCTATAGAATGGCAGGCTGTGACGCGTGATCCGACACTCGTGTATCAGCTGTGCATTCGTTTTTGTACCGCAGTCTTGATTCTGCAGACGAAAAGACAACACTGATATTGTAGATAGTATATTTCACACAGAAAGAGTCAGGTGGAACTATGTTTGGAGTTATAGCTTCTTCTTCTGGATGTAAAGGTAAAGTTTATACTAATACAAATACTAATAGATGGATGAATATGACAATTATCTCATAAACTTATGTCTCATTTATCCATTTTCTTTCTGACTTTTTTGTCAGTTTTGAATTAAATTGAATTTGTTCAAATGAAATCTTAATAAGTGAAACTACACAGTTTTGAAACATGCAAACACTTAACGAACGAGAAATTAATTCGTTTCCCGAATAGAACCTTCTCTCGGTCATAACAAATCCCTGTTGTATTTATGAATGGCAGCGTAACACCTGGCTTAATACTTCATTCCCAGTGTGCATCTGTTACAGACGTAGTTCCCTATCACACGAGTACGTTAATTCAGTGATTGTAGATACATAAAACCAGAAACACGCGCCTATACAATCAAATGTCACTAGATTGTGGTGTAAATCGGATAAATATAGAGGTGTATTTAACCGACATTGACGCAGTTCCAAGGTTTTTATACCGATCTTATTTCTCCTCGATGACTTATCCTGTAGCTCATTTTAAACCAAAATTCACATCTTTAATATCTGTTTCTCTTTTGTAACCTATTTTCATGTAACATTGTTTTAAACCATTATTTAACCCATACTGTTCTAGTTTTTGTTTCATGATGTTTTGAATATATTCCGTCTATTGCTTCATCCCTTTTACATTCCGTTTTGTTTTGTTATCTACTTTTCTCTTGTTTTATTCCATTTTTTTTACATATCTTCTTTTCCTTTGTTTTATTCCATTTTGTTTTGGTACCTTGTGTTCATTTTTGGGGGTGTTTCCATACTCCATTCCGTTTTCTTTTGGTATTCAATTTCCCTTGTTATGTTTCGTTTTTTTTCTTTTCCCCGTATTGTGTTTGGCATCGACCTTTCCCTTGCTGTGATCCTTTCTTCTGTTGGTATTTTCCCCAAATGTTGTATTCCTTTTCGTTGGTTTGGTGTATACTTCTTCCTTATAATGTTTCATTTTGTTTCCGTCGTTGAATTCCATTTTGTTTGGGTATCTACTTTCCCGTTGTTGTGTACCGTTTTGGTTTTTGGTATTTACTTTCCCCTTGTTGTGTTCCGTTTTCTTTTGGTATCTAAATTTTACTGGTTGTGTTCCATTTTGCTTTGGGTATTTTTCTTTCCCCTTGTTGTGTTCCGTTTTGCTTTGGTATTTACTTTTCCCTTGTTGTGTTCCGTTTTTGTTTTGGTATCTTAATTTTACTGGTTGTGTTCCATTTTGTTTGGGTATTTTTCTTTTCCCTTGTTGTGTTCCGTTTTGCTTTGGTATTTACTTTTCCCGTTTTCTTTTGGTATCTAAATTTTACTGGTTGTGTTCCGTTTTGCTTTGGTATTTACTTTCCCCTTGTTGTGTTCCGTTTTCTTTTGGTATCTAGATTTTACTGGTTGTGTTCCGTTTTGGTTTGATATCCACGTTTCTTTTGTCACCTTCCGTCTTGTTTTGGTATTTACATTTCCCTTGCTGTGTTCCGTTTTGTTTCGGTATCTACTATACCCTTGTGTTCTGTTTTGTTTTGGTATTCACTATTCCTTTATTGTATTCCATTTCAGTTTTGGTATCTATTTTCCTTTTTGTTTTAGTGTTACATTGTTTTGTTTCTAATTCATTTGTTAGCTTACCTGGCCCGAAGCATGATACTCCGCTGGAATATTTCTAGGATGAAGCCTATCAAAGTTTGTGAAAAAAGTTACCTTGATGTATATTCAAGGTCGCATGGGTCAAATTTGTGAAAACATTTAAACGACTCATAAACTAAAAGCCATAGGGGCTTGATATTTGATTGGTATGTTCTGAAGATGAAGCCCGATAGAGTTTGTGAAAATAAATGACCTTGACGTATATTCAAGGTTACAGGAAGTCAAATTTGTGAAAACATTTAAGCGGCTTCTACTCATGAAATAAAAGGCCTAGAGGCGTGATATTTGGGTGGTATGTTCCTAGGATAAAGCTCGAGAAAGACTGTGAAAATAAATGACCTTGAAGGTCAAAGGGGTCAGATATGTTAAAACATTAAAATGCCTTCTTCGAGGCATAGATGCATGATATTTGGTGAGCGACAGGTTAGCGCTGCAGGCCCATTGGGCCTCTTGTTCTTAATTGTGTTTTACATGGTTTCTAGTGTTTGCTATTGGGATTGTTTTTGCCCTCGTCTTCTGCAATATGTACATTTTTTGTTTGTTTTATTTATGCGATAATTGAGTTTGTTTATTTGTTTAGGTTTTGGGTACGATTTCTGATGTTTCGCGCTGTTCGTGTAGTTTTGGTTTCTTTGTTTTTGTTTTGTTTTCTTTTGTTTCTTATTGAATAATACGGAGTTACGTAATTCTTTACTAAAACTTTGGGACCAGTAGCTCTTCTCTTAAACAACACACGTAATGTTTTGTTCCTGAATGGACTCACTAAGAGTACATACACATCTCTGAACTATGACGCTACAGGTGCTTTATCAACAGCTAATAGTACAGAAACTTTACCTAAGACGTCACGAGCATTGTGAGAGTGGAGCGGGTGTGCACAGATATAAGAAATCGTAACCGAAATTGAAATCGACATCGATGTGTTATATCAATAGAAATCGACATTGATGGTTTGTATCAAAACAAATCGACATTGATGGTCTGTATCAATAGAAATCGACACTGATGGTCTGTATCTATATAAATCGACATTGATGGTCTGTATCTATAGAAATCGACATTGATAGTCTGTATCTATAGAAATCGACATTGATGGTCTGTATCAATAGAAATCGACATTGATGGTCTGTATCAATAGAAATCGACACTGATGGTCTGTATCTTTAGAAATCGACATTGATGGTCTGTATCTATAGAAATCGACATTGATGGTCTGTATCTATAGAGATCGACACTGATGGTCTGTATCTTTAGAAATCGACATTGATGGTCTGTATCTATAGAAATCGACATTGATGGTCTGTATCAATAGAAATCGACACTGATGGTCTGTATCTATATAAATCGACACTGATGGTCTATGTCTATAGAAATCGACACTGATGGTCTGTATCTATAGAAATCGACATTAATGGTCTGTATCTATAGAAATCGACACTGATGGTCTGTATCAATAGAAATCGACACTGATGGTCTGTATCTATAGAAATCGACATTGATGGTCTGTATCGTTAGAAATCGACACTGATGGTCTGTGTCTATAGAAATCGACACTGATGGTCTGTATCTATAGAAATCGACATTAATGGTCTGTATCTATAGAAATCGACACTGATGGTCTGTATCAATAGAAATCGACACTGATGGTCTGTATCTATAGAAATCGACATTGATGGTCTGTATCATTAGAAATCGACACTGATGGTCTATATCTATAGAAATCGACACTGATGGTCTGTATCTATAGAAATCGACACTGATGGTCTGTATCTATAGAAATCGACACTGATGGTCTGTAGCTATAGAAATCGACACTGATGGTCTGTATCAATAGAAATCGACATTGATGGTCTGTATCTAAAGAAATCGACATTGATGGTCTGTATCTATAGAAATCGACACTGATGGTCTGTATCTATAGAAATCGACACTGATGGTCTGTATCTATAGAAATAGACACTGATGGTCTGTAGCTATAGAAATCGACACTGATGGTCTGTATCAATAGAAATCGACATTGATGGTCTGTATCAATAGAAATCGACATTGATGGTCTGTATCTATAGAAATCGACACTGATGGTCTGTATCTATAGAAATCGACACTGATGGTCTGTATCTATAGAAATCGACATTGATGGTCTGTATCTATAGAAATCGACATTGATGGTCTGTATCAATAGAAATCGACATTGATGGTCTGTATCAATAGAAATCGACACTGATGGTCTGTATCTATATAAATCGACATTGATGGTCTGTATCATTAGAAATCGACACTGATGGTCTGTATCATTAAAAATCGATATATGGTCTGTATCTATAGAAATCGACATTGATGGTCTGTATCAATGAAATCGACACTGATGGTCTGTATCTATAGAGATCGACACTGATGGTCTGTATCTATAGAAATCGACACTGATGGTCTGTATCTATATAAATCGACATTAATGGTCTGTATCTATAGAAATCGACACTGATGGTCTGTATCTATAGAAATCGACACTGATGGTCTGTATCTATATAAATCGACATTAATGGTCTGTATCTATAGAAATCGACACTGATGGTCTGTATCTATAGAAATCGACACTGATGGTCTGTATCTATATAAATCGACATTGATGGTCTGTATCTATAGAAATCGACACTGATGGTCTGTGTCTATAGAAATCGACACTGATGGTCTGTATCTATAGAAATCGACACTGATGGTCTGTATCTATATAAATCGACATTAATGGTCTGTATCTATAGAAATCGACACTGATGGTCTGTATCTATAGAAATCGACACTGATGGTCTGTATCTATATAAATCGACATCGATGGTCTGTATCTATAGAAATCGACACTGATGGTCTGTATCTATAGAAATCGACACTGATGGTCTGTGTCTATAGAAATCGACACTGATGGTCTGTGTCTATATAAAATGGTCTGTGTCTATAGAAATCGACACTGATGGTCTGTGTCTATAGAAATCGACACTGATGGTCTGTGTCTATAGAAATCGACACTGATGGTCTGTATCTATAGAAATCGATACTGATGGTCTGTATCTATAGAAATCGACATTGATGGTCTGTATCTATAGAAATCGACATTGATGGTCTGTATCAATAGAAATCGACACTGATGGTCTGTATCTATAGAAATCGACACTGATGGTCTGTATCTATAGAAATCGACACTGATGGTCTGTATCTATAGAAATCGACACTGATGGTCTGTATCTATAGAAATCGACATTGATGGTCTGTATCTATAGAAATCGACACTGATGGTCTGTATCTATAGAAATCGACACTGATGGTCTGTATCTATAGAAATCGACACTGATGGTCTGTATCTATATGAATCGACATTAATGGTCTGTATCTATAGAAATCGACATTGATGGTCTGTATCTATAGAAATCGACATAATCGTTGAAAATCCATGAAAGAAAATAAAAGTTATAATGAGCTGAGTAAACATTCCGCCCACATAGAGGCGGTGTAATTATCATTTTCAGCACGTGCATAAAAATTGATGCTGTATACTTCATCACCAATAGAGAAAGCATGCCCTGTACCAGAAAAATCTATTGTTATACCTATAAATAACCCCTATGATCAACTACATATGTTTAGATGTATAGTTATACACAACCTGGTATTCCATGGTATAATATCAGAAATACTCACTCGTCGTATCTTTCAGTCTTCGCCGAACAGATTGAAAGTCAGCATTTAAAAAAAATGCAACGCAGTTGTTATCCTGAATTTTCATGTCATTGACGAGGCTATTGTGTAATTTAGATGGATAAATAAAGGCCGTTGTGAAATGTTTGCTTCTGAGATGGAAATGGATATGCGTCGTTTTTACACTACCTTTTACTATTTTCATAGGCAACAGCATTTATTTCATCATAATACTATTCCGTATTTAAAAATATTTTATGCTTTTGAAAAAGGTATATCAAAATATCTATTTTATACTTATAGATGTAAATTACATATCCATACCACAAAATGAAGAAATAATGCCGTATCCTATTTCCTGATTAGGAAAGATGATAATTGATCTTAATTATCCCCCGCTTTCACTGAAACGGGGGATATTAATTTGGGTTGGTCCGTCCAGCCGTCCGTCCGTCTGTCTGTCACACTTTCGTTTCCATGTTCTAACTTCCCCAGATATCATCCAATTTGGTTAATTTATGAATTTGCTTGTTTTTATATAGGTTGTTATAGGCCACCATATGATCTTACTATTTATTTAAAGGTTGAACAATAATATCCCAATAACAAAGTTTGTTTATTATATCTCCAGGAGTTCCCCATTCTTTTCAAAACATCTTATTCCTTTGTGGTATCATCCATCAAAGATGATGCACCCATACTAATGAGACGGAACGTTCCTATACCTTCTGTGGCCTGTCATCGGATCTGGATTATGACGGGTCTTTACATCAACACGTTAATGGTTTGCAGAGATCTGTGTTAACATGTACGCTTTCATTAAAAACACTAATGATAGGCGCCAATGAATGAAAGTTGCCCTGCTTCTATTGTATAAAAATGCTTATAGCAGACGTCAGGGAGTGACAAGAACTGTAGAAAGCTTCTTTGTAATATAACTGACAATTATGTCTTATATCCTACTTGTCATGTGCATTACCGAGAAATACTTTATGCCTTTAGATGAACCAAACCACATTGACATGCACACTGCTTCCATTAATTACATTTTTCGTTAACGTTCAATCGACAGCTGAAAGCTTATATCCGTGCTAATTATAATCGTCAGATCACTTTTGACTTCAGCCGAGGTTATCGTAGGTTCAAACATCACACTGTACTCAGAGAGAAGTCAAATACGTTTAATGATGTGTTTGTTTACGATTGTCATGGCAATTAATCAGAAATAAAAGAAATCCAGTGATTCATAAATACAGACTATTTATCATCGTATCGTCAGTTACGGTAGTACTCTCGTGCGTTACGTGTAAACAAGTGTGTCATAATTGCAGGCACGAAAGGTGGTGCTACGAACATATTTTTATGTTTACTGCGAAGCATTCCTATAATTATCAGGGAAAACCACGTAAATGATATATACCATATAAACGTCATATTTATGATTCATCGGTGTCTTACCTATATATATAAACAATGATTTACTCTGTTTGTGTCATATTTACTGCAATCTTTGCAATTTTCGTGTTCGAAAAATTTCGTGCTTATCATACGTTTCCATAATAATTAAAATCAATACTTTCGTAGTTTTGAAATCGCCTTGAAATTACATAACTGGAGTTTTATTTTGTAATTTTTCATAAAAAAACGCGTATTTTATCCATATTGTGGATCGAACGAACTGTTTACGAAAAAATATGTATGGAAGAAAAAAAGAATCTCAAACATAAATATTGCATGTAATATTTCCTCGTTTGGTTGTATTTTAGGTTCATATTTTAGTATGTATTACGTCATTTTTGAAGCGCCACCTGTTTGTAAACAAGATGTTGACTAGTGTACAAAGTTCATCGTGACCTATAAACAATTCTACTTGTGTTTTCCCCCAGGTCCCAGCAGCAGTAGCAACAGCAATAGCAAGCATCAAAGTAGCCATGACAACCACCAACGGAGAGGCAGCCAGGATATAAAAGTAGGTATTATTAGTGTTCGAGTAGATCAGCACACCTCCAAACAAATGTTCCTTACACTGCTATCAGCTGAAAAAACTATATTTTTCTTCTTTCTTTTGATTTTTGTCTACTCCGGTACAGCTATAGCTGTCTCCTTCAATATATATGTATATAAAGATACAGTTGTAGGAGGTTTGGAACATTCAAAGACCTTGTAATGTATGGCGGAAGAAACATATTAACCTGTCGACAGAAATAACCTTCCTAGTTTTATTTTTGCATATCAGCTCCTTTAAAACAATCTTAAGTTACGTTCGCCTCGGTCAGTTTCCATTCTCTCTCGTCCACGATTTGTCTTCGTGGCAACAAAAATAGAACAAACAGAGAATAAATGTAGCTGTATTTATTTTTGTTTTCGAAAAGTTCGTCATTCACATTAACTTTCCAAATCGAACATCCTCTCTAACACGTGTTTGGTGCTTGTCCCATCAATCAGTACTAGCGGATTTGTTTTTTCTTTCCTATTGTTTCGCATGTATTTATGAAACAAGACAACTAATGTATTGGTGTTCCTTTAAACCAAGGTTACTGTTTCCAGCATCACACTTTCGATATTTGGACGGATTTTCCTATAAAGTCTGGTATTGATATATGTTTGACATGGGGCGTTGATATCTCTCTAAAGTATGGCGTTGATATCTGACTGACGTCTAGTGTTGATATCTCTCTAAAGTCTGGTGTCGATATATGTCTGACATGTGGTGTTGATATTTCTCTAAAGTCTGGTGTCGATATAAGTCTGAAGGTCGATATTGATATCTGTGTGTTGTTAATATCTGTCTGAAATCTGGTGCTAATATTTGTCTGAGGGCTGTTGTTGGTGTCTCTCTGAAGACCGGTGTTGATATCTGTCTGAGGGCTGGTGTTGATATCTGTCTGAGGGCTGGTGATGATATCTGTCTGAGGGCTTGTTTTGATATCTGACTGAGGGCTGGTTTTGATATCTGTCTGAAGTCTGGTGTTGATATCTGTCTGAGGGCTTGATATCTGTCTGAGGGCTTGTGTTAATATCTGTCTGAAGTCTGGTGTTGATATCTGTCTGAGGGCTGGTGTTGATATATGTCTGAAGGCTGGTGTTGATATCTGTCTGAGGGCTTGTTTTGATATCTGTCTGAGAGCTTGTTTTGATATCTGTCTGAGGGCTTGTTTTGATATCTGTCTACGGGCTGGTGTTGATATCTGTCTGAGGGCTTGTTTTGATATCTGTCTGGGGGCTGGTGATGATATCTGTCTGGGGGCTGGTGATGATATCTGTCTGAGGGCTGGTGTTGATATCTCTCTGAAGGCTTATGTTGATATCTGTCTGAAGGCTTGTGTTGATATCTGTCTGAAGTCTGGTGTTGATATCTGTCTGAGGGCTTGTTTTGATATCTGTCTGAAGTCTGGTGTTGATATCTGTCTGAGGGCTTGTTTTGATATCTGTTTGAGGACTGGTGTTTATATCTGTCTGAGGGCTTGTGTTGATATCTGTCTGAAGTCTGGTATTGATAACTGTCTGAGGGCTGGTGTTGATATCTGTCTGAGGGCTGGGGTTGATATCTGTCTGCGGGCTGGTTTTGATATCTGTCTGAAGTCTGGTGTTGATATCTGTCTGAGGGCTTATTTTGATATCTGACTGAGGGCTGGTTTTGATATCTGTCTGATGTCTGGTGTTGATATCTGTCTGAGGGCTGGTATTGATATCTGTCTGAGGGCTGGTGTTGATATATGTCTGAAGGCTGGTGTTGATATCTGTCTGAGGGCTTGTTTTGATATCTGACTGAGGGCTGGTTTTGATATCTGTCTGAAGTCTGGTGTTGATATCTGTCTGAGGGCTGGTATTGATATCTGTCTGAGGGCTGGTGTTGATATATGTCTGAAGGCTGGTGTTGATATCTGTCTGAGGGCTTGTTTTGATATCTGTCTGAGAGCTTGTGTCGATATCTGTCTGAGGGCTTGTTTTGATATCTGTCTGGGGGCTGGTGTTGATATCTGTCTGGGGGCTCGTGATGATATCTGTCTGAGGGCTGGTGTTGATATCTCTCTGAAGGCTTATGTTGATATCTGTCTGAAGGCTTGTGTTGATATCTGTCTGAAGTCTGGTGTTGATATCTGTCTGAGGGCTTGTGTTGATATCTGTCTGAGGGCTTGTTTTGATATCTGTCTGATCGCTGGTGATGATATCTGTCTGAGGGCTTGTGTTGATATCTGTCTGAAGTCTGGTGTTGATATCTGTCTGAGGGCTGGTGTTGATATCTGTCTGAGGGCTGGTGTTGATATCTGTCTGAGGGCTGGTGTTGATATATGTCTGAAGGCTGGTGTTGATATCTACTTGTTTTGATATCTGTCTGGTGTTGATATCTGTCTGAGGGCTTGTGTTGATATCTGTCTGAAGTCTGGTGTTGATATCTGTCTGAGGGCTTGTTTTGATATCTCTCTGAGGGCTTGTTTTGATATCTCTCTGAGGACTGGTGTTGATATCTGTCTGAGGGCTTGTGTTGATATCTGTCTGATCGCTGGTGATGATGTCTGTCTGAGGGCTTGTGTTGATATCTGTCTGCGGGCTGGTTTTGATATCTCTCTGAAGGCTTATGTTGATATCTGTCTGAGCGCTGGTATTGATATCTGTCCGAGGGCTGGACCGTTCATATTTTTAAGACTGTCCTTGACTTGACTGTTTTTTAGTCCTTTGATTTACCAGGTATGTCATTATCATTCTATTTACCCCGTACTAATTTATGGTTTACTTCACTGAATGTGAAATATGTGTTACATAGAGTTGTTCAACGATTCTGTAAAATGTCGACCCATTTATCTGATAAGAAACATTCGCAAACAGTTTCAAGTTCAAGCGTTAAGTGCTTCCATTTAGTAATTGGAATCCATAAGGATATGAACTAGGCCAAGTTCAGCACGTGACTGATTAGACTTTCTCGGTCTTGACCTTAAAATCAGATAAAGTTATGCATATACATTCCATTCAAATTCCAAATGTTCTTTTAAACCCGATGTACAGGAACTAGTAATCATCATATTGGTGCCACATCCATGTTTATTTTCTTTTATATCATACAAATGTAATTAAATGAAACCTTCAATTAAAATTTTAAGTTGTAAGAAGTACTGCTATAGATATTTCCTTGACTAAATTCAAGTTGAATCTGGTGCAATGTGTTATTTTTGTATTGGTAGACAAATCCTTGATTCCTGTTTCCTGATGTTTGATTGCGTTCCGAAATAGTCGGAAATGTTTTCCTCAATATAAATCCAACCATGCTGTTTGACAGCCAGCCAAATAGCTTGTCCTATTTTTTATGTCTAAGTTTCCACCATTGTGAAATAGACTTGCACGTGAATCCGAGCTCACGTGCACCGAGTTCTAAGTGAAGTTCTATTTCCTACCTGGGAAACATTATGTACCTACACAATGAAGTGTACAATTCATCACTCAGAGTGATTTTATGATTTACGGATTGCTTTGATATTGTCAACAGGACTTCACACAAAAAACGTCCAACTCCTCTCAATACAATATGCATCTTTGTTATATGCCATCAGAAGCGTTAAGATGTGCATTTCAATATGTTAATTAACAAAGGTATGCGTAAGGGAGGATGTGTGTAGATCATCTATCATATGAGGATATAAATGCATTAAAACTAAAATATGTTGAAGATTTGTCATTTTATTTTATTTTCGAGTCAATATGAACCTTTGACTTCCTACAACATACACTAATTGGTATGACCTGTTACACTGTTAAAAAAAGACATTCCTTTATCCGAACAGCAAGTATAACAGATATCGTACAAAAGGCTCACAAGTAAATAGCACCCTTTAATAATCAAATTTAGAATAAAATACAGTAGAGCCAAACAACGAATTAAACTACAAAGTAAAAAATCCAGCTTGGGAGATGCACTTGTTATATAGAAAAAAAATCGTAATTTTCATATATTTGATCATTTTAAAATTACGTCAGGTGTATATTCTAAACTTCATTCTCCAACTACGAACAGAGTTTTGAGTGTCCACGCAACTCAATAGAATAACGCAGGTTTATATTTGTCCATCTACACGCCGCAGTGACCGCTCTATTACGGAGTAGAACAAAAATTTGTGTTGTAGTCGATATTTCAAGACCCATTGATTACTGAAGTCTGGATTTTATCTAATTTGACGAGTTTAAACATGGGTTCCTAAGAGTGTTGAGGTGTGTATGTTTTGGTTTGAAGTGTATGCATGGCTTATATACATATGTCTATCTCAGTCGGATGTTTTGCCACGGTGTTGTTTCGCAGAGGATCAGATATAGGGTCCCTCCCTGTTGGCGCCCGTCTCAGCGGAAGTGTTGTATATATGTTTCAGTGTCACGTAATCAAATGAAAGAGATGTTGATTTATTTTATTTTCATGTGCTTGCAACATCAAAGATCCAAATAAGTTTCACAATTAGATGACTGTTTTCATTTGTACAATAATCATACATCATTTATTTTGTCATAAACATTAATTCACTCGGCTTCAGTTTCCTCGATCACCACTCGGTCTTTTCTGGTTAGTTTCCGGACATTTACGGCAATCACAGAAACATTCGGGTGGTAATCGACAGATCTTGCTTGTCCCCTAATGTTTTGAAAAAAGTCCGCGAGTTTACAAACTACTCACTAGCAGTACTTGGCGGAATCACTAAAGCCCCGAAGTAAACCCGCCAGTTTCTGATCTTGTTGTGTATGACAATCATCTAGAAATGCTAGGCGTTTTATTGATAATGGCAAGAAATTGCCAAGATTAAACACATACCTTGAATGCTCCATGTCTCTGTCTTAACTTTTTCATCGATAATCATATCTAATATCTACATATCACATATTCTTATATATAAGGTGAATATTCATTGCAGTCTAGAGTGGTGATATTTGTTTAAAACTTTTTTCTTGTAAAAGCCATGAAATATCTATCCATTTTGGACCTCCACTGAAACAACCGGGTCGATACAGTCAGATACCATACAGACCGAGACAATAGGTCCTTGGTTTTTCTTTTACATATGTAAACGTACTGTAATTATTACATTGAATGTGTCTTCAACAAAAAGTCACATCTTTAAAATTGACTCTTCAGACGAATAAATAATAACTAATTTATGTTTCGTGTTCTCAGTGCAGCATAAAAATTCTGAAACGGTTTAACAAATAAGATTTCTGAATTAGAAATCATTATCTACGACACCTTTGTCATATCCAAAATTTAGAAAAGTGGAGTACCTATGGTCCAACATCCTCGATACTCCAGGGGTTGTGATCACTTTCGATCTCTACACTCTTGGCGCTGTCATTGCAAAGTTGAAGGCACAAGTGAAGTAATTTGATTGATTATAGGCGAAAAAAATCTGACCAACCATAGGCTGAAGATTACAAAGGAGCGGCATTCATCTCCAATGCCAGTACAACATACCCTTATGCTATCTCAAGATTCGTTTGATGTACATCAAAGGATCAAACTAGTCTTTTCGTCTTGTTCACAAGGTGTCGAACACAGAGCCTCCAATGTTTCCATGACATTACCCAGGGGTGCAGAGAGTGAAAGTGATCGAAATCCATGGAGTATCGAGGATAATGGTTTGACTGTTCTAAATTTAGAAATATGGAGGTCGTATTATATATATCGACCTGCACATAACCATCTCTTGGGCAAACAGAACAAGAGAAACCTTTGGCATATTCAATATATACAGGCGAACCTCGTTATATCGAACTCGACGGGATCATGGGAATACTTCGAGATAACCGCGTATTCGATTTCAGTGAATTCGAGTGTTTTGTATAAAGTTAGGCAGGGAACAAGTTTAATATAGCGATGTTCGACAGTACTAATATATTGTGCGTTAACAGGGAAAGTGTTGATATAGTGTTTGTTTGGTGTGCATGCTCACTGGAATGTTTACTAACTATCTCTCCTCAAACATACCTGACTCATTCCTTTCCTTATATTTGTGAACAGGACCGAGAAACCTTTATTACCCCGGAGGAACTTTTCCAAATAATATCCAACAAACGAAACGCCGAACTGATCAACAATCGCCACAAACATTCTCCAAGATGTATTCATTCTGACCATAGCTTTTTCACACCACAGGAAAAACAAAGCCACCATAAGGACAAAGAAAGCAGCCCCAGGAAATATGGCGTCTTCTCTATAAACCAAGCGATTGGAACCTCCATGTCTTGTGTGGGCGGATCGCAGCAATTTGCCCGGGAATTGGGTGTCAAAGCATCCATTGCTCCGAAGACTTGAACAGATTTTAAAACAAGAGAAATGTGAAAATATTGTTTTATTTGCTTTGAATCCCCCTGTGCCATTTATGGGGATTTGCGACTTGAGGAAAAAAATGGCGGTTTACCCGGAAGTCGTGTATGTAACCTCAAATGATAAGCACGTTCTATGACTGGATTTACCCACACGTCCCAATTTGGGCAGTCAGAGGTGTGCATGGTGGGTTTTTATTATACCACGTGGAGGTTATGTCGGTCACCATTTTTGTTACCGCGATTTGACACTAATCTTTGCCTAGAGCTGGCGTTCCTTACTCTTGCTGAAAACGACCGCTCCGAGTTGATTATAACACATTGCATATGTTGCGATGGCGTTGATTAATCAGGCAATATTCTGGGTGCTTTTGAGGAATAATATGTTTATTTTGAATAATTTGCCTTTCCTTTAAACCGCGTATTTTAAATTCAGCAAATAATTTGAAAAATATTTTGGGTAAATAAATCATATTTGAGCACGAGACGTATAAATGATGTATGTGTTTGTTTGATAAAAGCACTACGGAAGAGAGAATGCCAGTGACCTGATTCCTGAATGTCAAGAGTTGATTATCATTCCAGACTTCTATAGTCGATCCCCAAGTTTTTCGCTTTCTCTTTTTTATTTCATTATGCTAATGATGACCATTTATAAAGTATGAAATATTTATTTACGGTGATTTGTTTTCCTAGAATGGACGATCGCGAATTTTAGATATCGCAGATTTTAATCCGATACCAATTTCCAGAAAAGTACATGTTTCAGCTATCGTTCTCCATAACACTTCGCTGCAAGAGAAAGTGCGAAAATAAAATATTCACAATATTACGCGGTCAAAAATAACTTTCCGGCAATACTCCAAAATTTGTCGGAAATTTTCCTGCGATCTTGCTATTTGGCGCGGTACATAACACATTTCCCTTGTTATATTACAATCTTCAAATACGAATTAAGCTTGAATTTTACTTTAGCATGAGAATATGAATAATTTAAAGTCATTGGCGATATTATAGAATTTTAAACATAATTTTGGTGCAAGCTGATGGCACATCATCTAAATGTGTCTATAAACGATATAATTATATATACGCACAACCACATGGACTTGGAACAAATTCCCAGCTCACGATCCTTTTCTATAATACATATACGTGATCCATTAGTTGGAAATTCATCACAAGTCCCTGTGCGCACAAATGCATGTTATATGCTCTGTTAATATGACCCAAGTGTATATTTACACTATACATTTGCGCTTTCAACCAGTATCATCTTTGCGTTACGTTTGTGTTCACGTTGAAATCCAACTTATGGTTGTTGTATTTTGTGCGAACTGTTCGCTTGACTTTTTACCTTACCGCCAGAATCACAGGTATATGACATAGCTTCCCGATCCCATGGTCGTTTTTATATGGACCGTGTTATTGAGAATTTGGGTCATGTTCCTGTGACTGTTGTCATGAAAACATCATCGCCTTAAAATAACTCTGTATGTATATAATAAAAATTTAAAAACTTAATGCGTTGTGTCAAACTTTTAGAAATTGTTCACATGTACTGCAGATAACTTGATTGTTCATAGTTATTGTGAGGACTTGCACGAAGTATAGCATGGATTACCTACCTTAGTTTCAACTTTTCTCCGCTAGACTGCGCTCATTGTATTTTCGAAGCGAAATCTTGTGGAGAGTAGAAACTCGACGACACTGGGGCAATCCAGTCTGATACCTACTTATAAGGACACAATACAAACATGATGATAATTAATTGATCATAGATTTCAATTTCTAACTGGTTCTTTGTCCTTACAAAACAAGTTTGAAAATGTTTTACTTATTTTGATTTATAATTGCCATAAAATTGATGCGCAAAAGGTGAACATTAGATATATACAAGCTTCAGATTTGTAAATGGAACACTGAACGATGTTTTTCGAAATTTAAAATCAATCTGCAGAGTTCAGCGGGACATCCGTAAATAAGGACCGTTTTCTTTCATTTTTCACTGCCTGAACGGTTTGTCTTGGAATTGGGCCAGAGTTTTTTAGGATCATGAAATAAGTCTACACCCTCGTAAATATTCCATTTATAACACCGCAATGTCTGGAAAGATACATGGACATTTGTCATAAACGAACAGGTGCGCAATTTCGCATTATTAGTAGTTCGTGCTAGGATGTGCTTTGTCGCAAAAACAGCCCCGAAATCTATAACAAAAAAGACCACGAAAGAAAACCGTGTTGTACTATTTTTTTAAACATATATTTTTAGTTACAGCCAAACTTGACGATTATACATTATATATTTTCACCGGCAACAGAAGTATGAAATTTGATTTTATGGATCGTAATCTTTATTAATGTTAATTTGTTGCATTTAAAAGTATTCATTTAAACATTAAAAAAGTTAAACCTTTAGAACGTGCGAGTTTTTTGTTTCTTTCAAACGACCTTGTTTATTAGCACTACTATAAGCACGTACTACTAGCAACTAATATCTATAGATGTTTGGAGATCTGATAATATAATTATATAATTGACAGTATTGAGATTCAAATATAGACCATACTGTTACGTGTTATAAATAACAGTATTAACATATTTCGGAACGAACCGGTGTGGTTTATATAGTTTTAATTATCAGTGAGAGACGGAATTCCTAAATCTCTTTAGTTTTTGTAATATCTATGTAACTTCGTCTATATGATTTATTTCCTGCTGTGCAGTAATATTTGTTCAGACTAAAACGAGAATAATATTCATTTTCAAAAGATTCAGATAAATTGAAAAAGAAGTTTAAAGACTACGATTCCTATACCATGCCACTCTGTTTTAGAAATTTCTCTTTTCAAGTTTTGACACAGTCAGTCGGAACACGATTTTATAATTTTCATTATATTTGTTACATAAGAATTTGGCAGACGAGATTCAAAAGTGAAGGAAAACCTATTTACCACATTTTTAGTAGAACACACATTAGCAATGTAAGCGATCAGAATCCCGCTTAGCTTGTGAGGTTTAACTGGAGATGTAAGAGGCGAACTGTTAAACAGAGGTTATGTGGGAGGCCTTGTAGCAGATATATAATGGAAACATTTAATCTAGAAATCTGTGTATATATGCAGCATTTACAAGAATTCGGTGAGATATATCTTACTCTTTATAATAAAACTTCAAATACCTTTATCTGCAGTCAAGGATGATGAGGTCACCGACTCACAAGTAAAGGATAGAACAAATGTTTAAGTCTTTTGATATCATTATACCGGTATATGGTATTAATATCGATATATCAGAAACGATTGTGAGGAAATCAAGGAGTCTACACGTATTGAAAATTAACGATTAATAAAGAATTATCCCGAGTTCGTAGTGACCAGCAGTGGGTACTGACCACTATCAAATAGAAGTACTTTGACTACTCATTTCGGACAACGACGGACAACACAAACTGCGAAACATATTATACCTACGTAAACAAAATCGTGCCAAGTGAACGTTTATCACTCGAGATAGCTATGGCCTCGACTACAGTTATGAGATGCTGATATGCAGAGTCATGCGTTTTGTCAGTATTCCAACATACATTAGTCTATATCAAATCCTCGGAGTCTCGTACACTAGTTAATAGGAAAAATAAACTGTCCAAAGCACCAGAGGATGGCAGTGGCAATATCAGCTATTTTTGAAAGGTATGTTACATATTAGTAAAGGACACACTGATTTATGCCAGAGTGTAACACTAATTCTAGGACAAATATTCATCATTCCTGAGATGTATAACAGAAGCAATGCTTTACCTTCCAATGATACAAAAAAAATCAATTATACATTAGCACATGCGTGGTGTATGACGTAATATTGCATCCTAGACGATTTCTTAAAGAGTTTCGTGTGGCTCCCCTACCGGACACGTGGCTTGGAAGGTATCTCCACACATCTCGAGTAACCGTTAAGGGGAACTAACCCTAGGTATAGGTTCGCAACTACAAGCACCTTCCAAAGATATGACATGATACTGCACCGTCAAAAGATTAAAAAAAAATAATGGATATCACATAGTCACCTTTATAGCTACAGGACATGTTGAAAGGCGTAGATAATCCTCGCTTCATGGCATGAATTAGCCTTTCACCGTTAAACATTTTTTATTGGAGTACATTGACCTTCTGTCTACTCGAGAATTTTTTTATCGTAACATAACAAGTTCTAAAGACTCTTTTTGAAACTGATGAGATTTATAAAATTCTAAGTTATCTGAAAGACTTGCCATTTTAATCTTCTGTGATGATATAACCATTTAAGATATTTAGCATTTGCCTTTCAGTTGATGCGATTTCCTTTTGGGATCACTGTGTGTTTCACTGGTTGGTGGCCCTAATAACATTTTATGTGTTGACGGGTCGTTAAGATAGTAATAATACTAATGATAAAGCTACATGACAAAGCAACACACTTCTAAAAGCGCCAATACTAAAAAAAGGCCACTGGCATCAGTATATATCGGGTTCCAGTACCAGGGCAAAACGAAGGACGTGGGCTAATAGATGATACTGTAGATATGTTTTTACCAAGAGTTATCTTGTGAAAACAGATGGTCGTTGGCAGCCATATTGAAAATTAATCCGTATTTGAAGAACATTCATCGAGATATCAATTCTTCAAAAGCTTTCAGGAAATCAGGAAGATCGCCGACATTAACAAATTGACTGTTAGATTCTGTTCTAAACAACAGCTCCATGAGAGATCTCGGCGAACAGATATTTTTGTTCTGATCAGTCCCTAAAGCACAACTAGAAAGTAAGGAGATAGTACATACATGAGAAAGATCCATCCAGCAATTCTAAAGGAATAGTGATAACAAGGATTTATGAAGGACCACGGAGGAATAGTGATAACAAGGATTTATGAAGGACCACGGAGGAATAGTGATAACAAGGATTTATGAAGGACGACGGAGGAAGGGCGACAAAAAGTCGAAGCAAATCCCTTCCCCTTAGTGTTCCCGAAGAAACAACGAAGCACTTCGGTTCGTTACAAGAATTATTACGATCGAACCCAACGCAGGAAAATTATCGCCTGCAAAACACATCAGGAGTTAAGTATTTGTAGTTTTGCGCAAGCAACTGGAATAGCAAAGAATCTGTCAAAAATAAGAAAGTGAGCCAATGGATTCAGCTTCTGTACATGGTACTTAAACCTCTGGTAAAATATTACGGATTTGAAAGGATATTCAAAGAGATGATTTATTATCGATGGGAGGTAAAACACCAGCAAACTTAGAAATAGGAAAAAACAAAGGGCTATAACTCTATATAAAGTTATACATACATGAAAAAGTAAATAAACAGAATAAAAATATTTAATTTTCTGTAATATATTATACAGCAATCATTCAAACAGTAATGAAACAATATACATACAAAAAATATACCTATCTTTCAGCTAAATAATCTCAATGATTTCAATGTATGAAGACTAAAGACCCATTTGTACAAAAAAAAACTCCTATTTTGTCAGGATTTGAAACTTCTTACAGAGACAAAAAAAATATTTCTAAAAAAATAACCATCTGATTAAATTGTTAAACATAGTTATCTTATGTACTTTAGAGTTATCCATGTTCCTGTTTAAAGAAAAGACTGTACTCTCTTTCATATTCATAAACTTTGTGGGGAAGCTGTGATCTGTTGTGGACTCCAAAAGGTTTCCAACAATAACAAAAAAAAAAAAAAAACGAAAAAAACAAAAACTTGTTTCTGTCCCATAAACACAAAATCAGAAACATGCCACAACAGATAAACTATTAAGTGGCGACTTTGTTGCTGCAAAACAATACAATTATATACAAAATTATGCAAAATTTACAATAGGATTATTTCCCAGTTCATAATTCAGCAAATACATAGAAATATGTGGCATCTATGCCCACAAAGTAAACTAACTATATATCCCTGATCAAGTTAACAAAATAACGTGCAACTTCTTCAAATATACATACACATTCCACGTTTCATTACCCTCTGCATAGGAAAATATATAGCTATGAATATCACATATCAGAGGTGATGCTTTTATCCTATGTACATGGCACTTCAGATATGGGGACCAAAACTTCACCATTTCAAAACCGCATTTCCAGAAATATTTTTCATAAACATCTGTACAGCTGCTGAACACTAACTACCGTTCCCATACCACTTTGTTAATACCCCCACAAAAGGGCCTACTCCTGTATCCCAGGGACATTGTATCAATATTTTATTGTGGGACAAGCTTGAGTGGCATGTTTAATTGTTTTCTGTACTGAGACCTCATTTGAATGTTACAGCACAGACTTTTTATAACCTAAGTCTGTGGTTACATTATTTTTCAAAGATTTCCCCTCATTCTTATCAAATACCTAATTATTAGTGTGCACTCTATCAACACCAATTGCTATACCAACTGATAATGAGTTATGGACAAGAAGTAACTCAGAGATCAAAATGTCAAGTACACATGTAAATTATACATATTAGCTAAGATGAGTAGAATAATACAGAACAAGAGTGGCGTGGACACAATATACGCTGCCACAAAATATAAAGATTAAGATAACATGGCATAAATCTTACAAAAATCAATGACCCCTAAAATCGCCCCTTCATGCACATTGTATTAGTGACATTGAGCAAGTTTTATGAAAATCTGATCATTAGGTTAGGAGGCGTTGCGTTCACAAGGCTCCACTAAGAGCAAGCTACAGATACAAAGTTGAAAATGGCATAAATCTTCCAAAAAAAAACGAACCAAAAAATCGCCCCTTCATGTGCATCTACACATTGTAGTAGTGACATTGAGCAATTTTCATGAAAATCTGATGATTAGTTAAGGAGGAGTTCACAAGAAATGGACGTACGGACGGACGTACAAACGGAGAAGATGACGCCAATATACGACTGCCTCCGGCAGCGTATAAAAAATAATCTACCACATCAATTGTTTAAAAGAAGAATATATCCTGAGAGTAGGAATATTTACACATACTGTACATTTGCAGGGAGAGTGTATCTCCATTCCAATCCCTCCACAGCAACTCTATAAAAAAAAAAGCACACACTATATGATTATTACTTTCCCTATGTGAACCAATGACCTATTTCTTTTAACTTCCAAGTAATGTTTTTCTTTTACAAATACGAAAATCATGGGCTATAATACAACATATATACAATTACTTGTAATATATGACTTTTTATCAAAAAAGCAGTATCGTATGATAACATTATGAATTTTAGTCAATATTATCTGTAGCCAATCAGGAATTTTCTTGCAAACACAAACCAAGATTGAGAGAGTTTTGCCTCTTTTGTATCCCTTGTAGAAACATTTAAATATTTCTACAAAAACAACTACATGAGCAAGTCAATATGCCATCACTTAAGCCACCAAATATAAAAAGCAGATTCTCTCATTTACATAAAAATCCAGAAAAAAGGGAATGAATTGTGATCCTTTGCAGATTTAATCCTCAACACTCACGAACACATCCACTGTAAGGAAAATTTATATCCTATATATATATGAATGTTTACAAACATATAGAAAATAAACCAATATTAAAAAAATGCAAAATACATCAGAAGTTCAGTATGAAAAAATATTTTATTGTATACTATAATTTTAGATGTGATAATTGTGTCTGAATCAATTCACAAATTAATCATTATAAAGAAAATCATATTGAGTCCAAATTTGCAGAAGGAAATTCATGCTCCTAACTCTTTATAATCAGGCTTGATTTTTACGAGATGAAAATCTGAAAAAATACAACATAATTAAAACAAGACATGTAAGTTGACTCCTCTATGACATACTACAATATAGTAGAGAATTGTAGAGGACCAGAATTACAAACCTAACTTCAATAAGGCTGAGAGAAATAATTAATTTTGCTAAATGTGACAAGTTGTCATTGTGGAATTGGTGATATCTGTAGTATCACAACAAGAAGCAAGTCATTCACTTTCAGAACCCATTAAATGTTGCATATTAAAACTTGAAAGACTTTCAGATACATGAAACAAATGTATGTCAACATAAAGATATGTAAAATTATTCTACCACACGTTACATTTTCAACATAAATGCAAACAATAAATCTCAGTCAAAGACCGAAGAATCATACAACCCAGCAGCATTATTGATTATTAATTGTGAATCTATATAATTAATTATGTACATATATATGTATTATAAATATACTCTATAAGATCACTGATTAATATATATATAACTATCTATATATATGAAAAAATCAAATATACAACAATTATTTAATTTTGTGTATGTTTAAGTATACAATACACATGTTAATGTAAATGTACAAATAAGCACTTATGTAACACCACATAATACATTGATATCTAAAGCCTGAATATATGGAAATGTTATCAAAAGTACCCCACAGTATTTGATGTGTTAATAGTTTGTTTAATAATTGTGGTACCATAATGTATATCAACCTCAAAGATACTAAAAAAATAAATACAGTGTTTTGTTTCTTGTATTCCACCTGTGTATTGTATCTTGTGTGTATGTACACATGTTATCAAAGTTAATAAGAAAATGAAAGAAAATAAAATGATCAGCTGTTATCAGGAATATATCAACTGTATTGGATTACCTCCCATTAACCATTGGCCTGTGAGCCTTAGAGAAGATATCCTGAAAATTGATAGGAACAAAAAGAAAAATATTACATGGTTCTTTAGTAACAAGACTACCTTTGCTTATGGTAGATTCCAAATAAGTAAAAAAATTAATGTAATTTAAATTGAAAGAATATCATGCAATAAGATGAAACAAAACTGAAGTGCTAAATTCAATTTAAGATGTGAACTTTTGAGAATAATTAAATTCCTTGCCCTATTGATCAATCAGAATTTGAAAATCTTTTATAGTTTCTTGAGAAAAAAATATGTAGGTTTCTCACAATTTTTATTCATTATAGTATGTTATTCATTGTATTTACTGAAATTAAAAAAAATTCAGAACTTAAAGACCTTTGGAGAATACAGATTACTACATGTAACATGTATTACACTGTCACCATGGAATACACATCAAATCTAAAACAGAATGAATAGTATGCTGGAAATAATGTAAAAGTATAGATTTTCTAGATTTGGAGATTCACTTTGAATAAAATAAAATATCTTTATACATAAACATATAAATATATTGAATTTGACATCTTTGAAAAGGAAAACTAGTACAAAATTAAGCACAATTTATCAAAAAGAAGTTCATATCAGATTTCCAAAAAATATGTAAATGAATAATACCATACCTGAAGTATTGCATGTAATCAATTAACTTTAATACACAGTAGGAAACACTATAACACTACAACACAACAGAATGACTACCAGGTATACAAGTAACTCCTACTTGATGAACCCAGATGGTGTTTATGTTTCTTCCCAACAGACAATGAATGACGTTCGGCACATTAAGTATGACTAAAATACATCATTTTTCTCACATGTATATTAATATGTACTTGTAGACTTTTTAAAACAGCGAATTATTTACGTGACCTTTAGACTGATAATTAACTTCTGTTTACTTTAGAAGTTCTGAACGTCTGACAAAACTATGGGACCTGGAGTTCTCTTGTCTATATTCAAAAACACCAAAGTTAAATATGGGTTATATATGTAGCATAAATTTGACTAAATATCTAGTGAATGAAATTCCTGCTGTTAAATTCTGGTTTTTTTCTGACTTATATATTCAACTATTCTGGCAAATATCCAGCTCTCGGATCTTAGTTTCAAGTCAAGCATTTTTCTTGAGTTAAAGTCTGAATTCTCTTACAAAATCAAGGTAAATAGACAAAAAAGCTTAAACAAAGCATTCATAACTTATACAGCAGGTAATGAAAAAGTGCAGTGGTTTATGGTGGTAGAACACGACTAGAACTATGACTTTCCCAATATGCTTGTTCATCCATCAGTGATCTCTCTACTACAGCAAATATAATGACAGCAGTCAGAATTGCCAACAGTCCAGAAAATATGATAAATCTCTCAGATTTTCTTGCACATCTCTGTGCCTCATCAATGTTTCCACGCATAATTCCTTCATCAAATTCTTTTTCAGTTTTAAAAGCATAATACACTGCTGGTATACCTGTTGGAAAGAAAAACAGACAAGCAATAATTCCAAAAACTTTTAACAACATGATATGGCGTTGTCGCAATGGACGCTGACGCTCAAAGTCTCTCCATCTTTCCGTTTCCTGGATATGGGCTGTTTGGATTACACGACGGTCTTTATTGGTTCCATTTGATTTTGTCGTTGATTCTGAAGAGCTTTTATAATGAACTGGAGTATTTTCTGATTGAGCATTCCCATTTTGATTTGATGAAGATGTCAAAATTGTCACAGACGGCTCACTGTTAGCACTACCATTTGGTTCAGCACTGGGACCGACAGCTTGACCTTGATTCAACTTGACCTCTGACTGAATTTCAACCTTGACAGAGGACTGTTGTACAATATCATTATTTTCCGGGTTGTCAAAATCAAATGCAGTAAATCCTTCATTGTCAAACTGAAGATGGCCAAGATGAGGTTGAAGTTCATTGTCATAGGCTAATTCATCATCTCCCACCATACCTTCACCTGGCTGGTAACGCTTTGCCATCTTTTAGCTAAAAGAAACGAGACGTAATTCAATTTAAGGAAATTATAGTGATATATTCAGAAGTAGGTGTGGATGTTCACCATTTTGTCTCCAGTTTCCGCAATAACACCTTTGTATATCCAAATCTCCAACTACTAATATATATGAACACCTTTTGAATGATAATGTGCTAGGACAAAATTTAATGCACATTATATACATGTATATAATCCAACACTGTATGTAAATCAAATTAAAAGCGACATGAAAAAACAGGAATCACATGACATTGATAGGAAAAAGGTCAAAGTGACAAATTTTGGGGTAGATTAGTAATGCTTGTAATCCTACCAGGATATCATCAAATATGGTGCAGATTTTAATGTCTGGAACCCTTTATTTTGGAGATGTTTAAAGTATTTGTTAATGACTACGTCTTCGAGTAAGGGAGAGCGTTTACACCGTTACTTCTCTAAATATTTGTTTGGGCCATATATCATATCTAGGGAGACATCAGAGTCATATGGGATCCGTGTCCTTTACCGTTATAAGTTTCGTTATAATTTCCGTCACGGACTACGAAGTCTATCGATGTACGACGATAGTTTAAAATATAGTAATACTGCCATGCAGACTTCGGTTAAGGAACAACATTACAAATGCCAATGATTATTTAAGTCCCTACAGCATGGGACAGCGACGTGTTCCCCTTATGCTATTTTTAGCTTTATACAGATGTCATCTCGTTTGCTTACAGGTAGAGGGAATATCTACTTTTTATCAAATCTACACGTAATCTGTTATCAAGTTTTATACAGGTACGTAGGTGATGTCATACTGACCTCATTAACTGACGTATTCCAGTTAGCTGTTGGTCGTATAGCTGGTACTGATTAAAAAACACACAACACAGTCGCCATACTCCTACCGATAACAAGATATTACCTGGGCGAAAGGGGGCGCTCGTGATTCCTGCTCATGGCGCTGAATTCGAATAAGCTACTAAGTGAAGAAATGAACATTACAGTTGATAACTCCAAATTAAGAATATTTTATCATTCACGCAGAATAAGATATCCGAGTCCGTGATCAGCATATATTTCAATATTATCACTTCCGTACACAATACCACTCTTTGTTCTGTGTAGGCCTATACATTTATGTTAATTTTACAACACGAATGGTGTTTTTTCAACGTCTTCTGATGTACTTTTAAAATTTACAGTATGCTTTATTGGAAATAAAAGGCCTTTTTTTCTTTATTAGTGACATATATCAACGGATAAAGTGTGTGAATAAGTAATTTTATTTCATTTTAATTTCTTAACCAACGTGAATACTGACTGACATTGAATTACCATATTAGAGACAGAAATTTTCGGTTTAACCGACTTTTAAAGACGGCAGCTTTGGCGCCTCGCTATCCACTGTACAACCAGACAAGACCGCATCCAAATTGATAATTTAATGTCAATATTCACATTCATCCAGATGTTATTGGTGCCGCATTTGTGTAGTAGGGAAGCACACCGGTCTTACTCAAAATCGATATGAAAGTTACCTGGAGATCGGTTTGATAGTTTTGGGTCTATTCAGAATTCAGAACCAACTTCATAAGAGTGTGTAAATACATGCAAACCTGAAATATAATATTAGACACTGTCTTGTGCTTTGCATCTCCATCTTCGTCTATGTCTGAATGGGGAGACTTTGTGTAATCTGACACACCAGAAAAGTGAAGTATTCACAACGCTGCCCACTACTTCTGTACTTACTAGTATGTAGCCCGGTAGACTAACTACTATAGTGTGTTTCCTTTGTAAGGAAATGACAGCAGATCCTTATGGACATCTCATCCATAGTGTATAATCTCGTTGTCTCGACCAGACCTACAATTACTACAGGGGCTCGATATAGCGATGTGTTTTGTTTTACTAATAAAATATAATTGCGTTCCAGTTTAATTAGAAAAAAAAAACTTATTTCAGACCGTGACAAAGACAAATTCAGAGTAGAATAAGCATGTATTATTTCTCTTAGTATGAAAAGCAGACACTATTAAGTAATTTTCCTGGTGTGCTGTTTTAGAAAACTTCATCTTCTTTGATGTTACTAGTAATAATGTCTAGTCACGGACTTGGTCTAGTACATTGTAAAGTATATCACAACATCATAGTAAATACACATTAATTCGATGGCTTCATCTAGGAATCGATGATAGTAAAAATGTCCGTGTTCAAAATTACAAACAATGCCAGAGCCATCTCCAATGATTATTGGGAAACACGGAATCCTAGAATTGTTGAAATTAAGAATAGAACTTAAGAAGGTTCAAAACGCGAATCAATTGTACCCGAGATTCAATCGAACTCTCTAGAGTTATCAGAACAAAAATGAGTTACATTTTAAGGCGTTATGGAGCTCCTTGATGAATTTGGATTAATTTTGATCTATTCTAATTGCAGAAAACACTAGTGAACTTCAAAAACATACACAGAACAAAACTTAATATGCTTCTTCAGTAGCTTTTATTAAACAGTTTTGACGAGCATTGTATAAAAATGTACTACCACATTTCTAAAGAAATAATAATAATACCTTGAAGTCTAACAGAAGCTAGTGTTACACCGCTCCCCACTACATTGGTATGTCGCAGGCATACTTTTCTTACGTAAGTTTGTTCAGAGTATAACTCTCTGATAACACATGTTCTTGAAATTAGCATCTAGATTCGGACACAATTTGTTTCGATCAATCTAACATTTCTACTAATATTTCGCCATATTAGTATAAAAATTTCGGGACTAAGCTTCATTCATTTGTGGGTTCGGACGGACAGCTGACTGTATGATACCATACTTGGCTCTAATGTATATAATTCTTTTGTATCGAAAGATGTTATTCACTCATACGTCTTCAGTACAATCTTGTACCATAGTGTAAACAAATTCAAATCACTTGATAGTACTCATCGTTGATTCCTATAAATAAAAGAACTCTTCTTTGCTGGAGGTTTAACATAGAGCTGCGAGACATTAGTGAGCCTTAATTTTTTTCGACAAGGCATGTCAGGCGCAACTATTCGATAATCTAACGAAGCCGTTAAACCAGACAAGACTAAGCGATAAAGTTTCATATTAAACAGGAAGTCGACAATTTTGTTTACAGAAACTGACCGAAGAAGTTGGGAGTTGTCATCTAAATTTGCGAGACTATTTTACACTTTCATGGCGGGCTATCCAGGTGCCCAAGGACATTTCCAAGCAGGGACGGCAGTAGTTCCAGCATCACAAGTGGAAATAACTGTATCCTGCAGGTAAAGAATGATATTCGATAGACCTATCGGTGTTTCGTACCCAGTCAAGGATTTGTTCCATTTTGACAGACAGCTCTAAGTTTGGATAAAAAAAACAACAAGAAATGATCTTTCATATACTTAAGACACGTGAACATGCTATGTTTGAGTAAATACTGGCAAACGAATTATCAAATTCATTTTGTCATTATCAGCGTATAACATTTTATATTGCGCAACACATGACTTGGATGATATGATAATCAACCGTATGTTACTCACACTACACTAGTCCTAACACCTAAACAGAAGTAGCTCATTGTCTGGTAGAATTTTGGGTTCGCACAAAGAGAAAAAATAATAGAAGCACAAAAAGATACAATATAAACATAAGCTTAAACATGTTTTTAGCAAGAAATGAATATCATAACCACACCAAGGACGTAGTTTAAATGCATTTGGAGATTTTGAATGCCTCAATAAAAAACTTTGTCTCTGCTCATTGAGATGCTAGGTTACTGAGTCCTACACACAATGCAATCTTAACAAAATTGAAATGGTTCGATAGCAAACAACTACATTTATATGTGTGCAGTAACTACCATAACAAAATCAGTGTGTTTGGCCACTCTTAGCAAATCATCACCAAAAATACGCCTTGTGGTCTTCTATTAATTGTCCACTGTCTCATTGCATTACTGCTCCTACAACTGATATACTCTTTACAGTAGAACCAATAAAATTATAAAAAAAAAAAAAATTCCTACATATATCTGCAACAATAAACACTTTCAAATGTTCCTTCTTTCTGTGCACCATTCTCCAATGGAATAGGCCTTGCAGCCATTTTAGACCATGTATTTGTAGAAAAGATTAGCTGATTCCAGTTGTTATCAAAACCTCACCTATGCTAAATTCTACCTTTGTACCTAGTTTTATGTTAAATATAGATATATAAAAATGTATATATTAACATTTTTTCTCTCTGCATTCCCGAGGAGAAAAAATCTTAATGTGGTTTATATGTAGGGTGATCTTTCAATTGTTTACAAAAGTGAAATCATGTACAATGAAAAGTAAGTGTGCATTGATAAAAATTGTCAGTATTATTATAGGTAAGAAAAATTATCAATCATAAAAGATTGCCTGTTTAATGTTAAAATTACGCTGTTTTCTGTTACTGTTGATTTGAAAATTATTAGTCATGTACTTCTTGTGGTACTTTGTATTAAACCTGATAATGTTCATATCAGGATAAAAAATAAACAGCTGACTTATTACCCAACAGTAAAAGGTCTTATCCTCTCTTGTCTGCATTCCTTACCACACACATGGATATACATTATTGTAATTTCCTGTTTGCTCTTTTGATTTATAAATTTTCTTCAATTATTTATAATGGATGAAAACAGGTTTATTCCATGTAACATACATAAGATGAAGGGATGTTTCAATCTTGTATTATGGAAGTCACCAGAATGTGCTGTTTAAGAATGTGTAGTTCATATGGAAGTTGAGAGTTCAGGTCACCTGATCTGATCAGGTTTAACTTGTGGAAATTTCCTGTTGGTCAAGCCATAGAGTGTGCATCTTAATTTGAGAGCAAGAGACTGCTAGTTTGAAACCTAGAGGAAGCAGGACATTTTTCATTACTTCTTCCTATTATATTCATGCAAGAGGTTGGATAACTTAAAATAAAGGACTGTTTTAACTTTTTGATTTGTGAAGATTTGAGGTATGTAGTTTGATAACTACCACTGACAAATTCAGGGGAAGTAGATATCACAAATTGTGTTGTTGTAGTTGTCAGTGTGTCCTTTGGCATGAGATGTTTTCACCAGTTAATCTGGGTGACATATGACAGGCCTTCTCCATAATATTCAGTGATTGATACGAAAAGTTGACATGTTTTGTGAAATTTGAAAGTTTTATGATTATTGTTGATTGTATATATCTTTTGCAGGGGATTAAAAGATGCTGATGTTTTTTCAAAGTCTGACCCAATGTGTGTCCTTTTCACAAAAGATAAAAGAACAGGATCATATTATGAGGTGAGTTTACAGTTGACACAGCAGCCTTAATTTATTTTCACATTTTTGTCAAATACTTTACATAAAAATGTGTTCTGTAAATGTAACAGAGGTCATTTTTCATCTCAATGCCTCCACTAGGAATCGAACCCGGCACCCCTGGCTTACTAGTCTGACACTCAACCAATCGAGCTAAAGAGAAGTTCTCTCTTGCCAAGTGGTATATTGCGGCTAGTATTTTACCAGGGTTACATAAATATGCCATTACCTGCAATTGTCACATATATTGATATATACAGTAATGATAATGCTGTGATATAATTGTCTGGGCAGTAAATTCAGGTTTTGTTTATGGGTAATTTCAAATTAAAATGAGATATATGATAGATGTGACCTTATGCTTATGTTTTATTAAATCTGATCATGTCCAGGTTATGACCATGACATGCCAGTGTGATGTCACCATATAAAAGCAGAGATCTGACAGGACTCCATGTATCATCCCTGGATAGCATCTTTATAATGAGCTATATAATACATGTACCTGTGTAGTTGTGTATATACATGGTCTAATTTTTATTATAAATATCTGAGCCTGCATGTACATACATGTGGTATGGCTTAAAAAAAAAGTCAAATGTAAAGGGCATTAAAGAAATTGAGTTTTTGAATGAAATGGTAACCGAAATAATGCAAACCATTCTGATCCAGTGATTTTTGGGATATTTAACTTGAGTCCTGATCTCATGCTTTTCCTGTGGGACATGACTGAATTTAAGAACCCACTTTATTTCTTATCAACATGACTTAACAAAATTTTGGAAACACTGTTCTCGATTTCCTCTAAAAATGCTATAAAATGACTGATCATTCCAAGAGAGTTCAGTCATATTTTAAGCTTCAATATCTTGTGCGTGTTTTCTTCAAAGTTTAAGTGTGATATCTTTCATCTGTAACTCAAGTAATGAGTGGTATATATATATCATGTGTATCATTTAGCTATATATAGAGATCAAATCATCTAATGAAGGACACCAATCATGTGAATACACACTAATACCAATTTATAAGGAAAAATATGTTACTTAATGACTTTTTCTCGTAATCAAGTCATGCAAATTGGTACAATGACTGTTCGTTTTACCTGTTTAGGCATAAAACATGGAGAAATGCAGTTGTATCATACATATTGGAAAACCACCATTATTTAATGGATGTTATATCAATCTAAGTGATTTGAGGTGACATTTGTGTAAACATTAAAAGCTTAAAACAGAATAACAATTTTGAAATTAACTAAATTGTTCTGAAGTAAAAATTCACAATTAGAGATGTCCTGTCAAACAATCCAAAATCAGCCCAACATTAAGTTATACTGTTACGGGTCAATTGATTCACAAAACATTTTCAAATGGTGCTGTTGAAAGAAAAAATCTGGATTTACTTAATATGTAATGATATATCAGGAAATAGGGGAAATTATCTGGTAGGTAGTTACATGTAAACAAGTATGGTAAAAAATGCCTATTATTATAAATGTACATAGGTATCCTGTCTTAGAGGAATCTGGGTATTTATGTATAAAAAGGTGTGAAATTTGCTAAAGTCAATTTTTTGATCTTGATTCAATTCAAATATGATGTATGCTGAATTTTTCATTCTAATGCTATATTTAGCTAAAGACGGATATTTGATATACTTTATACAACGTTTCTAGTTACTAGGGTAACTGTATATAGGAATGTTAGTTTCAATATTTTCATCTTTTGATTTTAGATTGGAAGGACTGAGATGATAAAGGATACACTAGATCCAGACTTTGTGAAGAAATTTACAATGCAGTACTACTTTGAAGAATCTCAAAAATTAAAATTTGAAATGTAAGTTTACCAAAAATTATGAATTCTACGCAGAAGAAAGTTCCTGACAAGGAACATGGGACCATATACCCTACCAAAGACTGGAATGCAAATATTTTATAATAACCATGATGATATTCACCACATACAAGGCAACAAGTTTACCGTGTTATACTTCAGAGACAGTTTCTTGACTTTGAGTTACCTCCCCTGGAATCCAAATACCCATTCCCTGACAGATACACAAGTATATAATGTACCATGGCAAAAGTCATAACAAAGCCACATGCGCTACAGCACTGTATGACATAAATGTATATGATGCATTATTATTGTGTGGTACAAGTCAGGATTTTTTGTCATATATCATCATTCAACTTTCTCTGATTCAGTCATAGTTAACTTAGAAGATCACAAGAGGGTCATTTACATACAAAATCTTGTTGATTTTTTGTTAGTAGTATGAAGATATATGAGACCAAGTTAAATGAAGCCTGTATGTTTTGTGCTTATACCTGTAAATTTAGATAGCTTTTGTTTTCTAATTACAGATATGATGTGGATTCTAGTACATCAAGACTTGATGCCCATGTAAGTTGATTGCTGAAATGATATGTGTTCATCCATTATCCAATATTGTTTGAATAATATATTATTATTTCACAGAAAATGAAATTCTACTCAATAAAATGAAATAAGGTCAACATAATGCAACAGGATGGACTGTTGATACTGCTGTGGATAAACTGCACCTGTCAGAATATTTAATGGATAGGATGTATATTTGTGCTACAGTTAAAGAATACAAAAAGTTTTTCTTTCAAAATCGCTATTATTGAATGTTTTCTGGGCCTCTTGGTTTGAGAAACGAAAATGACAGTATACTAAAATTTTATTCCAGGATTTTTTGGGAAGATTTGAAGGAACTTTAGGAGAAATTGTAGGATCATCAGGAGGAAAAGTAGAAAGACCTTTAACGTATGTATAATAAATAAAGTTTATATTACTGAAAAATCACACAACAGAGATATTATGTATAATACTTACATATAAATATATCTTATTGACAAGAATTGTTCAAAAATTGTTTACATGTTGTACATTAAATAGCAACAGAAATAGGACGGTATCTTTTAGATTTTAAAGGATATTGAATCTACATATTAAACATTTGTTTCAAAAGTGTTTTTTTCCTGTTGTAGATTACAGAATTATCAGAAAGGGAAAATTATTGGTAAGTTAATCGTTAATACATAGAAGATATACATGTACTGGTTTGTGTGTGTGTGAATAATATACATGTACAAGGATACAGGTTCAGTTATCTTATTTTACTGTCAATGTTACTTTGGTCTCAGTAATTTCAATTTCATGATAAAGACAAATTCAAATTTGTTATTACAGTAGAACAGGTGATATATTTTTGTATTAATCTTTGTTCTAAATTATTGAAATTATTTTATGCCTTGAAAAGATGTCTATTATCTTCATGAAGATAATGATATTTAAGAGTATTTAATGTGTTACTGTTGCTGATTTTTCAGTTAGAGCTGAAGAAATGAGTAACTGTAAGGTAAGTGATAAACCTGTTGAAATACACTAGTTGATATATTTGTAATCTTATCCATGTTTTCTGCATCTCATCAGTACCTAAGTACTAGTATCAATACATCACAACTCTCTGTGAAAATGTGTTTTAATGGTAATGTACAGGTTTGTAACATAAACATTGAATGTCACAATGGTAATGAAATTCATTCTTGTGTAAAATCTCCAGAGCTACGTCCAAATGTTAGGCTGATAGAATCTTGGAACTCCTTAGGGGTGAAATAGGGCAATCACTATCTCAATATTTATTAGCTAATAAAAAAAATTATGGTCATATTTTCCAGGAAATAGTCACACTACAGTTTAAAGCCATCCATTTAGATAAAAAGGACTTTTTTGGTAAATCTGATCCATATCTGGTGTTTTACAGAGCAAACGAGGATAACAGGTAAGGTGATATAATTACTATGGTTTTATGTGATTTGTGGACCAGTATGGTTCTGTATGATGGTTGTGTGTCAGATTTTTTAGCTATATTTGTGCTGTATATAGCTTCAATGTGTTATAAACTTTTAACACCTGATCTTGTTGGTTGAGATAGTAGAACACAGATATTTTTTATGTAGAAAAAGAATGCAAATTAACCACACATTGCTGATTTGTCAGCTAGCTAACCATTTCACATCCGGTATCAGATAGAACTATTACTACACTGTTGAAGATAGGTGTGTTGAACTCTGTGCTTCCTAATAACCCTTGTACACAAAATGTACCTAAGTGTAATACCTAATTTACATGATTTTTAAAATATTTTTTTTAACTGTCACAGATTCATTCATGAAGTGTCCTGACAAATGTGTAATAGCCATTTTGATATCCGTTATTGTTGAGGCAAACTCTAAGTCGATGTATTTGTGTTCTATTTCAGCTATACCATTGTGCATAAAACAGAAGTAATAAAAAATACACTAAATCCAACATGGAGACCCTTCACAGTTCACACCAGAGCTTTATGTAACGGAGACTATGATAGGTTTGTATTATTTTAGGTTATTGTTAGATCAAATTTCATTGGTTAATGATAGTTATCACATCCATATTCAGTCTTCTCAAGCTTTGCTTTGTTATTTTGAATCAATTTACTTTAGTAACGTTCTGGTTTTTAAAGTTATTATTTTAATAATTGCTTGGAAAAAGGTGTTCACTATCTTTTCATGCAGCTGCATTCAACCAGAATTGAATTACAATTAAATCACAAAGTGAAAGGTGATATTTTGACTTCCAGATCCATCAAGGTGGAGTGTTATGATTGGGATAGTGATGGAAGGTATGTAGATTTTTAAACAAGTGATTAATTCATCTTTATAATATAACGAAAATACATATTATTCTAAATTCAACAGCCCACATGAGTTTGAACAAACAAACATAGGAAGTTTAGCTCTATGTATTTCTTGTCATGTAATTGATGATTCAGAATTCAGGATTACTATATGTACCTATATTTACACAAATCTTGTATAACAGTAACTGGTATTATACTATTACACTGGAAACATTTATTGTATATTTTTGTCATGGATCGGTGAAAATGAACAAGTCTTCAATTTTCAAAGAAATGAGTTAGCTAGTCTGGTTAATTAAGGTTTCCAGATTATACAAGATTCAGTTTAAACAGATGATATCAGGTAACAGAGTTGATGAAATCGGGTAAAATAGATGATAACATCAGGTAATACAAATGATGACATCAGGTGGCATAAATGATGACATTGAGTAATGTAAATAATGATATCAGGTAACATAGCCGATGACACCAGGTGACATAAATGGTAACAACAGGTATAAAAGATAATGACATCAGGTAACATAATTGATTGATGGCATCATGTAACATTATGTTATTGTAAGATATGAATGACATTTTTTTTTCAGCCATGATTTCATTGGAGAATTTGTGACCAACATGAGAGAACTAAGTCGAGGTCCTGGTTCTAACAACCAGTTCTCTGTAAGTATTTGAATTTCATATATTGAAGTATTTTATTTAACTATTTTGTAAATTGTGTACACTCAATCATTGATAGTCCTTTACTTCCAACCAATGAAGTCATGTTTTAGGGCAAGGATACTTTTGTAGAGAAAAATGTCCCTATGTCTTCTAAAACACTCTATAATCCAGTTAATGGGACAGTTGGATTGGTACCCAATATTAGGGGTCAAGGCTTAACTGAAGTCATGTGTCAAACATAGAATGACACCTAAGAGCCAGTAGGACCTACTTGTTTCTGTATTGCTTGAAATATGAAGAGAAGCGGTTATGATGGTGAATTTATATCTTAAAGAAGTTTTGCAAACTAATAAATTATGTGAAGAATGGATTCAATGATATATTTTGTGTGGGACTATTTTTAGTAATATGTGTAGCTGTACATTAATTGTAGCCTGCCCAGTGGCCAGTAAGTATGCATGCACTGCTGATAATATGGAAATTGTCTGGTATATATGCGAATTTGTATTTAGCATATGAAATGTTCTATATGTAATGCGAAATTGCTTCATTAGCTGCTAATAAACAGCATGCAGGATATGGTATCATGAGGAGACACTAGACCCCATAACTTGCAGACCTTGTGCCTGAAGATTCTGGTTAAATGTTCCTGATCTCTCCCTGATTCATGTCAATATTTCAGTATTTTCCAGTATCCTAGATCCTATTTTGAAGACCCTGACATTATACTTTGATCTCCCTTTTATCAATAGGCCCAAATGCTTACAATTATAGATATGTAGCATGGTACATTTTCTGTGGAACAAGGCTAGAGCTTCAGGTAACCCAGCATCTGACATCTGTATCAGAAGTCTGATCTTTATATATAGCATGTCTTATGCAGATACTGGTATGTGATATGACAGACATTGAAGTCTGTTGACTTTTGGTGAAGAGCCTCAATTAGTAGTGTAGATTGTAATACACTAACATGTAGTTGAATCATAGATATACCTGAAATCACAAATATGACTTAAAGAGCAAATTCTAGATTTTAAAATTTAGATACAATGTACGAGGACTAGAGTTCATTATATATAGAATGGCTATTTGTGAATAACATTGTCTGAATTTTAGATAATGCCAATGATTTTTTTCTTTTAAAATTTCAAATATGTAAGCAGGGACGATAAAAGAGCATTCAAACAAGAAATTTGATAAAAGATTGTCTATAGAATCATCTGTGGGAAGTGCCACTTTTTCTCAGACTAACTATAGATGTCTTATACCATTTTATTTGATAACATATTGGTAATACAAGTACACACTCAACTAAGCTGATTCTCAAGTGAAAGGACTGTATAGTTACACGAGATTAATCATGTTATACCTTTGTACATGTTTCACCTTGCTAGAAGAAAAACTATATCTTAGCAGCAGTTTAAATAATTATAGTGTTACGCTTCCTTGTCCAATATGATATTTAAATACCTTTATTTTCTACAGGTTATGAACCCTAAGAAAAAGGCCAAGAAGAAGAAATACACCAACTCAGGGGAGGTAATTATTGTGTTTTCAGTGTAGTCAAACCTTGTTAGTGTTTACACATACAGTATGTGGATATTTTTTGATGTGGAAGTTTTGTTCCATATCTAATGCAGTGGAACCTGGTATGTCTGGATAATATGTTATCTGTATATACATGTAGTAATTTACATCAAGCAATATTTTTCGTCCATTCTATTTACAGTAAAAAGTTAATAAATAAAGGAATTATATTTGTGATCTAATTTACTAAATCACTTGTTTTTTGAGATAGGTAGACATGGTAAATTCACAAAGTGATGGTTTATGATAACTAAGTTTCCTTTCACAATGAGACACTGTTTTACCTCATGCTTCATGACATAAACTCTTGACAGCAGCTAAAATTTACATATGACCATAAGTAAAACCTATAAGCACTATTATGTTTTGTATTTTTACACTATGAATCCTGTCGTTTGTATTCTTTTATACTATCTGGATAATCTGTAAAAAGTGTGCCTCATTACTTTAAAAGTTGATATGTTTATCACTATCAGCTGAAGATAATCATATGTAAGACATTGATTTACAGGGAATTTATTTAGATATACTAGTATATATGAGAGTTATTGCCCTTTGTGTACCTAGAGCATGGTAATTTTTCGCAGACAGTGTTTGTACTTCAGTTTCTGTACAATTTCTTAGACTCAGAGATAGATTAGTTAATGAGTATCTCTCTGGTAATATTAATTCATAAAGGTGATTTTGAAAAAGATGTCAAACTTTTTTTGTGATCATGAGTTGACATTTATTTTTCTGTAGGCTATACTCATGTCATATAAAATGGAGATACAGCATAGCTTTCTGGACTATATACAGAATGGGTAAGTAAGCAATATGGCACTGCCTGAACACTGTTTACAATTTTTGTCCTGTTAACTGTTTGATTGCTTTGTATTGAAGTCACATATTGCATGTGTTATGTATACAGTTAAGCAGGTAACTGTAAAGATCGAAGATATCAACGAGCATCTCTCCTTTTGGAAATTTTCATACAAGAAATCTTTCAAATAATCTTGCATTTCTGCCCAACCAAGTCACTACTTTCACCACAAATAGACATCCTTTGATACAACATCCTGTTGCTAGTTTAAAAGTTGAAGTACTAGTGGGTGTTACGTAATGTTCGTGGCTGTGACGACTGTATATCAGCTGCTATATATAAGAATTTTTCAACTGATGACTGTTCACTGGGAAATTGTTCAGAGAAACAGTGAAAAGCATCTAGGTAAGCTAGAGATAGATATTTATATAGATTACCTGCTTTGTTGTATCAGGACACACATTTAAATGTTACCTCACTGATTTTGATGCTATGGCAAGCTCACTTAGCACCTTAATGTGTTGTATATTCAAGATAAAGTTATCAACACTGTAGATAAAAAGACTTAGGAATATTGATCAAAGTTAAAAGACTTAGGAATATTGATCAAAGTTAAAAGACTTAGGAATATTGATCAAAGTTTGCTTCAGAATCATTATAACAGGAAGTCATGCCAGCCATTTTATACGGACAATTCTTTAAAACATTTTTCCCAGTTGCTTTAGTCTGCTTTAAACACTGATTTATTGCTTACACACTAACACACACCTTCTAGATTTTCTGCTGAGAGCTGAAGTCTCTCTTTGTCAGTTGACATCAATATTAATGATGAAATGGATAGAAGACTTTTTCATTTCAAATATAGGATTCTTGTTCAATTGGTATAAGCAAACAAAATAGTCAATAAATAATCAAATAGAATCATTTAATAATGATTGTTTTTCTGTGTGCAATCCTTTGTTTTGAAAATGTTTATTGGTCAAACAAGATGCAAAAAATATAACCTTTTGAAGGAGTAATATAAACCTGTATTTAAAGCAAAGCGTCTTAAATTACGTCAAACATAAATAGCAAAATCATATCATAATCAATATCAGGCAATGAAAATATTCAATAAGTACAGTGTAATCATTAATGTTCATGGGTATTTTTTATTTACATTGGATTTGTTGTTAAACTTGGTCCACAAATCTATATATCCACGACATGCTAAACATATTAACATTGATTATAATACTTGCGGTTTTTGTGATTCATCATTAAGTTCCAACAAAAATATATGATATTACAGTAGTCTAGACCTATAGTTGTATCAGTATTTTATAGAAATATATTGTAAACCTGCATTAACAAGGCACCATTTACCAATATTTAAATCACATCAAAATCACACGCCTTGTAACCTCATGTGTCGATCTTGATTAAAATAACGTTTAGTGTTCAGTATCATTGCATTCAGTTTACTAGTTTCGTAATCGACCTTTGTTTTCATATCTTTTTCTTATTTTCTTCATATTTTTGTGGACCCTGGGTTTTCAATTACTTCTGATCAATGGACAAAAAGTGGGTATGTATCCCTTCCACTTTTGATTTTCATCAACTAACTATTATTGTACACTTAGCTAATCGTAAAAGGGCCATCATCATATCAGCACTATTGATATAGCACCAGACTTATTCTGACTTCAGGTGATGATCGAGGTATGCTTCAATCCCTTCTTAGGGGGAGGGGTTCCATTTTCTCAGAAAGTTGACATCACTGACTGTCTTGTGATGTCGTGACTATGTCCTTTGCAAGACATTTTACCCTGATTGCTTTAGAAGTATTTAAACTGAAGAATTCACTACACAGAATTTATGATTGTGGCAATATATATCAAATTTTATGTGAAATAATCAAATGGTATAAATTTCATGGTGTGATTGCGTCAGTTTTTATGTACATTATATCTGGTATTTATTTCACATTTATAAAAAACATGATAGTTTGATTTGTATCCATTTTAATTTGATGTCATCTAATAGACGGCTTTCTCATAACTAGTTGAAATGGGAGACTTGATTCCTTCAATTTTGAGTGTAACGAATATTCCTGTGCTAGTCTTGGCCCCAATATGTGGTGTTCCTTTTTAGAATCAATAGTAACTTTTGAGTTAATGTCATTTCATGAAAACAGCTTTAAGAGGTGCTCTGAGAGAGTTTACAATTATTGATTATTGCCCTTTTATTTCTTGGATCTTAATTCTATAAAATAAATTTTCATCAGACAACCTCCTAGCTGCCTGTAGATAGCTCAAAGGCCCAGGATATTGTCATTTAGAGAAATAATTATGTGACAAGGAGAACAGTTAGAAGCAAACTTTGATTCTTTTTCCTGTCTGTTGATTTTATCAATATCATTCAGTTTCAATAAGGGTATTATTAATGAGTGCCTTTAAACACTGATACAAACACTTACTGCCAGTTAACATTTTAATAAGCATCTGAATTACATATTTTTGAGTTTTTGATCTTGTTTGCTTTTTTCAAAGCTCCTTCCTTTGATTGTAATTAAATGATCATCTTTCTCTTTATAAACTGGTATGATTTTAGCCGAGTCATAAAGAAATTGAATCTTCACAAATCACTATTAGACTATATGCAGTTGGGCTAAGCTTTATTTCTGATGTATGACTAGACATTTGATAGACACAATGAATGGGATAAGGTATATGTTCCAGCTAGCCTTGACTCAAGAGTGATATCTACATTGTATGATCTTTCACTGAACCTATTTCAGTGATAAACAGGTTATAAATGAGACTTAGATAGAAGATTTTATACTTACCAGCACTGAGATGAGCTTCACCGTAGCTGTGGACTTCACTGCTTCCAATGGAAACCCTTCCTCCCCAACCTCTCTTCACTATCTTAATCCATATGGAGCACCGAACCAGTACGCAGCGGCTATACAGGCAGTAGGGGAGATAATCCAGGACTATGACAGGTACGAATGGTTTCTCTTCTGACTTGACGGGTGAAAGTGGTACCATCTGAGTTAAGTGATTATCACAATTCCAAGAGTTGGAGAAAAGAGAAGATATGTACATCAATATCAGATTTTTAATATTGTGATGAAGCAATTTTTTGTTAAGGCTGGCTAAATGTCCTTGGCATTGTTTCCAAAACTGATAATTCTATGGCCAATTATTTGTCTAGACACAAATCTCTTGGCATATATTTGTCCAAGCCAAAACACCGACCAAACTGTTGTTCAAATCTGTTAAGTCAACTCATTTGACCATCATTAAGACGGCAAATACAGAGCCTGCAACACTTATAATGAATGAAGAGAAACTGAATATATGAATAAGAAAGTAAAACATTATTTATATGATGACTACTGTATGAGTAGATAGTTATTCTGTTCGACTGTAGTCCTGTTATTAATCTGTATATGTACTGATTACAGATATAAATATAGAATATGGATTACTGATAAAGAAAATACAGTATATGTACACATGATTTCCTTGCATCTGTGGTGTAGAATAAGGAGATGTAACAAAATGGATGGCTTTTGCTCGTTTTAGTGACAAGCTGTTCCCTGCCTTAGGTTTCGGGGCCAGGATGAGTGATGGAAGTGTACATCATGAATTTGCACTGGTAAGTTGTTTTTAAATGTGATTGCACCAGATTCTAGTATATCTGTGGTAATTGGAAAGTTAATTGATTTATTGTGAATTATAGGACATTCAAGGCTAATCCTTTGTTAGTCCACCAGTTACAAGTAACCATGAGCTTGTTCTGTTCCCTTGTTGTCATTGTTGGCATCCTACCTGGAGACTTTAAAGATTTTAAGTCTTTTGTTCAAAGACCAGAACAGTTCTATGGTAAATTGCCTGGTGTCCTGTTCCTCCTTTTATCTGTCTGTCCACTAATCCATTTGTCACTCCATCTGTCCAAGATAGTAGTGACAGATGGAGTGACATAGATTATCAGACACTATCTCGTTAACACTTCTCCTTAATGAATAATGATACAGGCAATAGAAATATTTGCTAATGAGTTTGACATTGTCCTTGTAGTGCTGAACAAAAATTATGCAAAAGACACACAAGTGAATAGGACCAATGCTACATTCAAGATACCCACCATCATAAAAACTGTGTTTCACTACGTATACTCCTCCAGAACCAAAAGTAATAATGAGGCAGGGCTTCCATTTACGTCTTGTGCATGACCAACAAATGATTCCATCTGAAATCAGGGATCTTGTAAATGGAAGTTCTTCCTCATTATTACTTTTGGTTTTGAAGATGTCCAACATTACCTCCATCTTGAAAATAAACTTTGCCTGATTATATAGTTAAATTTATCATTTTTATAACACATTGATTCAAAATTTAAAAAATGGGAAATTCATGTTGGTCATTTCTACATTTAACATTATGTAAACAAGGAGAGTATTTATCAAAAAAAATTTAAGGAAAGAAGTGAGCAAAAATATACTTCATGTATTTCAGAATTTCAACCCAAGCAATCCATTCTGTCAAGGTGTGCAAGGTATTTTACAAGCTTACTACAACTCCCTAAAGAATGTACAACTTTATGGGCCAACAAACTTTGCCCCTGTTATCAACCATGTGGCCAGGTAGGTTCTAGTATCTCCCCCAGACTTGTAGTATTACTGGTTACTGATTATTGCAAATAACTTGCTCAAATGTAATTTGTGACACATGTAGGTTCTTTTATCCTATTTGTGAAATACATTTGATTTGCTGTGTGATAATACATCTGCTTTACCATGTGATTTCCTTATTATTCAGTAAGTACACCTGTGTAATGTTTTCATATATTATATATGTGTAATTTAGGGTGCAATGAGAGGGCAAACACTGTCGAAGCCCGAAGAAGCAGTACATTTCTTGTGTTACATTACATCCTGTGACATCAGGTTTAGAAAATGAAATGTTGTTACACACTCACAGATCATACTCTGACATTACAATGAGACCATACATATACAGTCTTAAAGACTTACAGTTGATATTAAATTGTTTTCTACAATATTTTCCTGAATAAGTGATCTTAGATAAATAGGATTTTAAAGTTATTGGCATTTCCTGAAATTAAGATTTCTTGAAATTGTTTCATTTATTATATATCATCTGGAAATTCCTGTAAGATCTTATATTCATGATGTACTTGTAGGTTTGCAGCTGCAGTGCAGGATGGCTCTAATTATTTTGTGCTGCTCATCATCACGGATGGTGTCATCACCGACATGCCACAAACCATGCAGGCTATAGTCAATGTAAGTACCAGGGTACCAGATTGTGCCTCAGAACATGAAAAATAGTAGCATATCCATGAAGACTGAACGTTCAAAAAAAAGATATGAAATTTGTAGAATTATCGCATCACAATCATTATGTTGATCTCACTATCACAACATATGTATGACTTTGACAACTTGCCTTTTGGGTATTTCCTGAAGTACAATATTTGAGATATACATGTTACAGCTGAATTATCAGTAGTTGTAGGTAAATAGATATTTAGATTTATTACAAAAACATATTTCTGTAAAAGTCATTGAATGGTACCGATATTCTTGACAGTTCTCCCTAACATGGTTTTGATGATTGTAGGCTTCTGGGCTACCAATGTCAATCATCATAGTTGGAGTAGGAGAGGCAGATTTTGAAGGTAACTTTATTTTTATGTCTTGTGAAAGAGTATTTAAAAATTGTATTGGATGTGAAAAACATCTATTGGCCATTTGGTTTTTTATAGCATTTTCTTCTCTGGTTTGTTCTACTTTCATTCACAAAATGGATCCCTAATTAAGAGATGAATTTTGACTTGATGAATGAAATTAGATCATTTTGAGTTACACTACATTTAAGAGAACATGTGTTGATAAAAAGTTGAAACAGAAACCTGTTATTTTCTGAAAATTTTTATTCACAGGATTCATGTCTTATAATTTTTTTCAGCCATGGATACACTAGATGGGGATGAAGTGAGGTTGTCTTACAATGGCAAGCAAGCAGTCAGGGATATTGTACAGGTAAGGTGTTTCCATAACAACAAGTGGCTAAAATATTGTGCAGGTAGAGTGTTTTTATTGGGGAAAGTTATCAAAATTAATAAAATTAATCCATAGCAACAAGTGATCTGGACATGTAAGGGTTTCCATGGTAACAAGTGGTCAAAGTATAGATGTTTCCAAACAAGATGTTGTATAGTTGAGATGTTTCCAATGGCAACAATATGATGTTTCAGAAACATTGTATAGGTAAGATGTTTCCATGGTAACAAGTGGTCAGAATATTGTATAGTTTAGATGTTTCCATGGTAACAAGTGGTCAGAAACATTGTATAGTTGAGATGTTTCCATGGTAACAAGTGGTCAGAAACATTGTATAGGTAAGATGTTTCTATGGTAACAAGTGGTCAGAATCACTGTATAGGTAAGATGATTCCATGGTAACAAGTGGTCAGAAACATTTCAAAACTTCAAGATAGCTGAAATAACTTAGTTGGTTAGAGAGTTGCTTAAATGACCACCAGTGAAGATCAGAAGTGTGTGTGTTAAACCCTCCCTACCTGTGATGGTTTGTGTCTCTCAGGAGACTGAGAAACTGTCCTGTCTGTGCTATCATGGTTGTGTTCTTTGGCAACACACTTTGTAATAGACCTCCTATATGTTGTTTAGTGAGGTAGCGACCAGCTATTGACCATTCACAGGACAACAAACCAAACAAACAAACAAACAAACAAACTGTAAGATGTTTTCATGCCAACAAGTGGTCAGGGACATTATGTAGGTAAGGTATGCCTCTTATTGTTGGGAGACATTGTACAGGCGAGATATTTCCATGGAAACAAGTGGTCAGTATATTTCTACAGCTTAGAAATGCTTAGAAACATTGTTTGTATAAGGTGATTGTTTGTGTAAGGTGATTTTATGGCAACATGTGACCAGAAACAGTGTACAGCTATAAGATGTTTTCATATGTATAAAAGTACATTTCCTACTAGGAGATACAATAAGTGATCTGATGTTTCTTTTTGGCAAGTTTTGACAGAGACTTTCATGGCCGACATGACTTTTGTTTGTTGTAACAAACAAGCTTACTTCTTAAAATTAAAAAAATCACTTTTTACATATCCGTTGAAGTTTGATGATATATTTCTGAGCTGATTAATTTATTTTGACATGCTTCATCAGGCACTATTCAGCATAATGTCAGTGTCAAATAAACGAAGGTTGAATAAGCCTAACAAACCGTTAATATTTTGATAGTCTGAATTTTCAAAAAAATCATTTAGGATAAATAGAATGCATGGCCATTGTTTTAAAATAAAAGCTGTATTTTGTATCTGGATAGAAAGACAAAAGTAGCCTGGCAAAGGTTCACCATTTGTGTCTTACTTCACCTTCATCAAAATACATCTTCTATATTGATACACTTACCGTTTATCCTCTATATAAATACAGTCATTACATTTTATGTTTTATTTCAGTTTGTGCCATTCCGTGATTTCCTCCGGGGTGCCAACAGTAGCAATATGCAGATGTGCCAGGCAGCTCTAGCAAAGGAGGTTCTGGCAGAGATACCAGACCAGTTCCTGTCCTATATGAAGGCCCACAATTTTAAACCTAGACCACCAGCCAATGCTCCCGGACCAGCTTATTGATAAAGATTCTGTTGTGACTTTCCAAATAGCACGTTTTATGGATGTAACGACTACTGACTAGTACTGTTGAGAGGTATAAGTACTGTTATGTTACCTTGAAGATCTTCTGGGATCTGAAATACTACCTATATGTCATGTGACTGTTCTTCTTTAATGAAAGTCACCAGTAATCATATCAATGGTCTGATATAAAGGTATACACAAAAATGACACCAGAAGAGCTGGGGTACTAGTCTGTATTTGGTCTGTGTTGCCATTTATTGTTAAGGGTGTTCAATTATAACTATGGCAATCTTAGTATCGGTGATAGAAAATTAAAATAAAATCAACGCTAGGTGCGGTGTTCGATGTTTAAGCAATATATTTCAAACATGAGTTTACCACATATAAGATATTAACTAGTTTCATTAGGGTAGTAGATTACATAAACACAACATCTGAATGCATGTATTCCATTCTCAGTCCTCAGGCATAAGAAAGAATATTGTTTGCTTCCTGTAATCCTTCTGATCAAAAATAAGTGTGCTTTTTCAAAAATTGTTATTAAAATTTATCAAGATAGCACTATTAAAATCAGGATCAACCTGCCATATAACCTTTGTGTATTTCAGAAAAAGATTAATTCTTGCAACACACCCTGGATCTTTCAAACCTATAATCGGAAACAAACATTATTTTTGTTTGGCCTTATTTAACATGTACTGTTTGTATTCCAGAAATGAAGGCGAGTGGTTTTTATAGTAAAACAGTATCTTTGAGTATCCTTGTATTTATAAGAAGATTATCACACAACTGTAAAACAATTCAAAATGTCTACAAAAAGTCTGTTATCAATTCACAAAACAAGGGAGGTAAAAGCACTGGTGTTTCCAGTTAGATATCAAATTTCTCGAAATAAATTCTACATCCTTGTAACATGTTCTGAATCAGTGCTCATTAGCATATACCCATCTTGTCCAAATTCTGGATAATTGAGTCAACAGTTGACAATCCTTGAAAAGAAATTTTCATTCCTACAGGGAAACCTAACGTGAGTTTCTGTCTGTTTCGATTTCAACATTCATTGAGTACACTCTAAGTTTGACAGATCATACATACATGTACAAGCTGAAATAATATTGGTGTATGTCTCATTTTTTGTCATCTCTGCCAATTAAGTATATAAAAAATAATAAAGTTTATTTAGTTTATTTGCCATGAAGTAAGGGAATTTATCTATTTTTTGTGTTGAGAGCGTACCAGTCATCTGTATTTCATCCTTAAGCTAGAACAGCAGTAGGAAATTATGAAAGGAATGAAAGCCTGTATGAAACCTCTTCTAAACGTGTTTAGAAATGACTGGGTAGCTATATAACATGAGATTATTATGAAAATGGCTGATTATCATTGTCATCAACATGAATATCAGACATTGTAGATGATTCTGTGATGTGTGTGTAATACTTTGGCATGGCACCTGCTACAGACTTGTGTCTAATTGTATGTTTTTTTTATTTGTGTTTTAATACAGAAGTCCTTCATGTTGCTGTATGATATAGAACATTTCTAGAAGTAGTTTTTAAACTATAAACATCAGATCTTGAGATCAAGATTTTTTTATTGTGATTGTTATATTAAATGTATGTTTATGAAATATATGTGTATACTGTTTTAATTTTAATAGGGTAATGTATAGAAATTAGTTAATAAATGACAATTAAAATTTATTTCATCAAATGACATTGCAAATGAGTCCCTGACTTTTTAACAAATGAGAAATGATACATAACACACAAAAGAATTAGTTAGAAAAAAGAACAATACAAATTTTCAGGCAAAGTATGTTTTCTTGCCATTTGGTGAAAAAAGGGTACTTTCAATATGGTCTGTTGCACTACACAAAGTTTTGAAGTCTCACTGCTCCAATACAATATGTAGATACAAATTTGTATTTAAATATACAGCGTATCATTATTGATCATTGTGTTGAAGATTGGGGTCATGCTGCAATTGTCTTTTTCCATGTCCATGTGGACACAATTCTTTACTGATATATATATATCAGAATTGAGTTTGTCAATAAAGTCATACAAAGGGTTACTATCAGGCTTGGATGTTAAACTTCCTACAGAATCGTTATCACAAAATTTTTATTTCTGTCAGAGAAACTTGACTGATTCTAGATATTGGATCCTCAAGTCCTTGTCACAATTTTAATACCAATACCCAAGATCAGAACAGTATTCAAATAATATTCAGATTTTTAAGCTCAAAAAAGTGTAAACAAAATAGTTGAACATGAATTTTGAAGTGAAGAATTTTCTCCAAATTCAAAAAATTGTTTTGAACAGCATGGTACAAAAATTTGAATAAAGTTATGACAATTTATTTAAAAGGTCATTTTAATTTTGAATAGTCCTATACCTAGTCCAAGCTTTTTACTTATCTATTGAGTCAAATATGGTATGTTACATTGTGCATTTTTATGAAGTGTGAATTGGAATTATATTCTTTAAGCATGGTTAGTGGTTCTTAATGATGTAATAATCCTTAAAATATGTTTCTTATTTACTCAATATCTATTCTTCTTATATCTATTTCATATATATGTGAACATAGAACATGCATTATGATGAAAGGCGATGAACTTGTTAACATAATCAACTTTCATAAAAGTGTTGACTTATAATCCAATATATTAGATAATAGGTATGTATCTATGCCTTACAGTGACTGAAATTGATTGGCATTTATATACCATTAGATAAATATCCACATAGTCGTGTTTATCACACAGAATGTATTAGTTTCAACTTTTTATTTTTTCAAAAAAATATATGTGTGTACAGTATTATTTGTGTTACCACTCGTAACTCAGAGAAAATTATCACATCCGAATTCCTACTATCAACTACTTTCAATAAAGATGTATTAAAGTTAAAAAGCTCAAATAGATATAAGTATTTTTCATCATATTGCATGTCATGCAGCTAGCTTTACAATTATGATATCCTTTTCATAATGCTTGTAATATGGATGGCAACAGGACACCTGTTAATTGGCTGTCTTACTTAACTAATCATGCTGTCAGTGAAGTTTTCCTAGGAAATGACCAATAAAATGTTAGTAGCAGGTTTGCATTGTTTTTATCACTGGTTAAAACAAATAAATTTCATGTATGGTGTACAAAACTTGCATTTGAGTTAACTGGAGAGTTTTAATTTTTTTTTTTTTTAATGGGGAAAGGAGGGATTTTGAAAAAGTTTCTCTTTTAGGAAAAAATGTATTGGTATGTGAAAAGTACATGTTAGTTAACTGAGGATTAATGTCAGAAATTTTTTCCCTATTAGTCGCAAAATAATCATTAATGGTGATTTTATCAGACATTTAGTCTTGATAACATTCCAGTTTTGTTAGAGGGACTGTATCTTATAATTTTACACTACATCCTGCTGTCTTTTCACCCTGAACATTTAAAATGTTCAAAGGCTGTGATTATTGTTGTGTTAAAGGGACATGTAATTGTTATTCCTGTGTGAGGATAAACCTATTACAGTAGCATTTTAGTTGTGTAGTTAATATTTATCCCATATGAAAGCATGTCTTGATAAACATGATATGAGTATGATACCCACATATTGATGTACAGGCCCCAGACATATAAATGTATCATTTTATCTTCTCCATATTCATAATTTTACATACCAGCTTTGTCTGGAGGGATTGGGATCTTTTAATGTTTTACCAGCAAACATAGCATACACAATGAATTTGAATTTCATGCACAGTCTACAAGATAAATATGTAGACACCAAACGAAAAAACATATTGTACACTGTATTTGTGGGAGAGACCTACTGGCTGTCTCACTTTCTGAAACAATATATGTCTTTATCCCTTTATCCCCAGAAGGGAGGTAACTGCTGATAATCTATTGTTAGAAACATATCAAATGATAGTAATTAGTCACCAATAGATAAATAACTCTGCTGTTTGTCTTATCTGAGGATCAATACACCTAAAAATATTGTCAGGAGAGAAACAATTGAGTTGTCTCCCCTGGTGAAAGATGTATTTGTTAATAATTTTACCCCAAGAGAGATTGCTTGTAATTTTCCCAGGAGAAACCCACTAGAGAGAAAGGATTCGTCTCAGTCTTTCTAGGACATCTAGACACTTTTTAGTCTCCCTTTAAGAGATGTATCTGGTAGTTCATTAAACATTTACCTTTCACAACATTTTAATAATCAAGAAGGCACATCTGATGTAAAAGTGCTATACTTGGGCTTCCTTGTAGGGTTATTTTGTCTACCTACAGAAATTATCAACTTTAGGGTTTTTTTCAGAGAAGCATTTTAAAGGGATTATTTTCACAAAAGAGTTTTTATAGTGTCCTTTTTATTTTTATTGAAGCATGGTCAAAATGTAATTTATAAATGACTATATAATCATATCAGTACATGTATGTGTTTAATGCTTTTGATATTTGTACTGTTTAAGGGTACATGGGCCTGTAACAATATTTCTGGGGAATGAGGGTTTGTATGGTAAACAGTAACTAGTAAAGGTTGTACTAGTTATAGTATACCATACACGTCTTCATTGACACCCAAAAACGTTGTTATGAGCCCCCGTGTTTAAAGTAACGTGATTCATTTAACACTTCTTTCTTAACAGCTCTTCACCTGTTATCGTCTACTCCTACAGATGATATTATATATGTGAATGTCTGGTGTAAATTGTTTGATGGTAAACTCTAGTCCATTGATATGTGTATAGTGGATTACTGGATCTGATTATCAAAAGCTAGTTACCAGCTGTTGTAAACCTTATTGATAATCTGTTGTGTGTGTCGCGCTAGATATAATGTCAAATCCCTTTATAATGCCAAATCCCTTTATAATGTCAAAGCTTACTAAGTAATATTATGACAAGGGTTTTTATTGTCCAGTATAACAACACTGAGGCACCATTCTGTTCCTTCTGTGTTCTCCAGTGATGTCCCCCAGTTTCAATAATGACCACCTCTTTGTGACTTTCTCTTGTTACACATATGTAATACAGGTATAGATGTTATATATTATGTAATTAATAACCTATTTCATTTCACATTGCTATATATTGTCAAAATAAATCCTGTGCAATTGGTTCCTTGGTGTAGACCTACAGTTTAGGAAAAAAATGAATGATTGTTTCAACCAACCAAAATCAAACAAAACATATCATTGGAAAATATCTGATTTCAATGGTATTTTATATAACCTGATATGTGGTCTTTAAAATTGTGTGGGATGTTAACTAGTTAGTCTTTATCAATGGAAAGACAAACAACATGGCAGTGAATGTTAATAAGATGTGTTTGTTCAGCTATCAACTATGAGTTTTATACTTATTATGGCGGAATCACATATCATCAAAAATAAATGTTTTTTTTAATCTGGAGGTCATTTCCTTATCAAACAAGCAGCAATAATCAGTCAATTTTATATGCACCTCAGTTCAACAAACGACCAATATTTCTTATTCCCTCGTGTCTGTTACTTCATGTTCTTTACTTTTACAATAGATATCAATTCTTTTACTATGTAACTTTCGATATGTGTTTTTATGTTTTATCAATAAACATTATGACAAAATTGACATGGGAGTTGTGTCTATTTTAGACAACTTTCATCAGATATGTTGTGTGTAAAATGAGTCTCTGTTGGGATGGTATAGAATGGAGTGGGTCTGAAAGTAATTACATGTAGTACCTGTGCAAACATGGTCTTGTACAAAGATACTACAATACTATAATATTAGAGAACAAATTGACTAACACGTCACTATCGTGTGTTTTCTGTTGTTATCAGGTGCGTGTCTATGGCAGAACAACAGGATGTTTATTAGAAACCGCCCTTACCTATATAAGGTCAAATAACAGTGACCTTGAACTTCTTCGTAACTCGTGAGATATTCCACCACAGTGTCAGCCATTAGAACGATGGATATAATATTTCAAGAATTTCCATTTGGCCATTTTTGTCACCAAATCGTGAACCAGAAGTTCAGGTTTTCAAACATTCGCAATTTTTTAAGTTGAATTTTTTCCCATAAATTTGCTTCAGCATCGGAAAACATCTTTTGCTAAAAAGTAAACATTTCCGAACGTTTAAAATATGGAACATGCTTTAACATAAAAATGTACCTAAATATAACAGAGAACTTAATTTGTATAGATGATATACGCGAGTGTGTTACCAATATATTGACTGCCATTGTAGTGTACGTCAATTCAAAAATTGTTGACCAAAGTATATAAGCAAACTGTGATCTCGTTTTTGTTTTAGCGAAAAAGACTTAAAAATGCGGAGAATACAGTGAAGTATGAGCCACAAGACATACGTACCGCTTGTGAAATATCTTTATTAAAATTAAAAGATTTATGAAATTTAAAAAATTTATATTACACTGCCAATTTTAGTTTTCAGAGAGCTATTTCGCTCGAAGTGAGCTTTCTAAAACAATCGTGCTGAATGGCTATACATTTTGAATAAATTAATTGTAACAGTCAACTAGTTGTTTAGTTTCAAAATGATGATTGTCATTCCAATGATTTTATTAACATATTGTTGCATTTAATGTATTAATGCTTTGAACCAGCGATGTTAGAATGATATATTTAGCAGCATTACATACAATTTGTACCTTCGTATTTTCTGTGAAGAACTAAGATTATCGCCTCTGGTATTCCTGAATCGTTTCGAATTGAAAGACAGAATATTGCTGACAATGTCACAAGCTGTAATTGCTTTTTGATTTGGTAGAGTCACTTAATTTTATAGACAATATATACTGAGAGGAAAAAGAAACGCAATTAGGAATTTCCAGGTCAACTACGGGAAATAGAAAAGGGTTTTAGAATGTATTTATGGTGTAACTGGAAGAAAGTTGACCACTCTGTCATCTACGAGAATTTCATTCGTGTACGTTAAGTAAACCTTTCAAATTTGACGTTGATTCAAGAGTACCCCACTCAAAATGAAGTGCGTTTTGGACCCATCAATATCGTGTGTGCCTTCCGCAAGCTGCAGTAACTGCATAAACTCTTTTTTGCATTGAATTGATCGGGGTATTAAACCTCCTCATTTGTATAAGATTTCATTCCTCATCCAGCGCCAACGCCAACTGACCGACGTTGATTGGAGGATTCGGCCTACGTCTTATCCTTCTGTCCAACTCGTCCCATAAATGTTCTATTGGGGAGAGGTCAAGACTGTATGGGGGCCAGTCTAGGTGGGGGCATTGTTTGCTGCGAGATGACCACGGCAAACCCTCGCTACATGCGGCCGGGCGTTGTCCTGCTTAAACGTCAGTTGACGCTGCTGTAATAAAGGAACAACATGCGGCGCTAGGACTTGATCTCTATAGCGGACGGCCGTGAGGTTTCCCTGAATAACGACCAGAGGAGTCTTGATACCATGCGCAATCCCTCCCCATACCATGACCGATCCTCCTCCAAAGCGGTCATTCACTATCACGCAAGCATCTGCATAGCGCATAAGAAGTGCAACAGCACGACCCCTGTCAACTTCGGACAGTCGTTGCATGTTGCGGTGAACTGTTTATGCTTAAAATGTGGAAAACCAAGACGGATATGTCTGAAGATTCGCACACACAAATTTTGAACCAGTCCTTTATTCTGGGTTCGAGATATCGTGCTTTTGTCTCTTATTCTTTTGTATAAGCGGCGTGCGCAGTTTAGTTATGCATCAGTGATTTTAATACGGTACTATAGGGACCTAACTCAAATGCACACATTTGTCAAGTTTCAAGATGTACATCAAGGATTTAATTAATTTTCTGCTTATTGCGTTTCTTTTTCCTCTCAGTATAGTTAGTAGTTAATACTAGCCTTTAAAAGTGTCTGTATTCCACATTAATTTAGTTTAAGACAAGAAATTGATACAAGACTTTGTGGAACATGATGAGTAGGATGAAATGAATGAAGTGGATCTGAAGGAATCATGGGCTTACTTTGTTGCACAAAATTATGTAGTGTATGGAAAAATGGAATCCAGTAAACAAAAGAAGTTTTGGGAAACCTCGAAACCCAAGGATGAAAAGTATAAGTACAGAGGTAAAAGGAATGAAAACACACTCGAAAATTACAAAAGAGCAAGGAACCACGACACCAATGTACCGTGACGGTCTGCTGAGCAGTACGAACAAAAGATTATCGACGAGTTTAAGACAGACCCTGAAAGCTTCCGGAAATATATGTAAACTAGGACAAAAACAGACATTTCTTCATGGCAGGCAGAAGATGGTAGAATAGCAACAGATGGTAGTGACAAAGCAGACGTTCTCAACAAGTGGTTGTGCAAAATATTCACTATTAAGAATCTTCAAGATATTGTTACATAACCAATTAAGAATACAAATATGAAATGTTTATTATGCCCTCATTAGACCATATTTGGATTTACTGTATGGAACCACTATTTAAGAGAGACATCAGAGCAATTGAAAACATGCACAGAAGAGTCACGAAGCCTGTTACATGTATTGAATGTATTCAAATCAAGGATAAACAACTATCGGAAAGGACTCGAAATCAATTTTTATCCAGATTGTTATGAGTAAGGAGTTAACTACTAGGACAATAGAAATCAAGGAAGTATACCTTTATAAAAAAGAACATTGACTTCCATGCAGAGTTTCATATAAAATACATGAAAGCGATTTTTAAAAAATGGACATACTAGTTCAGATATCGTCATGCGTAACAAACGATGACGTCCAGAATGAAGGTGGTTTAGAAGCTTATAAATCATACAGACTGAAGATAAGATAAATCAGGTGGATCAGGTGATTTGATTCTTCATTGTGATTACTCTGTGCTACCATTGTAGGCTGCTCTCCTCAGGACAGTCTTCATAGTTTTATTGTACAGATCAGAGTAGAGGTCCAACAAATAATTCCACAGCTCTAAAAGAAATCCCAGAAAGGAGTTGACACTCACCATTATTTGATCTGTATTTGTTCCTTAAAATAGGATTTTTTTCTCTATTTTCTCTTTCTAGATTTTACATTCGATTATATGAAACTGAACAATTCTTCTTTAAGAAATGGTGATGATAATGCGAAAGTGTTAAATCCAAGATGGTCACCTGCAGACATTTTGCTTATCTGACCAGTCCCAAAACCAAAAGGGCACTACTAGGAACTGAAGAAAACATTCAAAAGAGATTGAAGGAAGATCTATGCTGTAAACCTCACGAAATAGTGATAACAATCGCTTATTGTCAAAATTCAAGATGGTTGCCTGCCAGCCATTAATTTTTTATCAATCTTAAAATCAACAGGGCGTAAATAGTGACCAAGAGAAACCTACTGGAACATAATGATATTGGAGAAAGATCCATCCAGTGATACTGAAGAACAAGCAATAACAAAGAATTGTTCATGGACAGATGACCAGCAGATTGACCACAGACATGTCAGAGCTATTTAAATACCTCACTATCTAATGTCACATGATGGTAAACTATAATGTAAGTATTCTGTGTGTATATATCTGTTTATGATATCTACACCACCGGAATTCAGACTTAAATCAGTTCTAGAAAAAAATCAAATTTAATCAAGTTGTCTATTGTCTAATAAGCGTTTCAGTACCCTGTAAATAAAATACATAAACTTGTTGAATTATCACGCCTACTCATAGCTCTACTTGAAGTCTGATAAAGAACAACGCTTAGTCAATTGGCATGTTAATTTTCTTAACCAGCTTTTACAAGTAGGTGTCAATGTCAGTATTCAAGTGTGTATTATCACACACCACATACACATCATAACTATTATATATTGTGTGTTACAATCAGTATAAAGAGATCACATTAAAATGATAATTAAGAAAGCTTGATAAGAGTAATGACCTTGAACCATATATACAAGGACATGGGTCTTATATGTATCAGATCAGAAAAACAAATTCAAAAGCTATCATTTTTTTCAATATATGATTTTTTGGTGAAGGTGGCATGGTGGCTAACAATTTTTTTAAGTGCCAAGATTTAGGAAGTGCTTGGGAGGGAGTGACATTACGACCGACTCATATCCAGCAGATATCTTAGACAGTCTCAAGCTTTTAGTAGATGCTATTGAAGCGTCAGGTGTGAGGGCAGTGCTAATTCAGGAAATTGTGGGGTAAATTCAGGGATGACTTGTCCATGCAACATTTCAAACACCAGCAGTCGTCAGTGAACAAGAAATTATTCAAGGTGTTCAAGGACAGGGTAGTAAAGACGAGCATTCTATATCCAGCGATGTATGCGACAGACCTTGTCCACTTCAATGATAAGGAGTAGCAAAATATTATCATAACATTTGTAGAGTGTTATTTATTTACAAACTGACATAAAACAAAACAAAAACAAAAACAAAACCAAAACAAAACAAAACCCCACCCTAATAAAAAGGGTCTCTTTGAAAGCAGGGTCCACGATCCGCAGACCTTGACAATGCAGTAATAGATTCCTGATAATGTTACTCAATTAGCAGTCTTATCAAGACCTTGTCATCATAGCAGATGGCTTTCTACATTATATCAGTAAATAATAGAACTCAAAGGAAATCATCCCCGACTTATTTTACATACTGCTGAAAACATACTAGTACTAAAGTGTTCAATATAAAACTATGATATCTTAATTATGGTCATTTAAAAACAAAATATTTACACTAAAGTCAATTTAATGTTCAAATTCTACATATAAACCGGCCGATTCTCCCCAGCCTGTAAATCGTCTTTCGATCTTGCGCGACCTAAACAGATATGGATGTGTTTTGTAATATGTCTTTAATTTCCCTTAAAAACTGTTCATAATGTTTAATATATTAAGGTATTAATGCAAAAGAAATTCGCTAAAATGATTAAAACGGCGTTATTCTACCCGATTTTGCCCGATCTTGTAAATCGTCGCCCGATTCTCTTCGATCCTGTCCGATCCTGCCCGATCTTATTTATCGTCTAGCTTCAATTTCCTGTTGGGGATTTTCTTCTTCTAAATTTAGTCAAGGGGGTACCAAAAACAGATTTCGTCAATCAAAATGCCAGCCAAGCTTCATCATTATTGAAGCATGGCACAAAGGTGAGTCAGTATATTGTATTAATATTAACTTTGTGCCAATGAATGGGTATGTGTAAAACTCTGCAGAGTGATATAACCAGAGACGCGATGTATGATTTAAACAACACGGACATAAAAATAACTACGTGACAATATGTAGTTATACTTCTAAAACAGTTGGAATCATCAATATAAACGATTATTCGTGATGTTTATTAGTGCACAATGACAAGGTTTCACGTCGAAAGCCGATTACTGTTAAAAAACAGTTACAGTACACGTTTGGTGAAAATCGCCAGTATCACATAGGTTATCGTTTCATAGTAATCTGTCCGTTATACTGAAAAAAGACACATTATAGTTATCTGCACAGTCATGCTGACCACATCCCTAGCTGTGTACCAACTATACACTGAATATATATCAGAACCCGCGGTATAGCCTTATAAGCGTAGCACGCACATGTATTAAACGTGTGCACACGTGTAGCTATACCACAATACACTCTCGGAGAATGCGACGCTGTTAAGGTACACGTTTACCGTATTTTGGGTACTTTAAGTCGTTTTAAAATGTTGCTTTTGTCAATCACAGAATGTTTATAATTGCTGACATACTTCTGCATTGGTTCAATTATTCGCATACAAAATTATATTCGCCTTGTATTACATTGGGAATAGTGTAAGTTGTGTAAACAAAATGAGGTTGTCTCCCCTTATACCGTATTCCCATTGTTGTCTGCCTGAAGACCATCGTTGTACATCGTTGAAAATTACACTTAAGACTGTCGATGTTGATACATTTCCCTTGTATTAGTATATTGTTCTTCGTTTTCCCTTATATTATTTTTTCTCACTTTTTTATGCTTAATTATAGACATAGAAATAATTATTGAATTGCTTTAAAAGCTATATTTTCCTTTGTATTTATACACTCATTAATGAAATGTACAGACAATTAAATGCAAGGACACGCTATGCTAACACAAGTTGTCATTTCATAGGAGATTACATTGGTGAGTCTCAAGAGTTTTTCATTTGAGTCAGCTGAAACTCTACATTAAGTTCAATTAAATTAACAATTCAGAATGGAAACTGATCTTAATCACATGAAGATTTCTTTTGCAAATATTACTGAAAACTTGCTTTGCTGTATTATTTTAAAGTAAGTTTTGCTTGGTTTACATTGTGATATCATAGCGCATTCGACGAGGTTAGTGGGTCATTTCGTCCTGCCATGACGTCACAATCGTCAAACTACACAAGTTCAAGTATGCAAAAGATATTACATTGACATGCGCTGAGTAGCATTTTCGTCATCAGAAAAGCCTACAATGCACTTCAGCTTTATAGACCAGATTACCTGCCTTAGTGCAATCTTTCTTCGCTAGACTGCGCTGGTGAAAAGTTTAGCGGAGAATACAGAAAAAAAAACTATTGCAGACACTCTAGTCTACTTAATTCTGTTGCAAATATTACAGTAGAAGGCGTGTTTTACTCCTGAACAAAAGTTTTCATTAAAGCGTTTTTACTTGTGCTATATTTTGAAGTCATTGGCATTGGTAAAACGCAAATGTTTCTGTTTATATTCTATTACAGAAAGGTGACACGTGAACGTGGCTGTTGACATTAGAAAAAAAAGAAAACCAAATGCGTCATGATATAATATCTGTATATTACTGAAGGTAAAGCACGGAAATACAGAATTCATTGTTTATGTTACTTTTTGCGAGAAAATTTGCGTTGATATTGCCTATGAAATGTTTAAAAAAAACTTCATTGTTAAAATATCAACTCTCAGATTTACTTTGTTCATACGATAATAATACATTTCAGGTCCATACCAACGAAGACCATGATGAACCCAACAGACCGATGTGAGATACAACAGTTTTCTGTGCTTTTGTCAAGATACGTTGACCAGAAAATTGGGTCAGAAGAGGTCGTTAACTTCAGGAAGAAAACCATACTTTTATCTGAAAAAGTTCATAATACTAGCTCTGATGATGTAAGTGTGTTTCGCACAGGAAATACCTTTGAGACAAGTGCAAGTTTATTAAATACTAATGTCATGTTGATAGACAATCTTGTTACTGTCTTGTTACCAGGGCAACACGTTCCTATGGATAGTATGCATAAAACCATAATTTATATGACGGAGACAGATTGTCCACCTGGGTATAGGGTGTTACAGCTCGGCCACCTTGGCAGGAGACAAAGCAGTTGGTTGATTAATTCACTTGTTCCTGTTGGAGACACGACGTTTGTAAACAACGATATCTCTTTAAGGATGGACGTTTACGGAATGAATTCTGCATCCGAAAATATACCAAGAAGTGGTCATATGGCTAAGTCATTTGATATGATTCTTTGTCTGAAATGCAACAATTGGCCAAAGGAGGCACATGGATTTGCAATCCGCACACGCATGTATAGCTGGCCTAATCAAATACTGGTAGACAAAATTATACACGAAGGCTGTGAGCTTGTTCCACTTGGAGACAAATTTTCCAGTAATTCAGTTTTACAGTGGAAGGTCACATTTGCAGGCGCTGAGAGACGTCTGCTTTACTCTCTCAATAACACTCAACGGAAAGTTTACATTCTGTTGAAACATCTCTTGCAAGAAATTGAACGGGAATTGACTGATGCTGGAGTAGAAGATGAAATACTAAGCTTGTCTGTGGTGAAAACTGCAGCGTTTTTTGCGATTGAGAACTCTCACCTGAACTTCTGGCAGGAACATAATTTATTCTTTTGTTTTTGGTTTTGCTACACGCTATTGCTATCATGGCTCAAGTCGGGTCATTGTCCAGACTTCTTCATTCAATCCAAAAATGTGTTCGGGAGACCCGTTCATGAACGTAATCAGCAGAACTTGTTGGGAATTTTGAATGATTTTCACCAGAAAAAATGGATGTGTCTGTCTTTTGTGAAATTTTTTGGTCCGTCAATCTTAGAACAGCTTTCCAGTGACAGTGTCCGGGACGAACTGGTACGTGCTCAAACAGCAGCTAGTATTGAGTGGCAGCGAGATTTAGGCCTAATGGAATGCTTGAAAACAGATATATCTTTAGGTGGGTCATCAGAGACAAAGAAGCAGTTATCCAAGGCCGTGAAATTTCTTCTCAAGTCGCAGACTGAAAGTGATGAAATCATTTCCTACCACAAAATTAGTGTTACACTTTCAAAATTGGCAATCGAAACATATCAAAGTCGTCCCGATGCTACTGGCAACAAATCCAGATACAAGCGTTTGAAAAAATGCAAACATTTGCTTTTACCAAGAGCTGCTATTGGAACAAATCTCTTATACATGGCAACCTTTCACTACCATTTGGGAACCTACAGAACATCACTTGATATTTGCAGGCTTGTTTTGTCAAATTCCTACTTCCATACGTCTTTACAAAGTCCTAGACAATCTTCAAGATACATGGATGCATTCTGTTCAAAAGGTTATACTTTGTACCATAAACTTAAGTCATCCTACACAGCAGCACTCGAATTAGAGGAACATTTTTCTCTTCCTCACCTTCATCTAGAGATTTCAAAATGTCGTGATGGGATGCCCATACCACCGCGCCCGTATGCGGCGTTCCTGGCCTTTATGTGCTGTCATGAACTCGGGGATACACAGGGACGTGATGAAGCGCTACGTGAAATGGTTGTGGTCAAGTATGACGAGGAACATGGTGGACACAAGCACTGGATAGTGCATACGTTTCTTGGAATATGTTATCAAACTCTAGGAGACAATCGAAGGGCTATCAGATCTTATACAGACTCCTGTAATTCACCTGCCCCATTTCAGGAGTTAAATCCTGTCATGGAGAGGTTAGAAGCCATAAAACGTTCTGAGACTGGATAATGAAGTGAAAACGTTTAGGTAGTCAAATATCCAACGATGTCTTAAAAATATCACCAACGGACTAAATCTGAAAAAAAAACTCTTGACTGTTCTGCACTTTCGCGTCTGTGGAAAAAGATATTAGTAAGACAAACTCAAACGACATAGCAGAGTCCTCTGACTCAAACAACAGAGCTGAGTCTTTGACTCCAAAGACACAGCAGAGTCTTTTGACTCAAAAGTCACTGCAGAGTCTCGTAGGATTCCGACGATGTGGTAGTCTATGATACAAATCATTTGTTATAGGTATGTAAACACAAACTCTTGTTATGAAATTTTTGTTCTCGGTATTACATTGTAGTATTGAGAGTTGACTCCCCTGGGCTATCTCGGGAGGAGAAATGATACAGGCAGGGTGGTCATCTTAATGTTATCAACAAACGGTATGACATTGAGTATAAAAGGTTCATGGCCGACGGTCTATGAAGTTGTTTTCGTTTTTTGAGATGGTTATCAAATAAATATAATTCTTATACCCAATAATTAAGCAATACACACACATTTACTCTATTAATTTACGCAAGCCATTTTTAGTGTAACTGTTCTGTCTTTGAAATACAATTAGATGTAATGGCCATTTCATTTACACTAAAATCACAAAACGTTAATACGAATTGAACCTATTAGATAGCGACTTGGAGTTCTCACGAGGTTCAGTGATGCATTGTCCAGAAACAGGCCATTTCTTTAAAATATAACTAACAAAGAGCCTCACAATGGGGATCAATACTCACATCACAAAGGTTTTTGGAGTACACGCTGAAAGAGAAAGAATGCATGTAGGTCATATGGATTATATGTTCTGTAGTATATGCCTTGTTATGATTTTTGTTTTTTTTCCTTTTGTTTTACAAATATTCCCTCGGTCCTAAATCTTACATGATATAGTCACAACGTTAAGACAATGACATGATTTTTAGACGTACCGGCTTCGGAAAGTATGCAAAATTTTACCGTTCTAATAGAGAGCGTTTTATCACTGTCGTGTATGTGGTCCGGAGGGAACATTTCAAGATGGCGTCGTGTAGACAGCCGAGCAGCTACGTATTGGAGATACGTTTTTCCGAAATGTTTCACACGATGTAAGCAAAGTTTTCGACATCAGCATGTAAGCTGGCGAATGTATTTAAATGGAAAAGTGACTTGTATTTTTTATGCTTTGAGATCCGACAACGAAGTGATGACTTTTCCCCACAATTCCAGTGTGTCTTTTATACATATGACGATTACAATAAAATGAAAGGCTGCATATTAGCCTTGTATGTTGAATGATGTATTTTTAATCGATTTTATGCCAAGATTTATATGACTATTTGTGCTAAGATGAAATGGTGTGTCAGTATGATATCTGTAACATAGGGACAAGAAAACTAGTAAGAGATGCATTTTTTTGTTTTGCTTTTCAATCCTTCTGACTTCAAATTCTCGCTTACTCTCATCATCTACGCATTAATATCCCATAAATTTTGAAGCTCGTGCGTACCTTTCATATGGATTAAGGTCTGCATCATTTCTGTCATAATGTCTCCACGGCCTAAAATTGCACAATGAATCATAGGATTATAAGGAATTAAATCAGAATATTGATGTGTGTTTTGTCGCCAACATTTTTTCCGTACCATGTGCACGGCAGTGTTTATAGCAGTGTGAATTTTGTTTAAACAATCCAACAAAACCTAACAAACTGCCTATATCATCAGCCTGGCACAACTGAGCCGCTTGAACTTTTATCGCAGATCGTACTGGGATCTTCCGACTGTTCGATAGTCCAAGTACTTTCAAAATATCCATGTACATGTGGGAATAGAGCATAATAGAAGTCTTAAATATTTCCAAGAGAATTAACAATCGTACATAAATAGTCGTTGCCAAAACTTATTGAAACAGATCACTTTCATTTAAAATGACTTGGTACAGATGCAGACATAAAGGACAGTGTATTTGAATTTTATCGTGTAATCCGCCTGTTATCCGCCTGATTTCTCAAATTTGATACTTTCCATAATGTGTGGAGGTTTTTTGTCCTCCACATTTTTTCTTTAATGTCAAAATGGAACATTTCTAAGTTATGTGATTATTAGTATTTCACAACTGTTTTTCATATTAGAATTTATGAAAGTCGTACCGAAATGGTTTTTCTTCTGCCAAGGCTAACAAAAATCGAGCTTTCTTACATTCGTTTCATAAAATCATATACTGAACCCCAAAAGAACAAAAATCCAGCCTTCTTACATTTGCTTCATAAAATCATATACTGAACCCCAAAATAAACGTAAGTCCGACTTAAGATGATTTTTGTAAGAAATAGAAAATAAAAAAAACAGGAGCTGAATTTTCTCTGATTTATTCAATAGTTTGTTAAAATGGCAATTAAACAAAATATGGCTAGATTTCAGTTCATAAAATTTACAATCTCGATTATCTATTTAATGAAATTACCCCCATGAAAGGAAAATCACAAATCAGTCAATAATGCGTGTGTCCGCCTCGGGCATTGATACAGGCTGTGCAACGTCGTTTCATGGAATTGCTGAGAGTCTGGGGGAATGACTGAGGCAAATTGTTCTATTCCAGGAGGAGTTTCTGTTCCAGCTGTGCCAACATCAACGGAGCTCCACCAGGAGCGATTCTTCTCCCAGTCTTATCCCACACGTTCTATCGGTGCCATATCCAGTGAAAGTGACAGCTAAGGGAGGACATGCACATTATTCGGTGCAAAGAAACCCATAGGTACTCGACCATTGTGGGGAGACGTTGTCCTGCTGGTAAAACTGTAGTTACGGCTGTGAAGCAAAAAATAGAACAACGTAAAGCCTGAGAACATCATCCCTGTACATCACTCTTGTTACACGTTGACGGAAGACTTGAAGAGGTATCCGATGGTGGTTACTGAAGGCTTCCTATACCAACACGCTGTCGCCACGCCACCTGTTATCCTGCAGGACACAGCAATCGGTGTAACGTTCGGTACGTCGACGCCACACACGCAGTCGGCCATAAGCGTGGGCAAGATGGAATCGAGACTCGTCTGACAAGAGAACCCGTCGCCAGTCAACAAGTCGCCATCGTTGATGATGCCTTGCCCATTGAAGACGTTGCTGTGGATGGCGCTGAATGAAAATAGACTCTCTATCCTACATATTTATCATGTAGAAACTGAACGCGATTGAACGTATGAACTGAGAAAATGAACATGGAAAATAATCATCAAATTATTGGAAATGCTTTATACTAGTTCAGCTCTTACATATAAATAATTGAAATGATTTATACGTTTGTTCCAATATCTCAAGCTCTAAAATATTCGTCTCTGTAAAAATCCATGCGAAGCTGAATGAAAAAAATCAAGGACCCCCGTCATCCCCCCCCCCCCCCCCCCCCCCCCCCCCCCCAAAAAAAAAAAAAAACAATAGAAATGGAGAAAGAAAGGATATTGATGTATACGAATGAAACTTAAAGATTTCAGGAACCAACGAAAGTGTTGTTGTAGGATAATAAATGCACATTTAGGAGTTCTATTATACCAAAGAAAAGACGAAGACACACTGGATTATATGATGAAAGATTTTGATTCATTTCACAACCTTTGAGCCTGCTGGGCTATCGGAGTGAGGACGTAGCGACCGAACGAACAGTAGACACGGCTTCAGTGGGAGTATTCGTATTGATTTAGGAAACGACCTATCGAACTAAGGTTATGTAACCACCATCTAATTGGAATATATCTATTGAACAAGTCCAGGTTTCTACATTAGACCCATGTTCATTCATTTCTGGACTACGAAGGAACATAAGTTTTCTGTTGGCGCAGATTTTTCCTTTGAACATTCTTTTTTATTAATTTATTTCAGACAAGTTTTTTTTCGTGGTCTGCCCGTCTAAAGCAATTCTTGTAATGGTAAATTAGCTGAAAGGACTGGAAGGATTTTGTTCTTTTACATAATAACTCCGATGTTCATAATTTCTGAATTTGGCATTTTTGGACTGAACGGAAAACAATATCATTAGATGTGGTAACGTAGATTTTGAAAGTGATCTTTTTCTCGTATCATTTACGAGTTTATATTGATTTTGTTGTGGCTGACGGTCTTGTCATTTGGATAATGCTCTCCCTAGATTTCTCGAATTTTTTACCTGTTTGTTTCAAATAATCTAGTTGTGCATGTTTATTTTGAGACTGATCATAAAAACAAAATGGCTGTACGGAGATCATATGACCTTTTCTGACCATTTCCGTCCTGTCTGAGATGTCACGTTGTTCCTGCTTACTGACGTGAAAATTGGTTGTACTGTCTGCCATTATCATACGTTCCTGCTGACAAGTCTCTCATGGGTTTCAACCATTTTCAGCTAAAACTCGTACAACGAAACATAAGAGGCCAAGTCAGTCTAGGAATGACACTGTGTTGGTTCATCCTGGCCTGGAATTTCCCAGGTAGTCATGCTATGTCTATCCTATTTAGTCATCCGTCTCCCTGCTCTTCAACCTTACTCATGCTCTTCTTTCGGACAGGGTGTCATCGCACCATCTCCCTAAACATTTCATTGAATTGTTGACCAAGGATTGTTTTGTGATGTTGGTAACTTAATAGTGTTCAAAAATTTATTACACTTTATTTTGTTTGGTCCTTACCAAAACACGTATAGATTCATTAAGCTATCTGTCTAACGATATTAAATCGTGTATACAGTGATAACGTCGTTTTCCTTCACAAATATTTGTCCAGTGTTTGTTATATGACTGATATACTCATTATACACATTTCGCTTCAGTTAGGTTTGTGGCATATTTACCTCATATTGATCTCAACGGACAATGAAATTGTACATTTTCTCACTTAACTACTTGGATTTCTGTTATATCATGTTATGCCGTTCATTTTGTCTTGCTCGTCGTATTTGATTTGGTTAATTAACGTACGAGCGAATTAAAGAAAAGTGATGTTTTTTTTAATGTGCCAAGGTAATTAAACAAGGAGTCCAAAAAGGACTATCGATTACATGGTTTGTTTTAGCCCAAATTGTTTTATTTAAGTTGAAGTTTAAAATCTTTACTTCCTGTTTATGTAAGTTCATCTCCACCAATTATAGTTTGACCAAATGTGTCCATAAAACAATCATCCTAACGAAAGAACGGTATTGTTCCAATATTTCGTCAATAGAGAACCGTCTGTCTAACCCAAGGTGTAAGACCTACTATTTAACACAAATGCTCTAAACCGAACTCGTAGTCTTGTCATTCCTATAGAAGAAGGGTTGTGAAGACTTTGCTTAATTTTCCCCCTGGCCACTGCCCCTCAGGCCCCTATAGACACAGATCCATTAGTTCTGACTAAATAAACATATCACTTTCCTCCCAAAAGAAGGTTTTTAAAGCTCTTCCCTATTGAGCACTATCCCTCTACCCATGTGCCCCTATTGTGTACCGAAGGGGTCAGACCCACTGTTGATACAAAGAGTTCCTTTCACAGAACAAAATTCCGAACAAAATTGGAACAAAAACATACAGGAGCAGATTTAAAAAAAATGCTTAATTTCCTCTATTCGATCTCGCCATTCAGGTTTGGATTCAAATTTTATATAAATTAAAGGTTAACGGACGGACGAACAGACGCCGGATGATGTGGTATGTCGTAAGCTTACATAGCCCTTTAGGCCAGGTAGGATAGAAAATTGGAGTCCGTGCGTTGCATGCGACAGCGTAACTGATGTAATCAAAGTTGATTTATTTTCAAGCTGAAATATTGATTTATTGCTGAGTCGACCTATGGATTTCATTGTTGTGTGTTCCTTATTTAGAATAAAACAAGAGACTGAGGTTTTACTGGCCAACACTTCTTGTGCTACCTAAATTCAAAGTCGATGAAACTGGGCAGAGTATGGACAAAAGAAAGGTTTACAAGGATACGGTTGAAAAAAAGATAATTAAATAAGGTCATCCGGAAGGTAATTTATCCTCATCGACGACACCAGTTACGACGTCGAACATCAATTGTATCCAACTTTATATAGCACAAGGGAACACTAATTTCACAATAAGTCATGGCGGCGTCCACAAAACTTCCCTCGGGCTTTGTCAACATGCTTCTTCTGAAACCATAACTTTATCGGTCATATATAGACATCTGTAATGGCAGCAGTGATGGACACGAATAAACTGCGATTTTTAAAGGTCAATGATAATAACCTTGTGATGAAAAATTCGCGATAGGAAAGTCCAAATCATTATTCTCTTATCTTACGTTTTACATCAGAAGAATCTAAATAATTCCCTGGTCTTACGTTTAACATCAGAAAAATCTAAATGATTCTCTTGTCTTACGTTTAACATCAGAAAAATCTAAATCATTCTTCTATCTTACAATTTGAAATAGGAAAATCGGAATAAACTCGATTTAGTTATTTTATAGCTTGGTGGAAATCTATCATTGTCAGCACTGTGATACGGAAATATCGAGCTAAGTGGTTGATGTAAAAGGGTCTGTTGTGTCCTTGATTTCCAGTATAGGAAAGTATATATAACCAACAAAGTCCATACGTGGCCGAATAGAATTAAGACCGGTTGTTTTATCTACCAAAAATATCCGTTCTCTTATTATTGTTTTTTTTTTATTACACGTTTCCAATTGTTGTATAAATCATGATAAATATAACTGTGTTATGCCGGCATTGTTGACGGCTTTTGTATGTATCTTGCTTATTTACTGGATGTCGGATTAGGAAAAAACACCATTTTTACTCGTCCATTGGCACAAATTTGTAATTTGATCCCTCGAGAAAAGTAACAACAGGTGAACAAATACAACTAGAACAAAATATCAATAAAAGAACGATTTACACGGATATTCCTGAAGAAATACAAGGAAAATATGACTAGTGTTTCGGAAGAGTAAGCGTTTTCAGCTTCATCGACGGCACTCGCCATGTAAACTCGGTCAAACCTCGTTATTGGGTGGTCGGGTGGCGCAGTGGTAACACACTCGCCCTTCACCTAGCCGTCCGGGTTTCGATTCACGGAACGGACGTGAAAATGTAAGGGATCATTTGGTCGACCACGTGGGTTTTTCCGGGTACTCCTCGCGTGCTTACATCCGGGCCAACAAGAGTGATACGTATAAGTTGAAATAACTTGTTTCGCTATTGCTATAAAAGTTTATCCATGTAAGTAATGTCTCGTTCTGAAATGAGAACAGGGTATATAACAACGGAACCAACAGGCAAGCTGACGATCATTAAACACGTTTAGCTGCATATCGCAAAAAGAAATGATTTAATATTTCGCAATGAGATCACTATGACGACCGTAAAACTTCCCTGTATTTTTTATCAACATGCTTTTTTGCAACTATGAGTTTGCCAGTTGTCAGTTAACGACAACTTACACAAAAATCAAGATCATTGGGGGCATACCCTTTATTATCGAATGAACTGCGATTTTTTAACACCATAGTTTAGGGATGCAGGATGTTGCTATCCAGAAATGAAAAATTCACAATAGGGAAATTGAAATCAACACGCTTTACATACAGATTGCTGGTTTCGTTGTAGGAAAAGGTAAAGATACGTGTTGAAGAAGAGTCTGTCGTATCCTTGATTTCCAATTTAATAGGGTATATACGATAGCCGTGGTCAATAAATCTCTTGTCATTTAAAGACAAGAAGTCATCATTATGACTAAAATGAAATTGAAGGACTGTGCAAAGTCTTAGATACTTTTTTGCTAAAGCTCTTCTATAAATTCTGCCGCGTAGTCGGTCAAATGATGGGCACAAATAGTTCCTATAATTAGGCCAATAGTATGTTGGAAGATCATACCAAACTCAACGGAGATGTTGTCAACGAGAAACTCGAGCATATTATGATTTCGTCCTTCTTAAATGACTTCTTTGATTTGGATTAATGCACCACTGTATCATATATGGAACGATATATTAACAACATTTAATAGAAAAAGTCTAGAACGAGGTACGTATGCTTTTTTTTTTTAATTAAAAATCTTAAAATGTATAAAACTTCAATGAAGTTTGATTCCATACCTGTCAGGCCCTGTCACACGACCAGAGCCGACGTATGATAAATCTGACGCATACGCATACTGTGTATGCTACGTACGAGTATATAACAGGCGACAGATGGTAACACACGTGGTATTCGTTACCCATTGGTTAGAAATAAATTTGGGTGTGTTAGACATTATCGCAACTTGCGCAACTTACAGGTAACGTGTATGGACATGTGTGAACGATTCTTTAACTTATCTACCACTAACGCCCGCGAATATGGAACGCATGAGACATAAACTGGCTTGCATCTAAAAAAGATCAACGATTAGAAGTACTAAGACGTACACCAGCGTGCTGTTTCTTTACTGAAAAACTTGAATTAAATTGAATTGAATAATACAAGTGCATTTCATCGCGGCTGAAATAGAGACAATAAAAGACAAGAGGATATAAGAACGTTCTACCAGTAAATACCTCCTTTCTCCTCGATTCTCGATGTGTGATGATCATTAACAACTGTAACATTAAGTACCATAAAATTTGCAATGACCAAGGGGATTACAGAGGTAACGTAGACCACAGCGTTAGCTTGTAAAGTAAGGACATAATTGCAGGTAAAATCGATACGAAAATAGACAAGAAAACCCAGAAGATACGAGAAGTGAAGATGTAACACCATGAAATCAACCCAAAGTGCCGGAAAAGAACATCTGCTCCCCGAGCAGTGTCTGTCAGGATATCAAACACATACCTTCTTTTACTTGAATTAAGAAAATGCTGTCGACCGTACATTTCGTAGTCAAAGCTCTTTAAGTAGATATCACTATTAGAACTTTTGAATTATCAACGAAATGAAAAAATAAAAGACAATGTTAATGAAATCACGGATATAAAACTTCAGGTGATATGCCAATAGCATTTCGTGCACAATAGAAGTATATACTTCTATTGTGTCAACCCAATAAAACAAAGTTAAGTACTCTTGCAGCGTTCGCTTGGTACATCTAATGCGTTTCCATACTCGACACAAATGGCGATAAGATTACTTATCTTGTTATGTTCAAAACTTCCTCAATTAAATACTCAGTGGTCTGATAGGTGACAACAATACACAGCGACAGAAGAAAGAATGCCAACGAAAGGTGAGAAATTAATGATATAAAAATAGAATAAATATAGACCAAAATTCTTGACCTATATAATCATATGATTACGTAATTTAGGACACTTACGTTGATATTACGATTTGTGTAAACTTGAAGAGGAGGGTATGAACCATGACGATTTATAGAGATTTCCATTGTGTAGAGTTACAGCCATTGAAGTACTGCTGCATATTTTCATATTTTATCGATTTATTGGCCTTTCTGAAGTTATCATTATATAAAAAACAAACGAATTTCGAATGTATCTGCATTTCTATATTGTAAAAATAACACAAAATTCCTATGTTCGAAATTTATTTTAAAAAGAAAAGTAATAGAGAATTAGAAAAAAAAATTTTTTTTATCATAGATTTTAAAAAATAGATGAAAGTTAACTTGTTTTACAAAAATTGATATACACGTTCTACGAACAAATATTTTTGCCAGAATATAAGCGTGTGCATTGTTTTGAGGATATGAATTTGTCCAATTCCGTTTCACATTTAGGCGCAAGTTTTACAAAATGGTGCTTAATTCAAGACATAGAGGTTGTGGTAAAATGTGATAACTCGTGTTTTTTCCCCATACGTGACAGCATTAAGTTGTTATAAATGTAAGAGATACGAACAGAGATGTAATGGATCTATAGATGACCTTGAGCCTTATTATCTCTCCATGTAGATTATGTCGAGTGTCATTCCTAGAACAACTTATGGGATCTGTAGTTATTCATGTAAACCAACAGATGGTAGTGATATCGGCATGACCTATACAAAATAAGTCTAAACGATGATCAATTTCTGCCAGTGTCACGATATCCTAATGAATGGATATTTCGTTGCATTAGAAGGTGTGTTTCAAAGCACTGTAACCTTTAAATTAACGGATGAGTCATAATTCAACGCAAAGGCCGTAGTGGGCATGGCCATATATGTTTCTTTCTTTAAAGTGTCTGATTCTTTATTTCTAGTAACACATTGATTTCGTTAAAAAGTTGCTTGGGTTTGGCTTCCAGTTTACCTGATCGACCACACCGTACAGTTGTTTAATTTGTCGGGGCTAATATTTTGCATTTGATTTGATCGGACAAGTTAGATGGAGTCAAGATGTATACAGGTATATAAAGATATATGCAAGGAGAAAAAATAAATATTTACAAGACTCGGCATTTTCAGGCCTTAAGATCTGAATGGCTGCTTTCGTTTGTCTAATCTGTCACTTATTGTTTAATCCCAACACCTAGATGAAGGTACATCTCCGAGGAATTGTGGAAGCTTCGAAACTCACCTTCGTGCCAATTCAAAATCATAATGATTATCTTTCATCTGTCATTGCAATTATGTAGCAACCCATGGGGATATTGACCTGTGAGTGTTAAATAGATTGTTACATTTCTTGTGTCGTCTAATAAACGGCATTCACACACATATACATCTTATGTGTTTCGAAGCCGCAGCCTTTGGGATTTAACATAAATCATATATTTTTGGGAGGATTAATACACAACCAATTTCAAGAAAATAAATTTTCTCGAATATTACCACTTAAACAGAACTTAGACGAAACGATTTCTTAGCAGAAGTTAATTGAAAACATTGTAAAGGTTAATGTAGACATTTATACCTACCTCTGGATATTAATGGAAGAGGTAAACTGACTTAGAAACAAGAATCGATCCTAATTAGTATGGATGCATTTTACAAAAGCTATTAAAACTAAATTCTTCTTAGCATTTGTATACTTTGAATTGTTTCCAAGGACAGAATATATCTTCATCATGATACACTTGGGAGTAAAGTCTCGGTTCAAATGCGCAATGTCTCGTTGCTATCTATCTACTGTTGGAGGGAATGGATAGCAATAATCTGTTTTATGTTTAGTATAAAACGATCGTCTTTGCTTGGATTCGATCGTTGTCAACTTAAAGGAGACGGAAATTGTCACTGGAAAATATACAATTGCACAGTTATTTTTTTACAGTTATTATAATACAGACAAATTAAATATGGGTCTACAATTTAATGTCACGTCCAATCCGAGGTGAAAAAATACTAGTTTTCACAGATTTGAATAGAGATTTGTAAATACCATGTTGCTTTATTGTTTGTATGTCTGAGGATGGAATGGGCGGGGGTAGGAATGGGGGTCGTATCTTTAAAAGCGCATATTTTAAGAAAATAAAGAAGCAAATCACCAAAGGTTCAGAAAGAATCATCGTACCTGTTGTTGCTGTGATATTAGAGAAAAGTTTTGGTATTTTACACATCGATAGTTTTATTGGTTACATGCTGGTATACATCAGTTTAGCAATCCGTAATAAGATTAAAAAATACAAACTCAGTGAAACAACTGTATACTGGCTTCGGTTTTCACGACAGTAATATTAATACAACTTTTTGAACTCACATTGAATCTCTAAGGTGCATTAAGACATTTGAAAGTAAAGACAACAATTCATTTCAACAGAGTAGTTAACCATAAACAATAAATTGGTTGTAACGAATACTCAAGAATTTATTGGAAATATTCGACATGATCATAAATGGAGCAAACATACCACGTAGTTAATCATTTCTATCTGGATAAGAGTAAAGGGATATTCTATCGTAAGCTGTACCAGATTAATCAATATTAAATACATTAATCGTAAGCTGTACGAGATTCTGTACCAGATATTACATATACGGTACACGCTGTACTATATTCTACCTTAGGTTGTATAGTCACCGTACGGTGTACCGTATACTACATCAGGTGGTATAGTCACCGTACGGTGTACCGTATTCTACATCAGGTGGTATAGTCACCGTACGGTGTACCGTATTCTACATTAGGTGGTATAGTCACCGTACGGTGTACCGTATTCTACATTAGGTGGTATAGTCACCGTACGGTGTACCGTATTCTACATTAGGTGGTATAGTCACCGTACGGTGTACCGTATACTACATTAGGTGGTAAAGTCACCGTACGGTGTACCGTATTCTACACAAAGTGGTATATTTATCGCACTCTGTAATTTTCCTGAATTAAGGTTTTGATGACTTGTTTTTTCCCAACGTATTTTCTGCTTCTGAATCACATTTGCTTAAAATCTCACATCAAACACAATGCAAAGAAAGAAACGAACTACAGTTAACTGGTTGAAACTGTACGGTACAACACTGATGATGCTACCGTTAGGACATGGTAAAGTGTACTTAGAACGTATTATAAGAAGACCCCGGAGTAAACAGCAATCGATCACGTGTATACAAGCTATTTTAGACTACAGACCATGTGTTAACCTCCAACTGACTGCAGCAGACACAAACTTAATGGACATTTCGTTTGCTTGACAAAAATCAATCACATCATTTTGGAGACTTTTCACAAAATACGACCACTTTGTCTCTTTCCACTCATTTAAATTACCGAATGTTGAGACTCAAGTACCCTATAAACAATGCCACATACAAAGGCAATTTTTGAAGTCGATACTCTGTTTATTGCCTTCATGAACGTCGTTTGTTCTTCAAAGATACCAACAAAACCATGTTGGCCTCCTTTTCCTTTGAGTTGTATATCTATCAATACGGCTGCAATCTTTTTCATGTACATATAGTTTTTCTTATAATAACGTTAAATGATATTATTCTCTTATCTAAAACTAAAAGTTATTTTCGAGCACTTGACATCAGACCAAGGTAATGAGAGCATACCAATTTTTCAAATTCGACCCCCACTCGACTACTTCCACGCCTAATTAAGATTGATATTAGGATTTTAGCTTTGAAATGCAGACATGGTCGTATGTCTTAAGGGGTTCACTGAGTTAACCTGTCCTATCCAAAATCTTTTCTTACAACAAACATTAGTTCTATTCTACTGTTATAACAATACGATCACTATCTAACAAGTGTCTGTAGAAGTCATCATTACCAGCTTTAAGATGATAAAGGATTATTTCTTTCGGTAGCAACACAGTCCTCTTAAAAGGGATTATTCTTTTCAGCAGACAATACTATCATTTTTATGCTTTGACGTTATAGTCATCCTCTAAAAAGGGAATTATTCTTTTCAACAGACAGTACTACTATTTTTCTGCTTTGACGCTACAGTCATTATCTAAAAAGGGAATATGCTTTTCGACAGGCATTACTGCTATGTTTCTGCTCTGTCGCTACAATCATCCTCTAAAAAGGAATTATTCTTTTCAACAGACATAACTAGTATTTTTTCTGGTATGATGCCACAGTCACCAATATGTTTACTAGGCTGCTGTGACTCGACTGTCACGAACATCACTTCCTACAAGGAAGGTTTTTTTTTTATAAAGATACCTCAAATCTGATATGGAAAATAACCTATTCTGCATTTTATCAAATATATATATACTTTTTTTATTTCCATTTCTTATTATTTATAAAACTCTCCATAAATGTTTTTATTTTAGGTCGTTAGAAGCTCTCTAAATGTAATCTACATCAACTCGTTTCCACACGCTCAAGTGGAAGACAAATGCATGCAAGATCCAATATGGACAAGAATACATAACCATTATGATAAGTGTCTTTCCTATTCGTGTACAAAACAACATATGTCTGACTTTTTTTATCAGATAATATTAACACTTCCCATGAAAATTTTATGGCTGTGTTGTCAAGAATACAAAAGGTCCTCCTTATCAGTAGACAATTTCGGGTGAACCCATAATTTCGATACATGAATTCACTACGAAGTCAACATCTTTCATTCTATTTCCAGACAAAACACCACAACTCTCATGGTTCATTTGTGGAAATAGTCATGAAAATAACGCTTCGCCACGAAGATAAAACAGCAAGTTAAACACAATTGTGGTGGTTTCAGTACCTCTTTGTCAGAATTATTTCTTTCATCGTATTGATGTACGACTTGTCTTAGTAATGATAACAGCGGAAGTAAAATTACCATAGACATTAGTTAATACTGAAATGTTTATATTCACAAAAGGACCGGACTTCAATTTTTATTATCTACCAAAGCACTTCAGCTGTGTCGTTGATACCGGGAAATGTGTACGTGGAAGTAAATTGTTTTTTTTTTTCGAACACGTCATTGAATGTAAAAATCAATTTGTCCGGTTTCAGTTTTCGTTAAACATTATCATACAGAAACACCATAGCCTCTATCAACGCTATACATGACTTACCAAACTTCTGGGCACCAAAATGTCTTTAGACCAAACGAGGTCAATTTCACCTCGTTGCTAAGGGTTTTACTCTAGATCTAAATTATAACATTTTTTTTAGTTTTTATTCTTTCACAAAATACAGCAATGTAACAAAATACAAGTATCTTAATTATGACATTGGCTGGTTAGGTTTATTTCAAATAGATAAAAAGATAGTCTGTGAAAATAAAAAAATGTAGAATCCTTCAACACATTTCAATGACGTACTTCCTTCGATGACTATTTCGATAAGCTTTTCATTACATGTTGAAGATGTAGGTTTAAATCGCATCATCTTTTTCTCCCAGGTTTGTTAGAGCGTCTGAGAGATGGCGAAAGCGTTGTGGTGGCAGAGGGATACATATTTGAATTTGAAAGAAGAGGATATCTGACAGCAGGAAGTTTTGTACCGGAAGTTGTACTCGAACATCCTGAGCTGGTGAAGAGTTTACACGAAGAATTTGTTCATGCCGGAAGCGACGTTGTGTTGGCGTTTACTGTAGGTGGCTTGAGGTTTTTGTGATTTCTTTCTTCCGAAAACTTTCTGAAAAAAACTTCTTTTCGTGACTCTCTTTTCAAACGATCGAATACTATTTCAAAGAATAAACCAAATCGCGGTTTAGGTGTAAAAGACATCTATCCAAACGTGACTCATTATTTCACGGATAAAAAAATGTACCGCGAAATAGCGAAAATATCATCCCCGCGAAAATAACCGGTTATACGATAGTTTCAGACATGATGCACACAAGGTAAAAGTATGAACAATAAGTTAAAAAGAGAACATTTACTTTCCTTTGAAAGCTAGGTTCTTTAAATTTTGTCAACTGATGTCGTTAATCTCCACAGTCAATTTCTACTTCTTCATACTACCTTACGCTAACATTCAACATATATATTACATTGAGTAACAAGAAAGTTTAAACACTATTCTCCTTACAGTATTACGCTCACAGAGAAAAGCTTCGTCTGATAGGACGGGAATTTGACCTTGAAAGAATGAACATGGAAGCTCTTAAAATTGCGCGCCAGGTCGCAGACAACACTGGTACATTGATGGCTGGAAACCTGTGTAATTCAACGATTTATCGGAAGGATGACGCAGCATCTATCGCACAGGTCAATGCCATCTTTAAGGTAGAGAATTTTATCTATTTATATTGAAATATTCGCAGACTTTAAAATATGAAACATAGATGTTTTATGACTGACTCATACTGCTGATGGAGTGGTTCACCATTATTAACCTTATGAGAAGAAAATATCAATATAATATATATTAAAAGATTAACGAGGAATATGACACGTGACTGTTCTCCATTTGAAGATGTCTTCGCTTTCAGAATGATTTAAAGATAAGTTATGATATCCTATTGAACCAATTGTTCGACAGCAATGAACCTATGGATTTTAAATTTTATTTTTGATCTAAAATTTAACAAGTATTTTATTGTACAGGTTAAAATTTGACAATAAACGATCGACGATATGAAATGCTGCAAGTGTAAAGAAGTAAAAATATTTCTCATATGATAAAAGGCGTTTGTATTTAATCTACACATTGTATAGACTCAAAAGAGGAAGATCTTCAAATGTTTCTTTATTCATATCATCTCGGTAGATATTAGTTTATAAATATTGTTTTTAAAACACTTTGATATTCTGAGTAAAAAGTATGCGCCATGCCATTCACACAAAACGTTGTTCCTGATGCGATAACTGTAAGAGTCCTTTCTCAGCCGCCGTTAGGAAAGAGAAAACTCCCTGACCGATTGTAGGAATGATTTATGAGCCTAAGAATAAACCTTGAATTGAAACGTTTCCAGAATTTCCTTTAGTTGACGAGAATACATTGTCGCGGTGAAGACTCTTAAATATCCAAGGATAAGTTGTTTTGAACATGATATCCATTGTCAAAATGGAGATTTGTCCTTGGTACTACAGACAGGGCGACGCTATTGTAAGTGGCCAATATTCGTTTTGAAATATAGAAAAAAAATAACCGTCTCGCAGCTTTTGATGAATGACATATATGGAGATGACCTAGCTTTAATTCCTTATTTTCAGGAACAAGTGGAGTGGGCTGTGAAGGGAGGGGCCGATTTCATCGTAGCTGAGACGTTTGGAGAGTATGGCGAGGCTGCTCTTGCCTTAGAAGCAATAAAGAAATTCGGAAACGGTACGAATTCACAAAGTAACAACTATATTGAATAATGCTGTATATGTATGCAAACTAAGTTAACATCTACCTTCAGATATGTAAAAACAATGTATAATATGTAGTTTAGACTTAGATAATATGACCTTGATAATTAAAAAAATCAGTGTATGGGGAGCAAGATCGATCGATATTTTGTATTAGAATGTTCCAAGCAAGCCCAAAGATAGTTGCTGATATTGGTACTGAGTGCTCCAAATGAATATTAATGACGACGATGCAAATTCTGTCCTGTATCTGGCACCAGCTCACCATTTAATCATATATGGACCTTGAATGAAAATCAATTCAAGTAATAAAACATTAATTTTGATAGTGGCGGCATTTTTTTAAATCTAACCTGATTTCAACTCTGTATAAAAATATGTAAATGAATAAGAAATGGAGTGGAGCATGGCTAATCATTACAAGAACAGAGAAACTGTCTACTAACCATTTTTATTACTTCATTTAGGGTTACCTGCTGTAATCACGCTACAGCCAACTGTCTGTATGGATACCCAAGACGGCATAAATATCGGAGAGGCGTGTCGTATGCTTGAGAAGGGCGGCGCCGACGTAGTGGGACTTAATTGTGGGCGTGGTCCTGTCACTATCATTGAGACGCTCAAGAGTGTACGGGATGCATGTAAGGTATGCGGTATCACTTCCTGCAATTGAGTTTATTATCTTAAGTCAACGAAACCAAAATTCGTTAACGACTTGTGTCATTGGGAATATTAGATACATGGTAACTTTGCCAGTTTTCATTTTAGTTTTGGTCAAAGACTTAAAAGGCAAGGCACTTTCCCGATACATCGCTTATAACTCATTGCCTCATCTAATAACGCAACATTTGCTGCAAATCTGACAAATCAATTTTTTCATAATCGGTGAGTCATGCATTGCTTTCCCTGATAGGGACCTATTGCTTGCCTTCCGGTACCGTACAGGACAACTGCTGCCAAACCAACCTTCTTCTCCTTGACCGTTCCGGAAACTGGTAAGTTACTTCCGGTCGCTCTGATCGATCTGTAATAAATGACATACCTCCTTCTTTTATCCAGTTATGATTGATATTATATGAAACACATTCTTCATTATAACCTACAAGCAATTTTCAAATCGTGTAAAAGTCTACTGTTGATGTACTTTTGAGCAAACTTCGAATTTATGGAGAGTGCCATGAATGAATCCCAAGGTGTGATAGCTTTGTGACTACATAGACAATGTTATGATATCATCAATAAATACTAGCCTAACAACATAACACAATCCACAATACGGTGACGTTTACAACCCAAGTGAAGAAGTATGGGCTTCATTTGTACGTTTTTACCCTTTTATTATCATCTTTTCAGGAACAGTGACTATAGAAATCACATAAGACCTATTCCCAGGGCCTTACTCGACAGAGTAATGTTCACGGATTTTATTCCCTTAGCTAAAAATGTCTAGAATTTTTGTCTTTTTATGGCGGATTGGCATTCAATATTCCTGCTAGGAATGACAAGTCAGTGAGTTCAAATGGATTCATTCACCAGACAGATGAAACGATGAAACATGTTCCTGACGTGTGATTAATTTTAATATCACTAGAAAATAACCGAAATGTGTCTTAACAACTCCCATATTTCACAGATCACTGAAATGAAGTTGCGTAATGAGTCTTAATTGAATATTGTGATGATGAATTGTTATCATTATGATGACCTATCAGTGAGTACAATACAGACAGACAGAATTTCTTCCAAAGTTTCACTGGTTGAAAACAGCTAAAACAACCACAAAAATTTACCCTTTCGCATAGTGACATTTATAACGTTTTATTTGAAAAAAATATTATCACTTATGCCTGACTGTGAGTTTATATTTTCTTGAGGAAAACAGTTGACTATGACGTATAAAACTGTATTATTTCCTGATCCATGGAGTTTAAAGCAAACTCGTCCCTACTATAAAGTTGTCGTTACGTCATATAATTCATAGTTAAATTGACCATGTGTATACAACCGCCTTCATACACATTAACAGGAAATTCGTCGTCTCATCCTTTATATTAGTGAAGAATTTGGCATTTCATGATTTCCTCAATTACCTTTAAGAAATTTCAAACTGATAATAGACATTCTTTGAATAATTGTACCTTAAAACAATTTAGTCAATGACCAATTTTTAGCATGAAAGAAAGATAATACTTTTCTGTGTTATTAATGGGAAATTGTCCATTATCGTTTCAAATATGAAAGGATACGAAGCGAAACTCTACAAAAAGAATCTGAGTTTAAAAACAGTATAAACTTGTCAGTCATGTCTTGTTGAAAAGAGTAAATAAATCACATATGATCAAAGAGAAACTTTATCGACACATAATATTGAAAAGGAGACTATTGACTGCAACAAAAAGTAAGGTAGAAATGTCTACTAGTGCTGAATATTCATTACAAGGAAGTTATCATATGTTTCGCTATAATAGAATAAACCTCGCATTCTTAAAGGTTAATTGTCGACTATTGGCAAATAATTGAAGTTTAATTAACCGTCGACCCCTTGCTCAATAACGCTATAGGGAAATAATGAACTGTTATTTCTTGATACTAAGAACTGCTTTCAGTGGCTACTTCATATTAAAGGAAAGCGATCAAATTTTGTCTTTTAATATTAAAATGGAATATTCGGAGAGAGAAATTGTACACCCATTTTCTTATTAAGAACAAACTGCTTTTGTGAAAACAATGATAAAAATCTCTAACAAACGTGACCTTAATTTTGTACTTTTATCTGATTTCTTCATAAGGTTATCACTCAAAGGGATATTGTCAAACAAATGTGTCTTTTATGTTTATCCATATGATTCCTCAGGCAGTCGTAACGTTGCAATGGTGTGAGAAAATTCGCCCAGAGATTAAACAGAATATGTCTTCAGATAACGTGATCTGATTATAATACGTAATGCATGTTAAATTGAAAACACACAAAATTAAGGAATTATGGTAAAACTTATTGCGCAACATTGGTATGCTGCAAATGGAAGATATTTATGTTTTTATTTTGATGAAAATATTTAAATCTTTCTGTTCATTGTGGACAGATTCCCTTATTGAGTCTGTTTGCACCGTAATATCTTGGCATGCACCCTTTGTATATCAATGATCACCACACCAACCGTACATATACATCTTGAAGACCATTTCCGGCGGAGAATTACACATTAATGTAATATTTACCTCACCTGTTTAGTTAGCCATTAACATAACAAGGGTTCCAAATAAATTAGGTTGAGATGAAAGAAAATTGGTACCCGTTACAGTCTAATATATGTTAAAACATTCCGAAAGTACTTGAAAGGTTGCAATTCATTCATCACTGATGTGATATCCGAAATTCAATTAGACCGTTAATTGAAGTAGTGAAATGAATGAAGAAGCAACGATACTTGTGTTGCTACTGGAACGAGACAGAGATTTTCGTTTCTAATTAAATTCTTGAATACGGTAAGGATTTTTACATATTTTGGTATGGATACATTAAAATAAACCCACAAATTTCCTGTTATAAAAAGATGAAATTTCTCTTTCAAACAATATAGTTTCCTTACAAAATCACATACAGTTGTCATTGCCACAAGGTGTCGGTTCTGATCAGAACAATAATCAAGTTTTCAATGTAATTCCAGAAAAGAAGTCCTTTCCATTAGAACTGTTGACATGTCTCAGTTCTCGCGAGGAGATCCGGACGTTTGCAGAAGAAGCCAAGGCAATTGGAACTACCTATGTAGGGCTGTGTTGTGGAGGAGCTTCAAACACGCTCAGAATTGTGGCAGACGTTTACGGCAAAAACCCACCAGCCAACAAACACGCCCCGGCAATGCACAAGCATTACATCTTTGGCGATGAGTCAAAGTTTCAAGATTATTATACAAAAAATGTTAAATCTAAAATCGTTGCTAATATGTAATGGTAGGATTTAAGTTTCTAGTACCAAGAATCATTCCATGATATTTGAAAGACAATTGAAGGTGTAGGTTGGGATTTTTTGTTTATAGTATTTTATCTCATACGTCAATATCACACTGTGAACTTTGCTTTCATGCCTGGCGCATTTACTGCAAGTTCATATCGTTTTCACGACACCGGAAATTAAATAAAAAAAAGAAGAAAAAAAAAAAAAAAACTTGGTATATGTAGTATCGCAACAGTTCCGTTTGATTATTTCATTTTCATGTTCATCCTGAATTTCGCCAATGAATTAATTCATATATGTATAATTACACATCCTTAGGCTGGCCTTTAATCAATAAATACTTAGTTTCGACAGTCTGTATTTGTGTTATCACATGATTAGTTAAGACATAGATGCCACCAGTGTTTTTACTTATTATGTCCTAAAATGCTAAATTCGATAGTATAGATGTAACAATGATTATGTAGGCATAAAGTATTTTCTGTTCTGTACAGTGTTTACCTAACGAGTTCTAAACAACCGTTATAATTAACAAGTACCCTTTAGAACTTAACTTACATAAGTTTAAATTGGTGTTATATTGTATATGTTTATGCACATGTGTAAAATTGCATTCCTATTGTACCATCTGTTGCTTTTGCACGACTGTGCATACATCACCTCATTATCAGCATAGTCAACTGTCAGCGATAAATATCTGCCCCAGCGGCAAAAGATTTTAGTCAGAGAGGTTCTTTACTCTATGCTATAAATATTCCACTCAGCTTCGCAAAGCCTTGAATCAAACTTCACTTGTACAACACATGAGTGAGAGGATGGATAGTAGACGCACCTGACATCCAACTGGTTGATGCGAGATCGTGCAAAAGTCTTATACACAAAACTATAAAATGCTGTAAATGGTCAAACATCTTACTTGAAACTATGATTTGAAATGCTGTAAATGGTCAAACATCTTACTTAAAACTATGATTTAAAATGCTGTAAATGGTCAAACATCTGACTTAAAATTATGATTAAAAATGCTGTAAATGGTCAAACATCTTACTTGAAACTATGATTTGAAATGCTGTAAATGGTCAAACATCTGACTTAAAACTATGATTAAAAATGCTGTAAATGGTCAAACATCTTACTTGAAACTATGATTTAAAATGCTGTAAATGGTCAAACATCTTACTTGAAACTATGATTTAAAATGCTGTAAATGGTCAAACATCTTACTTAAAACTATGATTTAAAATGCTGTAAATGGTCAGACGTTTACTTAAAACTATGATTTGAAATGCTGTAAATGGTCAAACATCTTACTTGAAATTATGATTTGAAATGCTGTAAATGGTCAAACATCTTACTTAAAACTATGATTTGAAATGCTGTAAATGGTCAAACATCTTACTTAAAACTATGATTTAAAATGCTGTAAATGGTCAAACATCTGACTTAAAACTATGATTTAAAATGCTGTAAATGGTCAGACGTTTACTTAAAACTATGATTTGAAATGCTGTAAATGGTCAAACATCTTACTTAAAACTATGATTTGAAATGCTGTAAATGGTCAAACATCTTACTTAAAACTATGATTTGAAATGCTGTAAATGGTCAAACATCTTACTTAAAACTATGATTTGAAATGCTGTAAATGGTAAAACATCTGACTTAAAACTATGATTTAAAATGCTGTAAATGGTCAGACGTTTACTTAAAACTATGATTTGAAATGCTGTAAATGGTCAAACATCTTACTTAAAACTATGATTTGAAATGCTGTAAATGGTCAAACATCTTACTTAAAACTATGATTTGAAATGCTGTAAATGGTCAAACATCTTACTTAAAACTATGATTTGAAATGCTGTAAATGGTCAAACATCTTACTTGAAACTATGATTTAAAATGCTGTAAATGGTCAAACATCTTACTTAAAACTATGATTTAAAATGCTGTAAATGGTCAAACATCTTACTTAAAACTATGATTTAAAATGCTGTAAATGGTCAAACATCTTACTTGAAACTATGATTTAAAATGCTGTAAATGGTCAAACATCTTACTTAAAACTATGATTTGAAATGCTGTAAATGGTCAAACATCTTACTTAAAACTATGATTTGAAATGCTGTAAATGGTCAAACGTTTACTTAAAACTATGATTTGAAATGCTGTAAATGGTCAAACATCTTACCTAAAACTATGATTTAAAATGCTGTAAATGGTCAAACATCTTACTTAAAACTATGATTTAAAATGCTGTAAATGGTCAAACATCTGACTTAAAACTATGATTAAAAATGCTGTAAATGGTCAAACATCTGACTTAAAACTATGATTAAAAATGCTGTAAATGGTCAAACATCTTACTTAAAACTATGATTTAAAATGCTGTAATGGTCAAACGTTTACTTAAGTCTATGATTTAAAATGCTGTAAATGGTCAAACATCTTACTTAAAACTATGATTTAAAATGCTGTAAATGGTCAAACATCTTACTTAAAACTATGATTTAAAATGCTGTAAATGGTCAAACATCTTACTTAAAACTATGATTTAAAATGCTGTAATGGTCAAACGTTTACTTAAGTCTATGATTTAAAATGCTGTAAATGGTCAAACGTTTACTTAAAACTATGATTTAAAATGCTGTAAATGGTCAAACATCTTACTTAAAACTATGATTTAAAATGCTGTAATGGTCAAACGTTTACTTAAGTCTATGATTTAAAATGCTGTAAATGGTCAAACGTTTACTTAAAACTATGATTTAAAATGCTGTAATGGTCAAACATCTTACTTAAAACTATGATTTGAAATGCTGTAAATGGTCAAACATCTTACCTAAAACTATGATTTGAAATGCTGTAAATGGTCAAACATCTTACTTAAAACTATGATTTGAAATGCTGTAAATGGTCAAACATCTTACTTAAAACTATGATTTGAAATGCTGTAAATGGTCAAACATCTTACTTGAAACTATGATTTAAAATGCTGTAAATGGTCAAACATCTTACTTAAAACTATGATTTGAAATGCTGTAAATGGTCAAACGTTTACTTAAAACTATGATTTGAAATGCTGTAAATGGTCAAACATCTTACTTGAAACTATGATTTAAAATGCTGTAAATGGTCAAACATCTTACTTAAAACTATGATTTGAAATGCTGTAAATGGTCAAACATCTTACTTAAAAACTATGATTTAAAATGCTGTAAATGGTCAAACATCTTACTTAAAACTATGATTTGAAATGCTGTAAATGGTCAAACATCTTACTTAAAACTATGATTTAAAATGCTGTAAATGGTCAGACGTTTACTTAAAACTATGATTTGAAATGCTGTAAATGGTCAAACATCTTACTTGAAACTATGATTTAAAATGCTGTAAATGGTCAGACGTTTACTTAAAACTATGATTTGAAATGCTGTAAATGGTCAAACGTTTACTTAAGTCTATGATTTAAGATGTAATAATGAAACGTTACCTGAAATACCTTACCGTAATTTTAAATATTGTTATGGTCAAACGGTTTACTTAAGCAACTGATTTGAAATGCTGTAAATGCTTAAACATTATACTTAAGTGAGTGATATAAAAACTGTAAATGGTCAAACGGTTTACTTTAGTCAGTGATTTAAAATGCTGTAATGAGCAAACGTTTTACTGAAGTCTATGATTTGAAATGTTGTAGTGGTTGTAAAATCTTCCAACAGACTATTGGCATACTTATGGGAACCAATGGCGCACCTCTGTTGGTTGACTTGTTGTTTTCATACGAGGCTGAATCAATTGATTGATAGGTCGGAAAGACGTTGCAATGTCGTTTAATTTCATCCCAGGTATATTGATGACGTCTTGTCTTTAAATAACAAGAAATTCATTAACCACGTTCATCGTATATATCCACCAAAACTGGAAATCAAAGATAGAACAGACTTCTTTTCCTACAACGAAACCAAGATGGACAACTTTCCATCAAATTGTATGATAAACTTGATGATTTCAATTTCCCTATTGTGGATTTTCCATTTCTGGATAGCAATATTCCTGCGTTACCAACCTATGTTATTTACACAGTCGATTCGATAGTCAAGGGCCTGTTCCCAGTATCACGGTTTTCGTGCAAGTCGTCAACTGACTGACAAACTCGTAACACAAGCGTTCAAAAATGCAGGTTGATGTGAATTATGGGGAAGTTTTATGATCGTTATATTGATCTCGTTCAGAATTTTTTTTTGTGTGACATGAAGCTGGACGTATTTGATGCTCGTTAGCGTGCTGTTGCTTCCGTTGTTTAATACAATGTTCTCATTTGAGAACGTGGTATTACTCACTTTGATTGCTCAAGGTTTACATCGCGGGTGTCGTCGATGAAGCAGAGGACGCTTACCCTTCCGGATTCATCCCTTGTACTTTTTCAGGAGTCTCCTTGTTGCTCATAGCTTGTCCTAGTTTTATGGGATTTGAGTTTGAATTATGATTATGTTGCCATGTTAGTATTTCGTTGATTTTATTGTCAGCGTTGCCGGCAGGTCCTGGACAAAACCGATCGCCTTACTGTTTCGGCAATAATTATAGAGAGATGCCCAATGATGGCGGAAACTGCGTCTGGAAGTACGTCCTTTCAATGACAGTGCGTCACCGTGTTACCACTGATATAGAGGTATACACACCTTCGGGAATACTAAGGGAAATATTTATTAGATGATTGCTTAGGACATCTGTCGAATTTGTAAGTATTATGGGATCTTTGTTGTCAAAGTAATGTTTCCCGATGTGTCACGTGGTTTTACTTGAAAACGCAAGTCTGAAAGAAAAAATCACATAGAACATTTACATTTTCGATAAGGCAAGGGAAACTAGAATTGTGTGATGAGGTGTGTCATTATTTCTTGAAACCAAACGAAAAAATCAGATTTGTTTACTGAAAAAACTTATTTTGTTAGGAGCTCGAAGGAAAGGCGGTGATAACGGTTGAAATGGCTTTT